CTGTTTGATGAGAGTAGGAGTAGGGTCTGATTTGATTATGCTGTATGTGTTTGTGTCTGTGATAATTTTGTTAATTTTTTCCTTGTACTCTTTTTTACTGATTGCTACTGTTTGTTTGGTCTTATCAGCAGAAAGTATGAGTATGTCAGGATTATTTTTGAGAAAATTTTTGGTTTTGGTATATTTTTGTTGAGATAGGTTTTGTTGATTTGTAGTGAGGTGTTGTAAGTGATTTGATATTGTGTTATGTCTTGTTATGCATTTCGATCGTGTTATGTCTTTTTCTTCCTCTGATTTTGTGACTCTCGACACGACACGCAAGAATGGCACAATTACACAGAAAACAAACACTTTGAGCCCTGAAGATGATGTCAATAAAGATCGAAACGTTGGCACGATAAAGAAAATGTTTTTCTGAAGCCTACATCACACCAGACCGCACCTCACGATTTCTAAATAAATTACGTTTATTATTTATTTCTTTAGCTTCAACCAAAGGCACACATACCCAAAAAGGGATGAATAAATAAGTTAGTAACCCAAGCGCTAACGCTTTTGAACCTAACTTAACCATTCCTAACTTAACCAACCCAACCTAACCTAACCAAAGTCGTAACTCATGTTGGAAATTTTAGCAGTACTCTCTGTCTGTACGACCAATATGTCAGTTTGTATTTTACCGCCATGTGATTTGCGTAGCAATAAGTTCTAGAGTTTAACTTGTGAACTTGTGTCGTTTTAGTATGCGTATGGTTAGTCATGAGTCGAAATAGAACCCAAAGTAGTGGAGACTGTTTTATGGTTGGCAGTATTGTATGGGAGGTTTCGCTTAATTAGTTTTAATTCGCCTATTTTTAGGAGTTTTTGGGGTGGGGGGTGATTGAATACATTTCTTTCCTCCACTGCGACTTAAACAAGTCTATTGTGGAGCATTCGCCTATTTGCTCTTTCGGCTATTCGCAGGACATGTGCGTGGATCCTTCTTCAAAGCAATTGCGGGATCAGGTGATCGCACAGCTGTAGGCGAAGGACGCATTGGAAGGTGAAGGTACATCTGCGGTGTAGAAGAGGATAAAGGATTGGTCCAAGTACGCTGCCTTGTGCTACTCCCTTTCCCAGAGGGCAATAGTCGGAATAGGCGGATCCTTGGCAGACAGAAAATAATCCACACATTATCAAATAAAGACGATGAGATGTTAAATCATTAAATACTGTTACAAATCGACCAGCTGAGTTCAGTTCTAGCCAGGAAAATCACCGAGACGGCCATTTTTAGACAAAAATCAAATACTCAACTGCATTCATCCTGATGCCATTACAGTCGAGTTTCATTCGTGGGATATACACTTAGTTCGTATACAGAATGCTTCGGGAAAAAACCAATCCTAAGGAAACCCTGAAATTTTGGAGAAATTACTAATTTTTGATAAACCGGGACAACTCGTGTTTTTCTTGTACAAACTCGGACCCTGGAGAGAAAGCGTCTTATCTGACCGAAGCGCAGGACGTCAATTTTCTTGTAGGATCCTCGAAACCGCTATTTTCCTTGACAAAAGTATGTCTGCCTGTATCATCGTCGTAGTCATGGTGCTTTCAGATTGATTTTATAGTTTCTACTCGATGAGCTTTCGAAAGGGAGGAGAATTTGTAACTACAATTAAGAAGTTATCCAGCCTCATTAATCGAGAAAATCCGCCAACTACGATTAACGAGCCTCTAAGGAGGAAATTGATTAATTTAATTTAAAGTCTAAGTAGGGCTTAAATTCTATTATAAGTTGTTTTTTAAGTGTTCTGCAGTAAAAGTTGCCTTACTTCGCTCCTTCCTGTCAATATTTTGCGTTTATCCAAACTAGGGTTGGACGAATGATTTTCACCGGTGGAATTCCGTCTAGAATTCAAATCGGTGAATAATAGAGATAATCGGTTCCCTTGCGTGGAAGAAATGTAGGTTTTTAAACGGCTGACAAGTTTTGAAAGCTCTCCGCCGCGCAGTGACAACCGAGCATTAGTTGGAAGTTAGATGAGAAAGGAATGGACGGCCTACGGCTCCACTTCCACCTCAAAAACACAATGAATATTCATATGGAAAACATCAATCAAATCGTCTCACTTGCCCGTAATAGAATCCATAACCCGTCTCATATTAACTACCAAATCCACAGTGAGATCGTTTCCCTTTTATCAAGCCGCTTCCTACAATTTAAAAGCCCACATCGGACTATAATTCATACATATTTCTTTTTATAAACTGAGTGGTTTTTTTCCATATGAAATACATCCTACATGTTTTTGGTTAATATTTTTTTCTTAATATTTTAAGATAGGCAGATCAAAATTATCGGTAACGACCGAAGTCGCATTTTGGAGTTCCGGTTCGTCACCCAGCAGGCATGGAGAAAATCTTACAAAATCTTTAAAACTATAATACCTGAGGTCGAAATGTTTTCTTGGCCAGAAAAGCAAATATACAAAATTAAACAAATAGATGAAAATTTATGATGCAAACTGCTGTCACAACATTTTTACGTCCTTTCTGGCATTTCTTTGAAATTCGGTCGCTTCCTATCATTTTGTTCTGCCTATCTTGCCAGTTTGGCCTGTCAGACGCGTTTCGGAATTTCGTCATCTTTTAATATGTGGTCTCATGCCACAAAAAAATGTGTGGATAAAGAGACCAAATTGATCTACAACGACCAACTTAACCGTTCGTTATCCAGTATACTGGAGAAAAACTCTCGAACTTTTTAAACCTACAAGACCTTCCCCGAAATGTTTTATGCCTTTACCAGAGGAGAAAATATACTAATTAACCAAATGAATGAAAATTTATGATGCAAACTGCTGTCACAAAATGTTCACGTCCTTTAATGGTATTTCTTTGAAATTTGGTCGCTTTCTATCATTTTGTTCTGCCTTTCTTGCCGGTTTGGCCTGTCAGACGCGTTTCGGAATTTCGCCATCTTTCAATATTGAGTTTTCATACCAAAAAAAAGTGGAAAATGCGATCTCTGGCACGAGTCATACCACGAGAGACCTTCGTGTTGGTGTTCGATTGTTTGTATATTTTCAATGTTATTTTTAATGTTCTTCTGAAACCTACATCACCGACCGTATCTCACGATATCTGAATAACTTTTTTTTTAACTTTTAGCAGCTTTAAAAAAACGTCCTAGTAAAATAATACGTCAATCCAGGAGATAATTTTACCTAAGCAAGCTGAAACCAAAAACGCGTTGTACTTAGAAAAGAAATTCTTAACCAAAGCGGTTTATTATTTTCTTACGTTAAAATACAAATCCCTATGTGTATATACACATATTGTATAAATTATGAAAGTAAGAGTCAGAATTGGTAATGCAACACTCGGTTCTGAAGTGAAAAGAATGTGGTAGTCGAGTCGAGGGAAGAGTGAGTGCTCCCTTCCCAGATTCTATGTAATTATAGGAGCCGTGGGGCATTTTGGATAATTTGACTCTACCATCATCTCCTTCTCTCTCAATCTTTTCAAAACTAAAACTAGATTCTCGAGTCACAATCTTATTTTTGTTATGTTTTGCTCTTTTCAAACGACTATGTACGAAAAGGAAGATTGTTGGAATTATTCTAAGGACTTTATTGTCGTGGTGCTTTCCTTTGCGCTTAGAAACTAATCGCCGTGATTTGTCAGATGGTACAATGTCGAGCAAAGGATATTTTTACGGAGAGCCTTGAGGCATTTGGTCATCTCGGCCTCATTTCTTGTATTGGATATCTGTATTGTACCAAAAAGAAAACTTTTGTAATCATATTGTTAAGATTTCTTAACATGAAGCCGCCTAATTATGAGTTGTCATAAAGGAGTCAAGAAAGTGATTTTTTTAAAGGGCTTTAGGCAATTAACCATTCAAACGATACCTGAGGTAGGCCTGGTAGCCCTGTTACCGTATCATCTTGGATAAATACAATTTATTGCTCCATTCGAATCAGCTTCAAGCCATTTTTCATTTTCTTGGACCCAATTAACAATCCCTTTGAAACAATTTTGCGCAAAAAGGGAAAAATTAGAGGGCTTCTATCTTATATCAATAGTAAAGATCTAGAAAATTGGATTTTTTTTTTTAAAGAGCCTATTTATATTTTAATTGTGGCTTTAGGTAGTCATATTGTAGTATCAGATGTCTTGGTACTACTGTAAAAATAAATCCTTGTAGTTCAGTTAAACAACATTTATAAATTAGAGAGATGTGACGATATTTATGAAAAACAATTAATCATTAAGTAAATCATCCTCATGTTACCAAAATCTGCAAGTAACTTCAATTATTGTGAGATGTGCTGAAGTCTGCTAGGTGATGCGCATGTACAATTTGATAGAGCGATGACTAAAACTTCTTGAGCTATACATTTAAGAAAAACCATTGTTAATTAATCTGTATTTTGGTCCTTACCAATTATCCTGCCTGTTCTAGCTGTGTTGGTCCATCAGCGTTCAGCATTTTACCTTTTACCATTTCTAGTTTTTTTGTTGGTTTGTTTTTTTGTCAAAAGTTGGTACAATGTTAAACCGTGCCTCTCAGACCAACACAGCGAAGATATCCAAACTAGGATGATTGGTTAAGATCAAATTGCAAAAAGTGAAATTCATGAGAGAAACTAAATTAATAATTTTGATTTTGTTACTGAACATGAGGCTATTCATCCCAAAAATCCAGTTAAACAATAGCAGTGGGATATAAGAGTTGAAAGAAATCGATGATAGCCATTCACCAAACATTGACAAGAATCAATATGGCATAAATATACCTTAAAATACCAAAAATATTTACAGAAATCGATTTGTATTAGATAAATCTATCTGTAATTATCCAGTAATTTTAATGATTTAAAGAACATCTTTGTCATATTGTCTTCAATTTCAGACTCAGATTAAAATATTTATTTGTAATGTTGACCTGGTGTGCTGGGATGTTTATAGAACAAATATGTAACAAATTTTTAATCTGAGTTTGTCTGTTTTAGGGGATTGTGGACTCAGATGGCGGAAGGAAAAACACAGTCTCATTCTGATGATGACTCTGGATGTGCACTTGAAGAGTATACATGGGTCCCACCAGGTTTAAGGCCAGATCAGGTAATAAAATTTTGTTTTTATTTGAAATAATATTGCATTCTAATGGATACATGGATCAGGTGCTAGGGGGTAAAATGTATGAAATTAAGTATTAAAGCCAACTCAGTTTCCAGGCTGAAGTCGATTAAATTTATGCTCAAACGCTTTTTTCTAAAGACAAAAAATAGCATTAATACTTGTCTGTTTATCATTGGCCGTACATTGATCGGTAACTGCAATATTATTACTATTTTACAATATTTAAAAAAAATACCACCAAAATAGAGGAGAGAATTTGGCTATATTTGCAAAGAAACATACACATCAACTACCCAAGTCATTCAATTAGTTATCAATACTTTATTTAAACAATAATAAAACAAACAAATTGTTGACAAAACTATCTTTAAATAAATCAGATACCTCCTTGAGTTTTAAAAGAAAATTACCTTGTAGTTTGTAAGATTTAAAGATAGAAACTTAATTAATTAAAATTAATTAAGGTTTTTAGTTGAGATAAAAAAGTCAATGGCACGAGCGGGATTCGAACCCACGATCTTCGGCTTGATACGCCGCTGCTCTACCACTTGAGCTATCATGACCTCGATCCACTCAGACACCAACTTCCCATCTCAACCACACCCTTTGAATTTTCCCTCCTTTTTGCCATTTTTAAATTTATCTCAACCAATGCCTTACTTAAAAATTAATTCATTGAAATGAATTTATTTGGTCAATTGGACCACGAAACCTAATCGATTAAATATTTAAAGGTGAATTAACTTAGAACAGAAAAAATATACTGTCTAAAACATCTACATGGCGTGATCAACGGAATCAAATGAATTCATCCTATTGAGACACTTAATTATACGGCCCTAATAATAAAGAAAAATAATAAATATTAATGTTTTATTAAATAGTATATTATATAAGACAAGTGAAATTTACTTAGGGAATGTTTTCCTACTCTAAACCTCTCGTATACAAAGGGTCAATTTACTAATGTACTCCTCTTGATTGATCAAAAACTACTCAACCTAGATACATTTTTGTTTTTCAAATGGTAACCTTCATTTTAATTTAAAGATTGATCAATTCTACTATATTTTATAAAAAATGCTGAAAATAGTTTACAAAGCGGTTCAGAAAACGTTCAATATAACCTAACCTAACCCTACCTAATTCTAGCAGTACCTAGCCTCACCATTACAAACCTAACCTAACCCTACCTAGCTCTAGCACAACCTAACCTAACCAGTCTCTAAACCCTCTTATCTCTAACTTGTCCCTAACACTACTAAACTAAAGATTATTAGCCTAACCCGTTCCTAACCCTACCCCTACCTAATCCTACCTTATCTGACCAACTTAACATTACCCTAATACCAATTATAACTCTATCTAACATAACTTAATCTAACCCTAGGTGATCTAACTTAACCAATTCCTAACCTAAGCGAACTCATGTACAGTGCCCAGTACGCTCTGATAAAAAGCCTTAAGCTTAACAGAGAGCTCTAGATAATAATGAAGATTGCACAATAGACTTGTGGTAATGGAACATAAAGTAATTGTCCATATTATGTTCCCTGACATAAAAGAACTTTCGAAAAATTGTGGAGATAGAAAATAATCCCTTAATGGTTTTAAGCTAATTCACTCTAGGGTTCATATAAATCTTTTATGTTAAAACATAATATCACATAAATTATACCTTGATATAATTATCAATGATAGCAAACAGTGAGAATAAAACAGTAAACTAATGCAATATTTATTTTGTCTGATGATAACTGAACACTAATAGCCAATATAATCATAGATGATAAATCACTCTGTTACAATTAAATTTATCTATTTAAAATTTTCCTTTAATATATTAATAAATTATATGAAATTTGATTTCAGGTCTATTTGTTTTTTTCGGGAATCTCTGAAGATAAAATCCCCTACGTTAACAGCGGTGGTGAAAGGTACAGAATTCAACAACTTCTACACCAGCTGCCTCCTCAAGACAATGAGGTCCGGTACTGCCACGGCCTCACGGAGCATGAATACAAAGAGCTAAAGCTGTTTTCAGCAGAAAGAAAACGCGATGCACTCGGAAGAGGTGTAGCAAAGCAGCTCATCGCACCACTCACATGTGCTCAGGTAAGTCAAATAAATACAGTTTATTAACTGGACTTTATTAACGAATAATAAGAAGTTAAGCTATATTATTCACATATATCTTTTCAGTGCAAAGAGGTGGTTGCATCTGGAGAAATGTGCGTCCAAGCAGCACGTGCCGGTCCAGATTCTTGTTGGCATCCTGCATGCTTCGTATGCAGCGTTTGTGAAGAATTGCTTGTTGATCTCATTTATTTTTACCAGAAGGGAAAGATGTACTGTGGAAGGCACTATGCAGAAACACTTAAACCAAGATGTTCTTCGTGCGACGAGGTAACTCGAATATTACACAATGATTAACCATAAGCATTAGACATAATAAATGCACTAACTGTATCAAACATTTACTCTAGATTATATTAGCTGACGAATGTACTGAAGCAGAAGGAAAAGCCTGGCACATGGAACATTTTGCATGTACTGAGTGTGAAAAACAGCTTGGAGGTCAGCGTTACATTATGAGAGAAGGAAGACCGTACTGCATCAACTGCTTTGATACTCTTTTCGCAGAATTCTGCGATTCATGTGGAGAACCCATTCGAGTTCATCATGGTAAACCAATTTACAATTAAAATAAATTATATAAATCTACTGCACATCTCCATTAACTTGAAAGATTATGGCAAAAAAGACTTGAATAATTTAATTTTATACATATAAAAAAAAAGGTTGCGGCTTCTGGTTAAATAAATAAATAACGATTTTTTTTTTTACATTAACTATTAAAAAATTCAAGAATAGGAATAATATTTACAACTGTGGCATTTTTTAAAAAAATCTTTTATAAGCAAAAGTAAAAATTTGTTAACTTACTTTACAATATTTTTTTATGTGTTATGTTTTATTTGTTTCATATTTTTGTACTTTTTAGGTCAGATGAGTCATGAAGGGCAGTACTGGCATGCGACAGAAAAATGTTTTTGCTGTCACACATGCCACATTTCTCTACTCGGGCGTCCATTTTTACCTACAACTGGTGCGATCTATTGCTCGATCGCATGTAGCAAAGGAGAACCACCAACACAGGATCACCATGGTCCAAAACCGATCAATAAAGAACATGCAAAAGTAAATAAGTCTGTGGAATCAACAATACATGGACTTGACAACCTTCCAGGACCTTCGACTAAGCCAAAAACTGAAATTGGAGTGAATATTAGCAAACATGCAAGGACAAAAGATCCTTTGGATCACAGCGCAATGACCTCAGAACTGGTTCCAAGAAACAGGTAAATAGGATTGCAAAAAAATGTATATTTGAGCTGAAAATTTTCTAATTGAATATATAAATATTCTATAAAAAGCTATGTTTTATTTTGCAGATTGTCAGAGAAGCATGCTATTAATGCTAATTTCATTCAAGAAGGAAGAAAAATTAATTCGCCCAAAATGAGAGAAAGGGGATTGCAGTTAGCTTCGCATAAAAGGCGTTCCAACTCATCAAATCAAAAGAAAACATTACAAATTGCAAATCCAAGCAGTAAAGGAAGATCACTGCAAACGTCTGATCAGATTTTCCTGCAAGAGCGATATAAGCCTGAAGGAAACTCTGCATCTAGCTCACCACTAGGCCAATACGTCAATGAGAGTCCAAGAGTTAAAAATAAATCATCAGAATCATTAGACAAAATTGATAGTATCATTCCACCTACGGGTATTGAAGAAAGTGATTTTGATCTACTTTTTAGTTCTGCAAACACTGAAAAAAGAAATTTCGACGATCAAAGCATATGCTTAAAGAATCTTGAAACAATGTTTGAAAAAGACAATTGCCAAAATTTAGAATCTGATTTAAACAAGTTAGTATTAGATCCAAAAATAAATCAAAATTTTAATATAACACGAACAACAGTACAAAGGGTAACTATAGACAATTTTGAAAATGGAAATAATGAAAAAATTATAGTAGAAAAAGGTGTTGATGAACTGCTTTCGCAATGTAGTGGCAGGGATAGAGAACCTCTACATTTTGGCGACAATTCACGGAGTATAGAGTCTTGGGGGATTCATAAAAAACCACTGAAGAGTGTCCAACCTTGCATTCCGAACCCTGACAACATTGCGGCCGGTCCATCCAAGAAAAACCTTAGCGTAAGATTTCGATGTGTCATACCAGAAAAGGAGGAGCCCAAGCCAAGTTGTAGTTACCAAGACGTCGATGATGACACTGATAGCACCTGTTCTACATGTTCCTCCAGTTCAAGCGATGATGCAAATATTTATAAGCTACCACCACGTAAGGCTTACGGAGGAGTCCGAATATCCTATGTTCCTAATGATGCTATTGCCTGTGCTAAGAGACAACAAGCACAAAATCCAATTAACCAAAACCCCAAAAAAGCAGATGAATCTTGTGTTATTTCATAAATAGTCTTATGACAGAACTCTCGTTAAAATAAGTTTGAGTTATTTTTAAAACACAAGCATCAAGTGAAATCATAAAGCCAAAATGTATATATTTTTTGTTTGTAAACCATAAGAATGAGCCACAGAAGTTTTAAGGAATCATCACAAATAAAGTGTGACTATCTACACTACCTACTTTTGATTTTGTAGTTTATATATTTAACTTTTTTTAATGAAAGCATCCATGTTGTGTAATACTTGTAAAATTTTGTATAATATGTATTTTAATTTTTTTTTGTTTAATATAAATTACCTCTCTCTTAATTAATGGTGCTAATGTATAAAACTATAACATGTCAATAATTATAATATTTATATAATTCATGTACCTGCTTTCTTTGTATGTCTAAACTACCTTTGCCGTCTCTTCTAACTAGTGGAATAAACAAACTAACATAAATTATTATTTTTGTACGATATAATGCATTAAACTTCAATTATGTAGCTCTGATTAAAGACTTTACTGAACATTCAATTAAATTTGTGGAACTGCCTGCTTGTAAGAGATAATAATAAGCTTTAGGCTAAACAAGTTCAATCAGAGAAAAGCAAGCAGGGTTTGATTTTGTTCTTTGCACTTAAATTTCTGCTTATTGAATTAAAATATGAAGTTTTCAAATGGATTTTAATGTTTAATTCGATATATTTTCTGGATCGAGCTAGCAGCTAGCAAAATGCAAAGTTGCAAAATACGCATTGAGGTACAGCAGTAAATAATGCATAATATAAATAAATGTTTTCATTGGTTTAACAATAATTCCTTAGTAACATAACTTAAGACACAAGTAAATGTGAAATTTGAAATTGGCAAACAGAGAAAATAATATCAAATCGATAGAGAAAATAATTTTTTCATTATTGCATTAGTTTTTAAGAAAAACTTTTATTTAAAATGTATTAAATAAAAAAAGGAAAATGTTATGCCTGCTTTATCTCTTCTTTTAATTGGTGTACTGCAAAAGTTTCAATAAATTATTTAAAAAAATATCATGTAGCAAAAATTAAAGAGACAAAGTATAATAATTTTTTTATTGTCAATATTTTATATAATTTTCATACTATTTTAGTACAAAGGGTCAACTTCTTCAAGTTCTATCTATCAATGAATTTATCATTTGAGCAAGTTTTTAATTAAGACTGTAAAGTCCAACAATAGTATCATTGTAATTTTATAATAGAATAAGAAAATTTTATTAATAAATCAATGACTGTTAACCCATGCATGTTGGATGTTTGCATCAATCAATTGAATGCTTCTTCTAAATGGAATTGTAGGACCAAGAGGGGGGAGATAAACAATTGCCTTCTAAAAATTTGCGAATGTTGTGACAAATATTTATTGGACTGTCCAAACCCTTCCGGCACATATTTAGTTCCAATTTTTCTTTTTGAACTCTGTGCATTAAAGTAAAACTCCAATCTGAAATGACACGATAGTGGTTGGGTGTAAAATGCGCTTTTTATTTTTTTAAACCAATTATAATACATTGTATTCATAGAATTTACTATTTCAAGCACCTTATTTATGAGTTATAGACCTAGTCATTTGAAACTAAGAACTAATGTATTAGGTAAAACCAGGGCAGTTGAATCAGGGTTTAACCGTATTGTATTCATATTATATTATTACGCCAATTATTATTTATACAGGCCAAAAATATAAATATCATAAAACTGTATATAGGGAATTGTCATAGAAAAATGTTTTTGTTATATTTAATGTTTAAAAAAAAGAACTATCAGACTATTACAGATTGAAAAAACTCTTAGAATTGATATAATATTTATTTAAACTTTCTTTTAGGGATACGCCAATAGTAGAATTTTATTTGTTAACTGTTCATAAATTTAGTAGCATATTGAATTACATAAAAATATGAATGTAGAATGTATATAATTCATAAAAGCATAAATAAAGGAAGTTAATTGAAATTGTGAAGGTACATTTTTATCAATCCTACTTTTTTTTTTTTAATTAATTATTATTATTAGGCAAACAACCGCTAGGGTTAAAGCTGCCTAAATGTCCACAAGAAGATCCCTAACCCCCTAAGGTAAATTTTGGAAAATTAAGTGGTATACAAAAATTGGAAAATCTATTCTTCACAAGAGACAACAACCTTAAAAAATCTTCCTTAGAAAAACTACTAAATCTACCCCCATTAGAAATATACAAGGAGAAGTTAAGTAAAGCTCATTCAGACTCCAAAAAACAAAGAAATTGTATGGGAACTAAACATTTCATACAACAATAATAAATAAAATCAGACATCCATTCCTATAAATGGGGACTGGAAACATCCTTTGTACTATCCTACAAAGTTTTAACAGACTATAAAGAAATAGAAAAAATCTGGAGAAAATAAAAAAAAACAATGTGGTATACAGATGGCTCAAAACAACATGATTATTTATTTATTTACAGATCAAAACCCACTATAAAAAAAGACATTTTACAATAACAAAAAATATAAATGATATATGTAAAAATACAAATAATATATATAAAAAGAATAAGGATGTATATACATGGTAATAATATAAATGGTAAATATAAATGATAAATATAAAAATACAATTAAAAAGTAAAGAACTGAACAACAAAAATGAAAGACATAATTACTAACCAAATAAGGCAGAGGAAACAAAATAAAGCTGAAAGACAATTGAAACTACAATAATTAGGTACATATTTAATGAAAATAATGCTCTTTGTAAATATATAATAAGACAAGAGTGCGAGAATTAGTTGAACCAGTAAATGAAATAAATTGTAATAATTGCCTAATTTTGTGGTCCGCTTGGCCAATTAATACATTACAATTAATTAAGGTTTTTAGTTTTTTTTTTTTTTTTTTTTTTTGGCGTTATGAACTATGCATATTAGCCATGTGACAAATTCGTATATGTGTGGGAAAAAAGGGCCAGGGGCAACGGTGGGAATCGAACCCACGACCGCGGCGTGAGAGTCTCTCATGCTAACCACTCGGCTACCGCGGTCCCCTACCGGACCGCTTCTCTCGCTTCTCGGCCTTTTGGCTAAGATCAAAGTGTAGAAGGTTTTTAGTTGAGATGAAAAAAAGTTAATGGCACGAGCAGGATTCGAACCCACGATCTTCGGCTAGATACGCCGCTGCTCTACCACTTGAGCTNACCAGGTTAGCACATTATTGATAGAATTTTGTAATTGTAAGCAATCGGAAGGCGAAGTGATTATGGAATAGATTTTCAGATCATCAGCAAATAATAAAATTTGAGCAGAAGGGAGAGCAAGATGGATATCATTAATAAATAAGAGAAACAAAACTGGTCCAAGATGAGACCCTTGCGGGACTCCCGAGGAAGCCGCAAAGGGACATGATTTAAATGATTTTATTTTAACTAATTGTTTTCTGGATGGAACCAGATCAAGCATGTTTCTTACAAGCACAACTATGAACAATCAAGCTCATTGTTTCACTTCAACTCAACTTCACATCGCTCTTTCAACTGAAATACATGCTATATAAAATTTTAAAAGAGGTTAGATTTAAAGAGGTTAGGTAAGATCAGCCAAGCAGCCATAAAAGTACTAGCACATAAAAAGGTCCCATCCATAATAACTAGTGAATGCAGTCAAAACCTGTGAAAACATAACCTGATTGCCATAGCACAAAGTAGTTCTTGGCTTAACGATAGACAAACTGGCCAGAGAAGGATTTGCAAGATTTATTGACCCAGAAGCCATTTTTGGGTTAACTAGATCAAACATACTCCTCCATCACAGAATATCCACAAAAAACAAAAAGAGAACTGGACAAACTCCAGAGGTGCCAGACATAGTAAACTCATGTTTAAAGAACCCTAACCAAAAGATATATATATGTCCAGTACATTAGGCAACAAGCAATACCGGTCATTGGATCTAAGAACATATCTAAACAACACGGGTATATTCAAAGATGACCACACATGTAGGTTGCATAATGAGGAGGAAGAAAACATCCATATCAATTTCGAATGCGAAGCAACTGCTCAATAAGACTTAACCTAGGGTACCAAGAAGACCCAGAAAAAAATTATTCCAGTAATGACCATCAATAACCTACTACTTTTTAAAAGAAGTATCGAGTTAATTGAACAGAACTAAAGAACTATGAAATATACAACATACCAGAAGGGAACATAAAACGCCTAATTCCTTGTATTCCTTAATCATCACCATTATCATGAAAAGGCTAAATGTTTGTTTTGTGTGAATAGGTCTTAAGTCCTTTACGTCTTTCAACTAGCCTCTCGAACGTTTTGAGTAAAAAAGATGTTTGACTAATTGGTCTGCATATTTTTGCCTGTGTTTAGTTAAGTTGTCCATTTGCTTGGGATTGCCCATTGCTAGGCAGCTTCTGTATATTTTGAATTGTGATAGGATTGATGTTTTTTCCTTTATAAAAGTACTGGATATATGCCATTTGTTCCTGGATATTTGAATGGGCTAAAAGAGGCAATTGTAGTTGATTTTGGTGGACTTTTAAACAAGTTAAATTCTTTAAAATAAAATGTAAAAAATAAAAGTCCCCACTGAAGATGGTTAAAATGTTGAAACACACTGACAGACAAGCCTAGAGAGCCTAGCGAAGATATGCAGACAAGGATGAATGTTAAAGATCAAATTTAAAATTCTACACAAAGAAAAAATCTCACAAAAAAATTGTAAGTAAAATTTTCATATGAATTACTTTATAAATGTTATTTCATTAACACAATAACTTCAAAATAGTTAAAAAGGATACTTCTACTACACACTTCATTTTCTTTTTTTCACAAAGAACTACCTTGCAATTAGGCAAAGTTGATTCAACAATTAATTTTTGTTTTTATGTATAACTGTCAGTAGTTAGTTGCCATAGTAATATTAGTAGTAGTTTTAACTTGGAAGTCAATTTTTGAAAATATAATTATTTGATGTAAAGTAAATTTTTTTAACAGTACTACCATGCAGAAAAAAAATGACAATAATAACATAGCCCATCTCATAAAAGACGAAGGAAATAAAATAATCATTCGAGGACTGGTACAAACAAAGGATGCATATAAGGTGTACCACCTAGCCAAAGTAAGTTTTCCTAGGCATATTTCAAATCTTAATCTGATCATCATCAACATTTTAAAACTATAAAAGATCTGTGAGTAAAAAATAAATTTAAAAAAAACTTCAACACACCGAATACAATCAAATAAATTATTGAAAAGAAAATTATCATTTTATAAGCACTTATTTTTTCCCATAATCCAACCATCATAAAGTGGATCCAAATTCAGGTGTTTCGAAAGAAACATGTTGGTAGATTATTTTAAAGTATTGGAATAAAGTCATCGAACATTCAAATATAGACAATAATTATAATGTATTAAATCCCTTTTTCTTTTCTTTTTTTAATTTACAGCAACTTCACAAATACATACCCAAAAAATTCACAGAACCTGATTTTAAATTGTATCCACTACCAGAATGGCTTCAGATGCGTGAAGAGCTAAGAAAAGTAAGAATCTTGTAGTTTACTATTAGTGTAATTTTCAAAATAGACGTGAGTTTTAATATAAAAAGTCCAATCAATTATATATGTTACCGTGTTAATTAAAAATTAAACAATATAAATATGATTAATTATTTTAAAAAAAGTTAAATAAGCTTTGTTGTCTACCTTTATTTCTAGCTAGTACGATATAGAAATGTTCATGATGACTATGCGGTATTTTTAAACGAGAGATGGATTGGCGAAGGGTATGAATTATTGGTAGCTATCCATCCTCACTGCATATTCTATCCAGATGTACATAAATTTGATGGCATTGACCAGCAAGACCAAATGCTGCTATACGGAGTCGATCCCAAGGTAAATGTTTCTTTAATGTCCAATAAATTATTCAATTTTTAAGGCAAATTGTTCTTTCGTTTATTCAATGAGAGGACAACATGATACAGCAGAACAGCAAGACATTTACATTAATGAGCAGAAATAAGTTACTTTTTTATCAAAAAATACTCACCATTCAATGCTAACTAATATTTATGAATCTAAATTTTCTTTTTTTCAAAAATTTATAAGAGATTTCTGGTCTGTGAGATGATGAACCTATAATTTGGTCGTTCCAATCATTTTGGTCTGCTTATCCTTGTTGTATTGGTCAAAATGCCTAAATGCGTCTGACAGACCAACCGAGTGAAATATTATTTTAATAAGATACATCTTGAGTTAATTATTCATGGTAAGAAAGACATTTTGATTTATCTAATACATAATACATTATTTATTATTTACATTTTAGAAATCATGCATTTACTTTGACTTAGCTGTTGATCATGTGAAAGTTGGACGTGTCATTTATGAGGTTTGTAGAAAAATTTTCATTTTTTTATGTTAATATGTAAATTGTAATATGTTTAATGTCTGCCAAGTCCTAAGAAGTAACATACAACCGATCAACGTGAATAGTACATTCTATAACAAATTAGCCAACTATCAGACATCCATTAAGGCTATTACCTCATTAGTAGTAAAGTCCAGAACTGCATGTGATTGCATCAAGGCCTTTTCAGACATTGGATAAAATTCAAAACGTAGGTTGAGGAGTGTCCGAGTGGATAGAAGTCACAATAGTTCAATTAGTTAGAGCAGCAGCATATTGAGCCGAAAGTCATGGGTTTGCGTCCCACTCGTGAAACTAGCTTTTTCATCTTGACCAAAACCTTAGATAAAAAGTATAATTAATATTGGATATTAAAAGATATTTAAAGTATACAATAGCAAAATTACCTTTGCTTGGGTACCAGAGTACACATGGCAGAGGGGCGATGAGGAGGCTGATAAATTCGCGAAGGAATGTGCGGTGAGGCTACTTATCAGCCCTGAATCCTTTTGTAGCATACTAAATTGCCCGAAACTTATATCTGTGATACAATGAGTTAAGAACAAGTCCTCTGTTAAATGGGAATGCATTCCAGGCAAAGGCATATGAAAAAATTCATTAATTAAATGATCATCGCAGAAATTAACGACAAAACTACTAAAGCTAGGACCAGAATGGAAGTAGGATTGCTCTGACTCGATACTGCAGACTCCAGAGGCATATAGACTTGAAGAAACAGAAAAAGCCTGTGCAGATATTGCAGGCTGAGATTCCTACTCCAGGGAGAGGAAAAGCCAAGGCCTTTTAACAAAAATGGTAGCCATTAACTGCAACATGATAAAAAGCATAATGAAGAGCTCTACATAATAATGGAGATTGTACGATAAACAGACCATTATTGGACTTGTGAGTAAGATCTTAAGGGGTTGATTTATTTTAACAATTAGCCTTGCTTACACAACTGTTACTGATAACTGCAGTGTCCAGTCAGCAGTACTACTATCTAGTCCTAACATGTCCAAGTTTCAGAAGTTCTTCTGCCAATTCTGTGATGGCCATTTAATGAACTGTCCTAGAATACATTCCCATCGAATCTAGAACTTATTTTTAACCCGTTGTTTTAAGCAATTTGGTACGCAAAAGAGTTCAAGGCGGATAGGTGTCCTAATCAAATTTTCTTTAGTAATTTCATTGGCCTTTTTGTTGCCCTTCTGCCTGGTACCTTAACAAAGTAATTTTTATATTTTCCCCGATGTATGACAAGGCCTCAACATCCCCACCATAGTTTTAATTGTATTTTTCCAAATAACGGTGAAGGGGGAAAAGCTATTTCTCTGTAAAGCACAAAACCAAAAAGTTCCAGAATAGAATTGTTTTGGTTAAATGTTGTATACTACTTTCGTGATACTAAGATTATATTAAAAATAAAAATCGTGGACAAAATTGAATCCTGGTTATGTAACCTAAACCATACCTAACTCTAATGAAAATCTAACCTTAATCCATTCTAACCTAACCCTACCCCTAACTCTCCTAACCCAACACATTCCATATTTTAAAACTACTAGACTACCGCTAAGTTTAAAAATCACATCATCGTTTATAATACAATGTGAAAATGACCTTTTGTTTTCAGATATACACAGACATCATGCCTAAAGTAACAGAAAGGTTCATGCAGTTGTGTCAAAATAAACCAACTGATCTTCGCGAAAAGCAAAAAGTAAAATACACCGTATCTGAAGAGTCTAAAGTAGATGAAAAATATGTCGAAGAAATATTCAACGCCGATGATCGTATAGTGTTTAGGAAGGAGACTGAAGAATACTTAACTTATGTAGACACAGAAATAACAAGGCTTTTATCGCCAAGTTTTTTCCAGTCAGGAAGTTAGTATTAATTATTAGATTATAAAGAGTGAATTGTTATATTGGTCAAAAAACATTTTTTTGGGGGTGGGGCTATATTAACCAACATTAGCAACAAAGGTTTAATCTACTAATTACTAATCTACTAATAGATTTGTGTAGTTCAAGAAAGGTTTTCCCACGTACCATAGCCTTTTCCTAGCTATTGAAATGTTCTGTCATTAGTATTGGTCATCTGCTGCTTTTTGAAGGTGAGATTTAACTGGAGCATGTCCTGAAAATATGCCAGTTTTTAATTCCTTTCAGTTAAGTAGGATCTCCTCTTTCTACCATTGGGTTGTTTTCGAGTAGTCTTTTTGCCTGCCTCATGTCTGGTCTTTTCTCCCGGTATTGTTCACTAGTTACCCAAGATTCTGGTTCTATTTTAATGTGGCTATAGTATATTCCATTTTATGGATTTGGGCCTATGGTTCTTCCAAGGCTTCTTTTTTTTAGCAAGCATATCTGCCATCTCATTACTTGTTATGCATTCATGACCTGGAACCCACTGTAGTGTTATGCTATTGGGTTGTCCGGAAAATAATGCAGGATTTTAAGTTTTCATTAAAAAAAATCTATATAAAATATTCTGTTTACGTTTACAGGATTACTCATTTGTATGNTGGGAAATTATTTTGATTAAAGAACATTGCTTTAAAGTAACTAGTTTCTTTTTTTTTGTTTAATACCAAAATCCTGCATTATTTTCCGGACAACCCAATATTTGAAGATCCCAGTTTTTAGGATATTAAGGCAGTTCAAGACAAGTTTTGAGGTAATCTTGTAGGCCTTTAGAGCTGCCTGACTGTCCGAAAGGATAATTACAGTTGTACCTTTGAGATGTTTTTGATTTATTTCATGTGCTCAGGTTTCTATGGCTATGTGGGCCTTGAGGTGCTTAGTTAGGCCCTTTATGCCCATGCCCGTACTGTAACCTGTTGAGCTGTCCGTAGAATGCTCCAAGTTTAACTTCTCTTGCTATGAGACTGGAAAATTGATTCCAATCAGTTCTGGAAATCTTTACATCAATTTTTTGTTAATACATCAATTTTCATTTGTTTAAACATTGAGTAAATGAAAAGAATCGATTGATCAAAGAAAATTGTATTGTGAAATTCAAATAGTGTTGCCACTGAGTTTAAATTGTAATTATTCTTAGATTAATAATTTATTTTTAATGAAACATCTCCCTTGTAATTGTTGCTTCTTCATTGATATTGAAATATTATCACATTGAAAACATAATATTGTATAAACATAACAGAATTTTCATTTTTTGTTTAAAAGATATCTACATTTCTTTTTTTAGAAATAAAGGGGCTCGATGAATGGTATACTGAAAATTTGGAACTAGAAGCTTCCCATGAAGAGTTTGGAAATATTTCTTTGATGTCTAAGAAAACCAAAAAAAAAAATCATCGAATCCTCAGTACAAGCCAATTCATTATTTCACTTAAGCCAAACCAATGGATGAATAAATATTTTAGATGCATTGGGTAAAAAAACAGATGTTTTATATCTTTTACCTGATATCGTTTTACATTTTAAAATGTAATAAAGATATAAATAATAATGGTGTACCATAAAACTAAATGTCTAGTGCTTTTTTTATTATAAAATTGGAAAAATTAATAATTATACTGCTTGTTTCAGGCGAATTATTCATGGTCACTATGTTTTAAATGTAATCAAGGATATTCCAACAACCAAAGAAGCTCCTGACAAACTTATTACAATAATTGATTGTGGTGTATTATATACTCCTGAGAAAGCAGAAGTAGAATCAGATGTTGAAGAAGAACAACAAGAGCCAATTGACGAGGATGACAAAATGTTAAAAGAGTATGAAGATTTAGTTAACCTTTATTATGCCGAATTGTGTGAAATTCAAGGTTTGATGAATGACAAAGTAGTACAAAAAGAAATTTTGTATTGCTACAACATGCAGGAATGTGATGAGTACAGTGTTGGTAATGAATCTGATACAGACTCTGAATTGATGCTTTATGATCAAATGGAAGCACTCGATCAAGACAATCCGTTAAAAGTGAGATATAGTTTAAACGTGCATAAAACAATTTTGGTAGTGGAAGAATTGGGACACAAATTGTATGAGTATATGCGACCTACTTTATTAGAAAGATTACTTCCGGAAGAAATCCATCTGAAAGAAACACCTACATATGAAGGACATGACTTTATGCTTGAATGTGAATTGGCATCTGAGAGTTCAGAAGAATGGCTTGAATTTTCTGACGGGGAAATTACAGAAGAAGAAAAAGCGATGGATACCGTTACTGAAATCGAGATTGAAACTTTAGAATTCGATGAACAGCCTGGAGAATGGATAGCTGAAGAATTCGGTAGCATTGAGCATGTCAGCCTTGAAAGCAACATTAGTGTTTCTTCCTCGACTGGATCAGAACAATTACAAACTACCTTACAACAATCAGATAGCAGTGAATCATCATTATCTGCAAGTGCTGGATCTGTATCAATTAAAGATGAGAAATTAGAAAGTACTGAATTAAGTGAACATGAAGAGGCTTTGGAATTTACTCAAGACGAGTCCTATCACTCTGATAAGAAAGAACCTGAAAGGATAGTTATCGATGAAGAAGATGAATTGCCTGACTATGTAACACCGATTTACCTGTTAGAACAAAAACAGGACAAAAATAAAATACCTAGACAAATATTGGAATATATATTTAAATGTGTGTACAAACATCGCAAACACGTTACATTGGATGAAGAAACTATAAGTATAATGCAGACAGCATCCTTTAAATCTAAACTAGCAACGCTTCCATCGGAAATTCTTTTCAACATAGCAAGGAAGATGGATGGCATCGAAATGGAGTTAGCAGAAATGGAACGTACAGTTAAAACTGAAGAGGAAAGGAAAAAATACAATGATGTCATTTCAAATGCAGTCGTGGAATTTACAACTAACATGATAGAATTTTTGTTACATGAAGTTATTGACAATGCGGTCATTAATCCGGATAAAACCGACGAAGAAGAGGTAGAAGAAATATTGCCAGAATCACCAATTTATGAGGAAGAAGCAACATCATTAGATTCTGCGAGTGTTAATGATGAGGACACATTTAATGCATTCAATGATGATTTACTTTTCCAAATATAGACAATTTGCCATAAATATTCAACCCAAGCCTTCAAAAAAAGGTTAGCTCAATTTGAAAAAGTACAATAAAGTGCAATGAAAGACTGAAATTTTGTGATTTTTCCTAAGTAAAACCATTTTATGGCTTATTGTAAACAAAGATGAGGCAATATTAAAGCAGAACGACTTGATATTAAAGTTTGTTTATTTTAGATAAAATTAAAAATGTTATATAGATAAATATTATTGAGCAAGCTGGATTTTAAAATAATAATGTTACATGACTTTGACTTTTTGACTCAACACTTCGAACTGAAACAGCAAACTATCCCTATTATTACAGATTACTGAAAATCTGTTAGGTTCCAATGTATGGTCGATTATGGTACCAATTATGCTGCCTAAATATAAAAAACTTGACATTTATATATTTTATCATGAAAATAAGTTAAACTTATGAGTGACTAACATTAATTCATATTTTACTTCATTATAACAAGAAACGATGTATTATTCAGTGTAAACACACAAAAATGGATAGACAATCTGAATATAAATTTAAATGATTAAGACCATGGACAAAAATTAATTTATATAAAATAATCTTGAGAGGGTTCCTCTTGAGCTCTTGAGGGCTGCTGTTACCTATACTTGTTATTTTTCTATTTTGTTTGACGGGTTTGGTGTTCCTACCAACAAACCTAGAATGGAAATAACCAAAGTTTTACAAATTTATTGTTAAAACAAATTATAAAAATTATTTTTCTTATGTACATTTTTCAATGTCGTTGAGATGTATTAGAGTTTTTGAATCTGTAAGCAATTTGTCCATCAATGGAATCGGTCTAGATGAAAAACCTGCACTTCGCACTCAGCTATTTTCTCCACTTCATAGAACAACATTGAATTATTGATATGTCACCTAACCCTAACCCTAGGATACATCTATTATATCCTTTATAACTCTTCTTTTGTTAGGAAAAGAATAAATCAATGCAGCATGTAAGCAATTCAATTCAGTGCTGACTGACCGGGGAATATTGTCCAACTTTCTCCTGTCGTTTGAAGACGCAGCACTTTTTATAGGTTAATACAACTTTTGACAGGGCATGGCAGTACCTCATCACTTCAACATCAGCCCAGACACGGCTTGTTCTTGCAATCAGGCACTGGTTCAAACTTCGCACCATCTTCTTCTAGACTGCAAGAGCATCACCTAGCTTTCATTTGCTGTAGCACATAACGACCCAGGAACAACTTTGGTCCCCCACAAAATTGTACCCTGTTGGATCTGAAGTGCCGCCATTCTTTATCAAGTTAGTACTTGGTATATTTTAAAAATTAAATGCATAATGCAGAAATTAACTATTAAAAGGGTCATTTACTGGGTCTGTCTCTACTCCCTGTGCCGGTTCAACTGAGTTCACCAACTTGAAGACCCATCATCAACTATTAAAACTGTGTTAAAATAATATTATTATTGCAATTAATATTATGCATAATAAAAAAATAGTCCAAACGTCTTGTGATTTGTAGAAATGTTGTCCAATCTGTAATTAAGCGCTTTATTTACTTAAAAATGTAATACTCAATGTTGTCAGGACCATGATGTATGATTTATATATTTAAAAAATTCTAACCATTCCTAACCTAACCCAACTCTACCTAACCTAACAACACAGCCCATACATTCTCTTAAGTAATGTGAAATAGATGATGGGGCAAATAGTTAAATAGTTCAACCCAAAAACATATCCGTGTTAATATGAAAAAAGTGTAAACATTCATGAAACTATCAATACAATTTTCTTGGGAATCAAAATGCATTCAATTAAACTATTTTTATAGATGCTAATTATGGCTTGTTATATTTTGTTTTTTCTTTCAAACAGCCAATGTCATGGGTGTGTATGGCTCTAAACGTTAATATTTTGTAACTGACAATGTACTTTGTTGTGATATATTTTCTTATTTATCCCTATAGACACTACAGTTTTTTACCAAAAGACCTTACAAGTAACGTTTAAGAAAAAATAACAAATGTTGGAAACATGCATGTTTTCTTCGGTGATATTTATTTAGCGTGTGAACTATGAAAGACTCAAATTTATAGTTTTATATTTGTTGTAAATATTGTTATTGTACTACTAAACATTTTAAAGAGGAAATTTAAAAAAGTTAAAATAAACATCACTTATTAACAAGCAATAAATAAATATGTACGGACAGGGACATGGACATAAACATTTTCATATTGCGGTTACCATAGTAATTATTGTGTAGTATGTAGTAGTCTCAAAATTTTTGAATTGTCAAATTCTAGTATTATACTGTTATGTTCCAAAAAAATGCTTGGGACATTTTCAAAAAGACTGGAAATACAATTTCGATTAATGGGCATGAACAATCTCAAAAAGCATTTAGGGCTTTTAAAATAGCTAAGGTAACATTTGTTAAAATCTTTTTAAAAAAAATCAGTGTAAAACCAACAATAAAAAATAATTGTTGCTATTAGAAGCTAAGTTAATATGAAAACAAATACATTTTGACTTAATTGCATCAAGCATATGTTAACCCAGTAGCTAATATCTTCATTGTTAAATTATTGTAAACATTAGATAAATCCACATAAAGATCCTACATATTGTATGTATTCCAAAATGTAACTATTATTGTGTATTAAAAGTTTGAATAGTAAGAGTACAAAAAAAAGTAACAACAATTAATGAAAATATCTAAGTTTTTCAATTTTCCATTAACAGCAATTAGTAGTTTAAATAAGATTGAAATTAGATGGTTTACTTATCACCTAAATGTTCTTGGTGATGAACCTATAATTTGATCATTACCACTCATCTTGGTCTGCTTCTCCTTGCTGTTTTGGCCTGCTGGTTGGACACACTGAAAATGGAAAATGCCAAAAGTGGTCTGACAACTTAGTGAGGATAGGCAAATCAGACTTAGTTGTTAACAATTAATTGTTTTATTATTTTTTTACACATTCAAGATCCTGGGAGAGGAAAAGCCAGAGCCTGAAGGATACACATGGAAGCCCTTGAAAAAGATTTGGGGTCTGGTAAAAAGCCTCAACCTTAGCGAAGAGCTTTAGATTTAAAAAAAAAGTGGAGATGCACAATAAACCAATGGTGCATAGGCCGGCTCCTATATAATTTAATCTAATCTACACTATTTTTCTGAAAAATATTAAAAAATTGATTGATTTATATAATAAAAAATCAATAATTGATGATTGAACACAATTTGTACTGATACTAATAAAGATCTTTTTTTTTAGCAACTAAACAAATATTTTCCACAAAAATTTGTTCGCCCAACATTGAAGTTGTATCCATTGAATGAATGGTCAGAAATGATATGGAAGCTTAAGAGAGTAAGAATTTACCATATAATAAACTATATATATACAAAATTGTGTTATGAAAATGAATGCTGAACCCATTTTTTCAATCATTATCAAAGACTAAATTGCAAAATTGGAGCACAACTGTTGTTTAAAAGATTTTTTAACTATTGCTTCTTTTGACAATTGGAATTTTATTGCGGTATAAATAAATCATTGCATTGATTTGTCTGTTAAAAAATCATTTTATGTTAAATTTTATTAAGGGATTAAATTTATTTCCAATATTTATTGCTTCTATCTTTTGAATTTTTTTGTTTTATTTTAATTTCCAGGATGTTCGATGTGGCAGAGTTCATAATGATGTCGCTGTCTATCTTAATAAAAAATTTGTAGGAGACGAGTATGGCCTCCTTTTAGAAATCCAACCACACCGTATCTTCTATCCACTAATCCATCAATTTGATGACACAACAGCAGAAGAACTTATGTTACTATATGGAGTGGGACCTGGGGTAAGTGTTTTTTTTTCTTTAAGTATACTTCAAAATTATGGCTTAAGGACCTTTTCATTTATAATTAAAATCCAAACCTGTATTTGTAAAAAAAATTTTGTTTTGGTTATTGCGTAAAATTCTGTTTTCTGTCATGAGCATTGCATCTCCTTCAAAAACACAAATCAAATCTGTATTATATTGATATGAAGCACAAATTAATTTCAAACCTGTCAAAATATATGTAATAAAATATGAAGCTGATTTTATTGAAGTCAAAATTAATTGGATAAATTAGAGAGGTTGCCTTAGAAACTATTTCATTCACTTGGCTACACATTTTCAGATAATCTTTCTTGTGGTGTTGCCCATTGTTAAAAACAAAACCTCTGATCCCTTCTAAATAATAACTGAGTTGTGACTTGGGTGCCAAGGCAAAACAAAGAATCAATTGTGATGAAAAAGGATAAACTTGCTAAATAACTGTTGATGAGATTTGTAGTACCAAAGACTGCAATAGATGGAAACAGATTTGCTTAAAATTATATAAAATTGAAACAGAATACACAAAAATGGATGGTTCAATTTAGTAGAAAGCTTTAACCAAACAACATATTCCTTACTAAGCTGTCTCACTACTCTCATTCATCGTTGGTGGTCACAACAGTTAGAGCAGACACAGTAACTTATATCTATAAGAGTCCAGGGTTAGATTCTCAACAGCCCTGAATTCAATTCAAAATTAATTCCAATTGGCTTTTTTACAGTAGAAAAACACCAGAGTAGTAAAGCACTCTCACTCTTTCCCCCCTCTTCATATGGAGTTTTGGGGACCACAGTGGCTGGTGGTTAGGGCATCTAACTCATATTTGCCACACTAGAGGTCCTGGGTTCGAATCCCGGCATAGCCCATGGATTTTTAATCGTGAATAACATGGAGAAAGTACTGTAAAGTGGCAAACCCCTTGTCCCAAATACTACTCGGACATTAAGCCCTCCTCTATGACAAGAATTATTTTACAAATAACTTTATATATAATAAAGTATAAGTACGAGTCCTAGATTCATACGTTTAGCACTTAAACTTTCATTTTGTGCTGATCATCTAATGAATTTCTTGGCAGATATGTGTTTTTTAATGTAGTAAATAATTCTTCTCAGAGATATAATATCAAGATTTGCATGATTCAAGAATGATTTTCCCAGGCACCATAGGACATGTTCAGTCATTTCTTTCTCGCTTTCTCCTATTGAGATGTTTTTGGAGTAGTCTTTTAGCTTGCCTCATGACTTGCCTTTTCTCACAGTATTTGTTGTGTTCGTTAGTTACCCATGATTCCAGTTCTCTTTTAAGGTGGCCAAAGGTCATTCCACAATTGGATTTGGCCCTATGGGTAGTACCAAGGGTCCTTTTTAAGCAATGCTGCCTCATTACCTGTAATTCTCTTCTGACCTGGGACCCACTGTAATGCTAGGTTAGGTGTTTTTTGTTTATTTCAAGTGCACAGGTTTCTATGGCTAGCAGTTCAGCTTGAAAGATAGTTGTGATGAGGCCAAGATTTACATGGTGCTCAAAGTTTAGGGTCTCTTTATGCCAGTGCCCATAGAGTTTCCCATCTTTTTGCCACCCGTATAACATAGAAAGGACTCCAGGTTTGACTACTTTTCCTTTATATTTCTTGGATTTCTTTTCAGGAACTAGTCAACATCAAACTCATTTTCTTTGATGGTTGTCTAGTTCCTGAAAAGAAACACAAGAAATATAAATCGTCAACAACCGGAAAAGAAGAGTAAAAAATATAATTGCTATAAAAAATGTAATTGCTTTATATTTCCAGTCAGCTCTCCTTTCAATAATTATTTTGTAAGATTTTTCAAAGGTCTCATATTTTCTCTGATAAGTCAGCAATAGTTTTAACCAACTTTTATATTAGTTTTATCAAAGATTTTGGTGGCTTTCACTCAGCTCTCGCTCAGTATGAACAATTAGAATATTCATATAACTGCTCCTTTAACACTGACATTTAAATGAACATAAGATCTATAGGAATGAGCCTATCTGTAGACTTTGGGGTGTATTGAAACAAACCACTGACTTAAAACCCAAATCAGAACTCCTTAGTACATGAATTAGTGCCGTAGACAAAAATGTATGATGGAAATCTAGTGGCACAATAATCTAAAATGACTGCTCAAGGTTAAGGTTAAAAGAAGTCAGCTTTTTTACAACCTTGGACCAGTGCGATCAGGCTATTGTTCAATGATTGCTCAGGTTGTCACCGAACCCAGAAATCGGCCAACAATTCTATTTCATAAATTAATAGTAATTTATTTATTGATTTTTTATTCAATTGTGCACATATATGCAGCATCAAAACTACAGTTTTTTGGTTGTCAGGGATTAGATCTCGGTCTTATCCATACAACTGCTGAAGGTTAGGCTCAAGCTACAACAAGGTCATTTCAACCCCCATTTTAACCTAAATACACCCTCCAAAATACAGTCTTTTTATTTGCAAATCATTCATTCAAGTACTCAACATTCCTCAATCGCCCTTTACTCATATACAACTACCTACCTATCTACCTACACTCACGCTTATAAATACATTCTTACAAAACAGTTAACACAGTACATCACCACAATAATTGCCTGCAATAAAAAAATCTAAATGTATGGAAATACTAGTTTCCTTAAAAAATCAGAATGGAGGACTCAGATTTGTTGTACTTGAGTACAATTCTCATATCGAGTGGCATTCCTGCTCGCTGTATATAAGGAGCCAAGGAATGACACCCTTCAATTAAGTGGTACACGAGCAGTAAGTGTCCATGTGTCCACATATGGCCGATCTTTCTTCTGCAATTTAGTCTCTCTGGGTAACACCTATCAACCATGCAATTGACACACAACAGCTTCTCAGATGAACATCGAGGTATAAAGTCTGAAGGTTTAGCAGGCTCGTCTGCACATTTGTTTTCAGACAACTACCTATTTTCCAAGATGCTCTAACTCATTGTGTCTTTCAAGCAAAAGCACATCAGTATTTACTGAGAATTTGCCCCTTAGAGCCCACCATGCACTCAGGGAGTCAGTGAATCTGATTTTAATGGCTTGCCAGACCACATACAGCTCAGCCATCTAGAAATGGCACCCTGGGAAATAAGAGGCATACAAATCCTAATGACTTCTCCACCTTTCTATTTTTAATATAAACTAGCCAATTCTGCTGAATCATAGGTATTGACCAAATCTGTGTTATAAACTTTTCTATAAATATTTGCTAATTGTTTTTGTTTCTTTTTAGAAATCATGTGTCTACTTCGATTTATCTTTTGGCAATGTGCTAATTGGGCGGGTCTATTTTGAGGTAATTTTATGTATTTATGCTTTTTTTTATGAAAATATACTCATAAATTAACACAATGTAGCAATATGTTAAATACAAGTCAAAGCCTTTGAATATGTAATTAATGAATTTTCTTTTAATTTAATGCAATTTGTTATCTTGCTAATCATCAGTCCTTTATGATACATGTGAGAAGATGGTTAGTAAATTCTTTGTCTTACATTTTTTAAATATACAAAGTAAATATTTAATATTACAATTAATATCTGCAATAGCTGGCTGTTTGTAATTTTTTTTTTTTAACCTAATTTTAGATTCATTCAGACATTATGCCTAATTTAACCAGACGATTTATCCAGCTCTGTAAGAATGAACGTTTCCATTTTCGCCATCAGTTGAATGGACGTTTTTCTAAATCGGAAGAAAGTTTATTTGATGAAAATTTGGCTTGGGACCCATCTCTTATTGAACAATCAAAAATGTTGGAAGGAGAGACTGTAAATTTATTATCTTACGCGGATACACAAATAATTAAATTTCTAACTCCCAATTTAATTTACGGAGGAAGTAAGTAAAATATAAACGATTAATTTTATACAATTTCAGTTTTATTTGTGCATGTGATACGAATAAGAATTAAATAAAGATAAATTATTCTTCAGTATCTAATATACTTTATTTTGTTTTTTCTTTTTGATACTGAGATGCAATAGTCGTTTATAGCAGTTATGTTGTCAGATTTATTTTTGGATCTTCATGATGAGCCTGTAGTTTGGTCATTTCTGATCACCCTGATTGACCTATCTCCCTATCTCTGCTGGATTTTGACATTTCAACTTCTGAAATGCTTCTGGCAGACCAAACTGAGTTTAAACAACTACTGTTGGGCATCTATTGCATATTAAAATTCCAGTTTCTTCGTGATACTTTAATTATTACTCGATAGATTAACTTAAGTATTTACAATTTAAAAAATGTAATACCTTTTCAAATTTGGTAAAGCCATTTTTTTTTCTCATTGGGGTCACTGGTGACAGAAGTCTCCCTTACTTCTTTCTTAAAGAACCTAACCTAACCTAACCTTACCTTATGTTAACTAACCATCCCTAACCTTAAAGAACTATCGTGGAATTAACTCTTCTTTATTTCCATATCTCAGAAAGTGCAATATTTTAAGGCAGTTGAACATTTTCCAATGTTCTTTTTTACTTATTTCCCTAGGCATTATAGTCAGCTTTCCTAGGTAGCTGTACCATTTGCAGGCTAATGCTTCACACTTCTGATATGTCTTCTGATTCATGGTAGACCCAGCACATTTCAGTTTTCCCATTTTTCAAATTAATAATTAAATGGGCAACGGCCAGTATAAATGTCTATTGTTTTTGTTAATTCCTGTCTGCTGAAAAAGATGTTTGTACCTGATGAATTCATCGAGTCATTTCTTTCTCTGTTGCTAGAGCATTCTTTGGGATGTGCTGATTTGCGGTCTACAGGGTGTGAGAGCTGCCTTCAATCCACTTGTGTCCTGGAAGACAGAGTTGCCTGAATGCATTTCCCAGGAGTTCTTGATATGCTAGATCTTCCCAGGCCACCTTTGAATTGGTAAAGCCATTTCTGTAACTTATTGTCTTGAAACAAATCTGCCATATCATTATTTTTATGGCCATAGCCCTTATTTCAATGCAAACAACTAACAACTTGTTTAGACTAGATTAAATCTTCTTTTTCCTCTATTATCATTGAAAAATTAAATCACAAAAGCTGTCTGATATAACTGATGCATCACAGAATACTTTAAATAAACTTAATTCAAAACTCTCTAGAAACAAAGAAAATGTTAAATTTATTTTTAATATACCAACTTCTTTTAGAAATAAAGAATATTAATGACGAATGGTTGGATGGAGAAATAGAGCCTGAAATATCCCATGAAGAGTTTGGAAATTTATCACTGAATATGAAAAGGACACGAATAAAGAGACAACAAAAAGTACATTCAAATCATTTTATCGTAACTCTTGTGCCTAACCCTTGGATGGACAAACACTACAGGTGCATAGGGTAATTGACTTTCCAAACATTTTATATAATTTACAAAAATATTTCAACCATTTTAATTAAAAAAATGTGCATTGACAAAAGATCAAAGTACTTATGAATTATTTTATTATTGTTAATCCTATTTAACCAAATTAATGCTGTATCACAAGGAGCATTCTTGATCCCATTCTGTTTTATACTGCTTACTTTGTTAAACAACACAACACCATCCTTACCACCTATATGAATAAAACTGCAATTCAGTCTTAACATGAATTCAAGCAACCTTGAAGAACACCTTGAGTTTATCAAAGATTGTCAAAGAAGTGGAAGAGAAGAGTGAATGTGGAAAAATGTACACAGTTGCATTGACATTGAAAAAACCGTCTTGCCCTCCTCTATACATCCATTCGTCAGATACTTAGAACTACGTATACAGGGTGAATTGCTACTCGTGCTACAAACTTCTCCAGTAGATTCTTCACCCTAAAATGAACAAAAAAGTTCATATTGTCCATGGTCNAGAATCGGACCATGGACAATATGAACTTTTTTGTTCATTTTAGGGTGAAGAATCTACTGGAGAAGTTTGTAGCACGAGTAGCAATTCACCCTGTATACTGCAGACTGACATGAAATCCCCACACAAGTCTTGAGAGACAAAAGACTTTCAGACAGAAATCTGTTTTGAACATCAAAACTCAATTAACTCTACAAGCAAATACTGCAACCACTCTGGACATTCAATCCTTCCAATCAAAAGTCCTTAGACTAATTATCAAAGCTCTCAATATATTACAAACTTCATAATCAACAACCTCAAAATTTCTTTTGTCAATGAAGTGATTCGACCCTCTTACAAAAGTTCCCCATTGTGATTTCAATCCATCCCAGCCCTACTGCCAGAATGTGGTGTTCTGCAAGGGAACATCCTTGGTCCCATTCTTTATTTGCTATACACTGCAGACTACTGATCAAGATACTGTACTCCTCCTATATGCAGGCAATACCATCAACCAGGGTATGTGACCACAATGGTTTAGGCGTTGACACAGCGATCATCACTGTATGTAAAGGTCCCGGGTCTGAATCCAGCAGCCCTGCATTCGAACCCGACATACGTACAAATTGTCTGTTTTAGTTCGACTAATTGGAACCCCCACAGTCGACTCGAAAGAATACAACTGCTGCACCACATTCGATCGCTCTTCCAAAAGTTCCACACTGAGCTTTTGATCCATCCTAACCCTACTCCCATTTACACCGACTAAGAGATTCACCTTAAATGATGATGGCATCAAGACCTCCTTAATCTCTCATATTGAATGCCAGCGTTGGCTGGTTTTTCTTAGCCTGTGTCCTCTGGGTAGATTACTGACAGTAGTATACTATAAACTTATTTTGCAGTTCAGTTTTACTACTTTACTAGTCAGTTTACTGCAACAATGATTTTTTTTCTAAATTCACCACGATTACAATACTACCAGTTCTTGGTTTAAAATTTGAAATATTGAGGAATTCTTTATTAGAATATTATTTTAAGTGTGAAATTAAATTTCAAAGGTTTTTCACGTTTTTATTTCAATAAATCTTATATTTTTAGGAGGGTAATTCATGGACACCATGTCTTAACTAAGTTAAAAGATACTCCAGCAATGGGAAATTCACCTCTTCATATTGTTACCATTATAGACTGTGGAGTACTGTATTCACCTATTTTACATACAGAAGGAGAGAACAAAGAAATTGAAATGGGCAAAAGAGAAAGTTTCGTAATGAAAGAGTATTCAACAGTTGTTACACACTATTGCGCTGAAATGAGTGAGGTCGAACAAACAGAAGATAGCACAAATGAAAGAAAAGAAATAGCATTTTTTAATATAGACACGGATGAAAATGTGTCCTGCCGTCAAGTTGATTCCCATACAGTGTTTTATGAAGAATCAGAAATCACAACTGCTGTGTACCCCGTAGAATATGAGTACATCGAGATGGAATGTGATCATTTGGAAAGTTTAGGTAGAAATGATCAATTTTGTAAAGCAATCGTATTACACCAAAAGTCAGAAGTTGATAGTCTTTCGTCTCTAGAAGACAGTAGTGATCAGGAAAGTTCCTCCGATTTAAATATTATTTCTAATACTTCTAGTTCATATGTCTCTAACAATGTTCACATAACTCATCTTGATGAAGAAATAACAGACACTGAGGACAATACGGACCTTGAAACAACTGACAATGACAAAGAAACCTTATCAGTTAGCGAAGAGAATGTTAATGACACTATGTATCTCAATGTTAATACTCCGTCTATTTCACCACGATTGAACCAGCCAAATCTCAGGAGAAGGATAATTGGCAAAGACATTCAAAAATCAATTGGTGTTGGCTCAAGTGAACCTGATATTTACTCAATATTTGATTACGAAGAAAGTTCCGATGTTAGCGAATTAAAACCACCTTATATCGCAAGGCCTATTAAGGATCCTCATTTAATGCCGAAAAAAGTGTTGGAATATATCTTTCACTGCGTATACAAACATCACAAGCATGTAAAATTAGATGAAAACATCATCACGATAATGCAGACTGACACATTTAAATCTGCGCTAGCGGCACTCCCTTCGCCTGTATTACGCAGCATAGCAAGAAAAATGGACGGGATTGCCGTTGAGTTAGCAGAAATGGAACGTTCGGTTAAAAATGAAGAACAAAGAAAAATACACGATGCTGTCATCGCTGATGGCGTACTTCAATTTACAAACAACATGGTCGAATTCATGGTGAATGAAATGATTGAAAGTATGATGCCAGCTAACAGGCGAAATCCAGAAAGTTTACATAAGAAACATAGGGAAAAAAAGACATTATAAAAAAAGAACTTCAAATAATTATCTTTTGGAATTTTTATTTTACTCTTACATTCATGAAATTTAATCAATATTTGTATCTATATTTATGATCGATATAGCAGAAGTTCACCCCTGAATTTAATTGCACAGTTTAATTAGTGAACAGAAATACAGTGAACACAGAAAAGATAGTTGAAATGTTTTCATTACGTAATTAAACTTAATTGTCATACATTTTTCAATATTTATCTATTTAACTTTCCGTCAAATACTTCAGTTTAAATTATTCGAAATTTTAATAAGTGGACGTTGTGCTGTTTGTTTTTGTTGTTTTTTCTGAACAATTACAATAACAATTAACTTCTTTTAATTGTATTAACATTTTTAAAGAAGAATGCCATATAACAAATATTAATGTTTTGGATGGAATAAACATGATAATCTGTATTTGGTTAAAAAGAATGTTGATAACTACCCCCCTCCATGAGCAGACGCAAAAAAAATTAACGTTGTTTAATTTTTTAACTATTATTATTTCCTAAGGTAATGTGATTTATAATCAATTTTATACTAATAAAAAAATATAAAAAAATTGTATAAATACACTTTTTTTCCACATCCTACATGTAATTGTTAATTGTAATCAATGTTTGTAAATCCCAGGCCCTGAAGATGATCTGAATAAAGATCTATATATATATATGAAAAGATTTATATATTAATATATTACTAATATCTAATTAACAAGTTGAAAGACAATTGTGCCATAGAACTAGCTTCAAAGAATTTAAATAGAATAAAACTGAAAACATTAAAAATTTATCCAACCTTCGACACTTTTGCTTAATATCAAAAACCTGGAACAAATTTGTCTTTCAATATTTTTGAGGTGGACTGCAACGACTCTCTAGGTACATTTTCTATTCTCGGAAAACTCTTGGCGATGTCTGAGTGCTGTTTATGAGAAACGTCATGCTTAAAATCTACAGAATCATTGCACACAATATTTTTGACATCGGTGAAAGAAGGAAAAAGACTGTCAATTTTGGAATTGTCTATGTTCCTACAGCTCTCTGAAAAAGAAGAAGAAGAAAAAATGTTTAAAAGAACAGTGCTTGCTTTCAAATTGTATTACCGTTTTGTTCATTTTCACTAAAATCTTTTTTCTCGTCATGTATATCAAGGCATCCTTTTATATCTGAAATATATTATGTTCAATAAGTTAATAAGTTTTTTTTTAAGCAGGATTATTTACCTTCTTCATACGTTTCAAACCACTTGGCGACTCTTTCAGCGATATCTTCTTCTTCGTCACTAGAAGTGAGAGGTTCAATGTCTGAAGGCTCTTTAGAACACCACTCTGGTTCATTTTCTATATCCCAAATCTGAAGGAGCGTTGGGACAAGGTAATCACAATATTGTAGTAAACTTTTTTTTGATTTCTGCCAAAACTCATACTCTGATGAATTGATGTCCATATTTCTTCTCATTGCGGGTTTTCTTTCTTCATATATTCCTACACAATAGATGAAGGAATAATATAAAAACTCAACATTTAGTTAACTTCGTAGTTATTTAAAAAAAAAAAAAAAAAGCTTCATTGTAAAAATTAATGAAAATTTAAATTTTAAAAAATTGTAGGTATTGAACAATAAATATTAATAAGTCAATGGCACAGGTAAGGTTTAAAACTTGATGAAAGTATTATAAAGATTCACTAATTTCGTGGTCTGCTTGACCAATTAATGTATTACGATTAAGATTTTAGTTGAGATAAAAAAGTCAATGGCACGAGCGGGATTCGAACCCACGATCTTCGGCTAGATACGCCGCTGCTCTACCACTTGAGCTATCGTGACCTCGATCCACTCGGACACCAACTTTCTATCTCAACCCCACCTTTTGAGTTTTCCCTCCTTTTTGCCATTTTTCAACTTCAATTTTTATCTCAACTAAAAACCTTAATTAATCGTAATACATTAATTGGTCAAGCGGACCACGAAATAGAGAATTTAATGAATTTTAATGAAGTATACTTTACTAAAGCTCTCCATGGCCATTTCATTTGTTGTCGACAATCCAATCCGATTACACGACATTTGAAAAATGGCAAAAACTCAAAAGGTGGGGTTGAGTAGGAAGTTAGTGTCCGAGTGGATTGAGGTCACGATAGCTCAAGTGGTAGAGCAGCGGCGTATCTAGCCGAAGATCGTGGGTTCGAATCCCGCTCATGCCATTGACTTTTTTATCTCAACTAAAAACCTTAATTAATCGTATTATAAAGATAAATAAACTCTTACTTTGTAATAAGTGTTTACTAGTTGCCTGCCTTTTTATACTGACAGGCGTCTGGGATTGTTTAAACAATGTGACACATTCATTTTCCCATTGATTAAGTAGTTTGATTTCTGATGGTTTAAAATTTTCATCGTCTGAGTTTGTGGCGTCAACTCTCTTCTGCCAGAAAACATCTCCGACAGAATTCGATCTCAAAATATGAATGCCCCGATTTTCATAACAGCAAAGTCCAGTCGTAATGAATCTAAACCTGAAATATTAGATGAATTTAATTTATAATTAATATTCTAATAGTATTTTTAAAATGAATTTTCTCCAATCTACCATGCCAAGGCAGGTGGTCGGCAAGGCAGCATCCTTGGTCCCATTCTCTACTTACTTTACACTACTATCAAACTGATACTGTACTCCACATATGCAGATGATACCACCATCCTTTCAGCAAACCCAGACCCAGTGGTCTTCAGAAACATCCCCCATCTCTCCTGTTTAGAAGAATGGTTGAAGAAATGGAGGATCAGACTCAAAGAATCCAAATTCCAGCAAATAACCTTCACCCTTGGTTTTATCACCTTTCCTCCAATCTAGTACATCTCTATTCTGATCCATTGATCTTCAGAAACATCCAGACTCTCCCCCATCTCTCCTGTTTGGAAGAATGGTTCAAGAAATGGAGGATCAGACTCAAAGAATCCAAATTCCAGCAAATAACCTTCACCCTTAGTTGTATCACCTTTCCTCCAATCTAGTACATCTCTATTCTGATCTAAGCAACAAATATGCTTGCTGTAAAGTAAGATAATAAAATCTGTTATTTGGGTCAATGCCCTCACACCACCCAAGGCTCACAAGGAGTGGTCACATACACAGCTTCATGAGCAAGGATTAAGGATCCACCGCCACTCCAGATCCCATACAAAAACTCATCGAGACACAGGGTCCGCACTCCAAGGTCTCACCATCCAAGGTTCTTAACCGACGCCATTGGCTGAGACAGATTTAGTGTCTAGAATGAGAAGTGGAGTGTTGGAAAGTAAGATACAGATTCATAGTCAAACAGATGATGTAAACTACTGAAAAGACTACTTGACAACAGATCGCAACTCTGACTACAACACATATGCCTTATTGTTACAACCAATCAGGATAAAAAGAACTGAACTGTGGGGTTCAATCATTCCAACCTTCAAAGAATCCAGTCACTCCAGTCCAAAACCCTTCAAATCTCACCCATGCTTGCTACTTTTCATCCGACTCTACAACGCACCAGTCCATCAGATTCCTTTTGTCCTTGAAACCGTAAGAGGTCAATACAGGTGCATCCATAAAACCCTGGAGGACTCTCGTCCAAACCCCCTAGGAATTGAACTGTGGTTTCCAACCTTCAAGGAATCCAGTCACTCCAGTTCAAAATCCTTCAAACCATTACCCGAGCTTCCTATAATTTGTATGCAACTTTACTGTCCACACAGATCTCCAAATCCCTTTTCTACTCAAAACCCCAAGTAATCAATACAAACGCATTCATGAACCCTGCACTCTCATCCCAACCCCCTGTCCAACACTTTTCATCCTGAACCCTCCCTGACAATCCTCTGAGGTGCCTAAAGCGCTAATGACTTCATGATTTACTCCCAAGTGAAAAAATGAATATTGTTCAGTATTGGGCAAAAATTAGTCATGTCTAATGATTAATGATTGATCACTCAGACCGTTAGTCATGATTGGTAGTAAGTGACTAATTTAATCATTAGTCGCCATATGTGATTGATGGCTAAATTAGTCATGACTAGTAATTAAATACGAGGCATGACTAATTTAGTCACAATATAGTTAGTCATGACTAAATTTCGATAAATCATATTCAAATGGGCGCTCAAAAAATGAAAAATACACTTCGTCACTTTTAAAAAATTTTCTAACAGAAATTTATTTCATCAAAACGAAAATCCTTCAACACCTTATTTAACAAAAATCAATCTTCCAATTATAAGTAAAACTCCGTCGTTATAAAAAGCCAAAAAATAATGATAATAATAAATGTGTAGAGATTAGTGACCGTTAATCGATAGTTATTCAGATATCGTGAGATGCGGTCGGGTGTGATGTAGGTTTCANTCATTATATGATTTAATCATAATTAATTCAATCATGAGGTATGACTAAATCATATAATGATTAATTTACTCATGACTAATTCAATCATGATTAAACTTCAATCAAAATTCTTAATCATGATTGAATTAGTTTGATTTTGCCCAACTCTGATATTGTTATGAAAGCGTAATTTATAAATTACTTATTCACTCTTATAATGTTTTAATATAAAAATGACTCACCATCAAGCAAAAAAATAAAAAGGTTTGAAATGTTTAGAAGTGACATGTGATACAAGTGTTTTTTTTTCATTTTCCATTATTGTACCTGCTGTTGATGAGGTAGTCCAGGCAAAGGTTTTCACACCTCGCTTTGTTCAATGATTCAGCCCTGGATGGCAAAATGTAAGGATGTAATGGACTGAAACAACCGTCATCCTGGAAGTGATTTTCCATGTAAGCCACATTATCACTCCTTTGACATCCCACTACGATCATTTCCCTGTACATAGAAACTTATTACTCTTTGTAATTATAGTAATTATAACGACTGCGACATACTTAAAACGTTCACGTGTTGTGCTGATTAAACAAGGACTTGTTGAAATTCCATGCGTCCACTTTTGGATCCACCCAATACGCGGATCGAGAGACAATAAATTATGCCCAGTTGTAATGTAATGTAAACCGAATGATCCCTGAGTTCCGCAAAATATCTTATCGCATTCTTCTGTGATGTTACTTATGTCGAATGTGTTTGAGCTTCTACCATAAATGTGCGTCTGAAAAGAATACTCTTTGTGAATTAATGTTTTACTATTGGAAAAAGCAATGTTCATGTATATAAAATGTAAAGAGAGACCCTAAGATCTACAAAGTTAACTGTTGAGCGGTCCATATATGCAACTGTGTTAGCATCAATGTAGTACACTTGGCCCCAACAATCTGTTACATTCATTCCTTTACAATTCAAACTGTCAGTTGTCATTTTCCTAGAAATATTATAATAGAGACTTTCAGAGACATTTAAAAAAATATAAATAAATAAATAGAACATAGCTAATTTACACATTCATATAATTAATAAATATAAATGCATTTATGTGACTCAGGATTCTGATAAACACGAATATTTTTAGCAGAATTCAAACGATATCTTCTTAATTGATTTTTATAATATAATTGATCAAAACAACAAATATTTTATAACATGAGCTAGAAATGAACTAAAAGGCAGTCGGTTTGTTTCCAATTCTCATGGAGGTAAATATAACAGTTATAAATTATAAATAAGTTAAATCATACAATATATCCAGGATTGTTAAGCCTGTGGGTTGGTTTGTGTATTGTAGAGTATTTGGCACAAGTTTATTTGATTAATACGTTGACTGAGTTAGACAGAATATGTGCGTCATGCCTACAGTCCTTCTGGGTGCAATGAATGCATGGTCTTCGTCTTCCCGTTTATAATTTTTAAAACCCCCCTCGAAATTCCTAGAGCCAGCTCGGACAGAGTGAAAGTGTCACTGGCTACAATTTTTAATTTATTCAGTAAAAACTACATAAGTTGCTTTTCTGTGAATGTGTTTTGTTATTTTAATTATTTACCTATTTTATACGATGATATTAAATAAAGGAAAAATTATGTCTTTTATTCAACTACAAGCCCTAAGTGAACAAACAATCTGCAGGTTGCCTACTTTATTTACTTAACGCTGCGGGGGATGCAACTTTGCATATATTATTATTTATAATTTATATCACTTAGCGAAACATAAGAAAAAGAAAATGAAAAAAAAATTTACATTATTTTTAAAGTTTTTAGTTGAGATGAAAAAAAGTTAATGGCACGAGCGGGATTCGGACCCACGATCTTCGGCTAGATACGTCGCTGCTGTACCACTTGAGCTATCGTGACCTTGATCCCCTCGGACATCAACTTCCCATCTCAACCCCACCTTATGAGTTATCCCTCCTTTTGCCATTTTTCAAATGTCGTGTAATCGGTTTTGATTCTCAACGACAATTGAAATGGCGACGGAGAGCTTTATTGAAGTGTACTTCATTTTTTAAATCATTAATTCACTTGAGATGGGAAGTTGATGTCCGAGGGGATCGAGGTCACGATAGCTCGAGTGGTACAGCAGCGGCGTATCTAGCCGAAGATCGTGGGTTCAAATCCCGCTCGTGCCGTTAACTTTTTTTCATCTCAACTAAAACCCTTAATTAATTGTCATGTATTAATTGGTCAAGCGGACCACGAAAGTAGTGAATTAATTATTTTTAAATACCAGAGAGCTCTTTTACACAATTTCTGCCATGGGCAACCAAAATGGCCAAGCATAGGCTATAGTTAATGTTTTTTTTGTTTTTTTAATTTAAAATTGATCATAACAAGTATTTTCACATCTACATATTTCATTCATATGTCTGATCTGGAGGGGTGAATTACTCTGAAGCAATTGGCAGCAGTGTCTGCGGCCGGTATGGAGGGGTTTAAATTGTATAAAAATTTCTTTTTTCCTAGGAATGCAAAAATTGCCTGTTAAGAGAAGTAGTGCTATAGAAGGGTGCTTAGAGGGGTTTCACTGTAAATATTTTATGGGAAAGGAGTAAAAGGAGAGACCTGACCTCCTAGACCCATTAGGTTAGAATTTAAACAAAACCGCAAATGAAACTATTCACTAACTTCCTTGGGCCTCAAAGGGACGAGACACAAGGATGAATTTAAATTTTAACTCACCCAAATGAGCCACAATAGGTTTAGTTAGTGGGCGTATGCAGTCTCCCTTTGGTTTGGCAAGGAGGTGGATGGGAATAAAACAAAAAACTTCTAATTTGGTTGTCTTAATCATTTTCATCTCCCCAAACAGTTTGGTCTACCTGCTAAGTTTCAGTATTTTACTATCTTTAGTTGCGCATTTTGTACCCCTTTTTCAGTTGTGTTCCTTTTATATATTTGTAAAAATGTGAAGGTGAAAAAGAAAAGTTTTAAATCATATTCCAGCGAAGTTGTAAATTTACCCCTCTTGTGATTTCCAAATGGTGAGCTCTTGATCTGGAGACAGAGTACAAAATTCGCCGACGATTTTATTATTAATGGAAGACGAAATGAAAGGATTTTCCCCATCGATATTTATCTCTACGTCTTGCACTATTCCATCGTCGACTTCATTGAATGTCACATATGTGCAATTATTTTTCTGCCTAATAAGGGCTATATCTAAAACAGAACTTCAAATGTGTACTATTTACATTAAATCATTATACACTACAGTTTATTACTTTTATAAGTATCAATTTGAAAAATATCAGACTGATTATTTGTCAGAAATGTATAATCCAATTCATTATTAAGTTCGCCAGTTCCAAAGTCTTCTGTTAGTCTATAAAGCACTAAAACATCCATTAATTAAAAAATACTCATTTCTCAACATGAGCATAAAAATTGTTAAAAATCAATACTTGCATATGTTAATTATTTTTTTCTTCTTTTGTGCTGATCTAATTAAATACGTATTATCGTTAATAAGCAATGTTCCAATATTTCCACCAGTATAGTACCAATCATAAACCTACAATAAAGTTTTAAGAGTTTTAATAATTAATATTTCTTAACTAGGAGGATCAAATGTATCATTACTCCATCCAAATAAGGATCTGGATCTTTTTCCATGTGATCTACGAGTGCGTACAAGTTGGGATGGCATGTGATACTTGATGGAATATCTGGAAGTGAAAATAAGCAAAAATCAAAATGTTAGATGTAAAAATGAAAATATGTCATGAAAATAATACTTTCGTTATCGCTGAAATCCATTTCTTCCTCATTTTCATCCGCGTGAACAGGAATCATTGAGTCTTCACAGAGGGAAAGTATTCTTTTTTTCTTTAAATTCCATATTCGCTTTTGGTTTGCCAACTTAAAGGCGGGATCAACTCCATTGATTTCTGCAGGGGGGGGGGGTAACTATTGTTAATTTTTATGATTATATATCTGAACTAAATTGAAACAATAAATTATTTTTACCCGTTAAAATAATTTATTGTTTCAATTTAGTGTTTGAGCACTACACAGAAAACAAACACTTTGAGCGAGTACAAATACTTTGATTGAACCTTAAATTTCTATCATTGTATACATTCATTTTCACATCTTACATGAATTTCTATCATTTAAACAATGTTTATAAATCCCAGGCCCTGAAGATGATCTGAATAAAGATCGAAACATGGCACGATAAAGAAAATGTTTTTCTAAACCTACGTCACACCAGACCTCATCTCACGATTGCCAAATAATCATAAAAAATTATTTTCACTCTTTTATCTTTTATTATAAAAATAATTATTCATATTTGTTAAGTACTAAATTTAAAAAAATAAATAAAAACGTAATTGAATCCTTGGCTTCAATTCCTTGGCATTCTTGAAGTGTTTCTTTATTGGAAGGAATAATTTTCTATTAAAATTAAAAAGAAAAGAAGGGGAAGCAGATTGACAAGATAGTGCAATAAATATTGCCAAATTAATATGCATAGAATATGAGTAACAAGAAATGAATTTGTGAAAAAAACTTCAAACCGTGTTATTTTCTCCTCAATCTAACATATTTTAGGATTTTAATATTTTGTTCAAATAACTACATCCCAAATTCAACTAGCAGATTTGAATGTTTGTATTAATGAGTGGTGTTTAGTGACCGTTAGTTAATTATTATTTGGAGATCGTGAGATGCTAATGTGGTCTGGTGTGACGTAGGTTTAGAAAAACATTTTTTTCATCGTACCGACGTTTCAATCTTTATTGAGATCATCTTCAGGGCTCAAAGTGTTTGTTTTCTGTGTAGATGTGTGTAAAAAATTATACTTGTAATGTTTATATTGGGCCTTTTTTAAACCGGCGGAAGATTAGATGTAGATGTAATAGTCGAGGTAAAATTACTGCGCCCCTTAAGAGCTATTCTATCCCCTGTTCTCTACCTAAAGCACATCGGTGAGTCCTATTTCATCAAGAAACTTGATTAATAGGCCCGGTTTCAGAGGTCGAATCTTTTCTTTGGTCACATTGTACATCCCAAAACACTTCCTCCTGGGGGCAAGTGTAGCACCACAGTAGTAGATGTGTTGGTGTCTCCTCTGCCTCTTTGCAGAATCGGCATGTGCCGTCTTGGATTATTACAATCTTCTTTAAGTGTCCATTTAGCTTGCAGTGTCCTGTTAAGAATCCTATTAAGATTTATTTTTTAGTTTATTCCTGCTTCCTTTGACACATTCTGTAGTTTCTTTTCTTCTGAAATTTGTTGGATTGCCTGTGTCCAATGAGTGAATTCCATTGTTCCTTTATTTTCATTTTGTCCTTCTGTCTGAGATAATCAGACAATGACATCATGATGGGAGTTTTCTTGGACATTAGCAAGGATTCAATAGACCATGAAATATTATTCAACAAAAGGCATAAGAGGTTTAGCTTTAAAATTGTCAAAAGTTATTTTATGGATAGAATGCAAGTAGTTAAAATAAATAATTCATTATCCCCCCAAATTAAATCAAACAGTCCTGGGACCATTATTATTTCTGATCTATATTTTTGACCTTGACGTAGACTGCACAATTACTGGATTCGCTGATGATACCGTCTTACTAATTGAGGATGAAACAAATGAACAATTAATGATAAAAGCCTCTGGAAATATAAATGAAATACGCTGGTATCATACAAATAAACTTTTATTGAACACAGAAAAAACTAAATTAATTATATTTAGTATCCAAAATGAAAGCAATATAAATAATAATAATTTAATAGTACATAACGGCGATTGCTCGTTCAAAAATTGCTCTAACTGCTTTGAAATTAAACAAGTTTGTTCAATTAAATGTTTAAGATTAACCATAGACAAAAACCTATCTATAATAAAAAGAATGTTATCATTATTTTATAAATTTAGATTATTAAGAGATATAATTGATATAAATACCATAAAACGAGTTTAAAAACTTGTGCAGTCAATTTTCTCTTATGGTGTGGTAGCATGAGGTAATGCAAATTTATCTACTAAAAGACGATTACTTACAATTAATACTATAATTAAAATAATTTTTAAAAAACCTACATTGTACTCCACCATTCTTTTATATAAAGATTTTAAGTTCATAATTTCAATCAGATATATTTATTAAATTTACTTATTAAATTTTATAAAGATTGGAATAATAAATTATCAATCGCCCACAACTTCACTAGAACCAAGATTGATTCCTCCATCAGCCTACAAAGATATAGAACCACCTTTTGTACGAAAAACCCATTTAATATTGCTATTAAATTCTGTTATACCAACAAAATTAATATAAATAGTTTTGCTAACCTAAAATCATTTTTAAAAAATTATAAATAATATTTTATGTAACAATACGAACTTTAAATGACAATATGTAGTTAAATGTACCTAAAATCATTCAAAAAACATATTATAAATAATATTTGTTTAACAATTTGAACTTTAAATAATAATATGTAGTTCACTGCATTGTTATTTTGAAAGAATGACTGATCTCTCACCCAGCACAAGATTAGGCTTTTTTAAGAAGAAGCAAAAGGAGGCAGCGTGACAAATAGAAAGGGGAAGGGAGTTCCAGAGTTTAGGGGCTTGGATCAGAAAGGATCTTTCGAAGGTATGGGTTGTATGTTGCGGAAGGATAAGGTCGATTGGGGATGGCAGGTCTTACGAGTGAGATGTGAGGAGTTGAATTGGAGGGATTGAATGATGTAAGGAGGATGACGAGTGTGAATGGACTGGAAAAGAAAGCAACCTAGGAAATACTGTGCACGGAAGGAGGGGAATAGCCAGGAAAGTTGGGAATACAACCCCGACACCCGGGATCCCCGTGGGGTGCCGTACACAAATTTTACGCAACAATTCATAATACGCTTCAATCGTGCGTTCCCCCCCTCCGAGAGACCACTGTATGCCACACAGCTATAATCGAAGAAGGGAAGTATAAGGGGAGTTTGCGGGTGGAGAAAGGTAAGAGAAGCCAGGACTGACGAAACAGGCTGAGGGAGGCAATGGAATGGCGGGAAATTTGGGAAATGTGAGAATGCCAGGAAAGGTTTTGGTCAAAGACTACTCCTAGGTTTGTAACCGAAGAGCAGAAGGGGATGGGATGGTTATTTAGCATGAGAGGTGGGATGCTGGGGAGGGAATTGAGGAGTTGCCTGGACCCGATAATTATGTCGGTGGATTTGGACAGATTGAGGACTAGGGAATTCGTTGATGTAGTTTAGGTCTTTTTGGATCTTGAGAATGGCCGAGTGAAGATCGGAAGGGTGGAAGGATATGTATATTTGGGAGTCATCAGCATATAGGTGATAGTTACAGGACTGGATGGAGTCTGGCAGGTCATTGATATAAATGAAAAAAAGGATAGGAGAGATGCTAGAGCCTTGAGGCACCCCAGATTTTAGAGGGACGAAGGAGGTAAGGCCATTGGGAAGGGAGACAACTTGGTGGCGATTGGTAAGGTAGGAGTGAAACCAACGGATGGTGCTGGCGGAGAAGTAAAAAGATTTGAGTTTAGAGAGGAGAGAAGAGTGAGGGACAGAATCGAAAGCTTTGGAAAAATCAAGAAGGACAAGTATAGTAACTTTCTGTTGGTCCATTGCTAAGTGGAGGTCACTGGTAATTTTTATTAGTGCTGATTGGGTGGAATAACCTTGGCGGAAGCCAGATTGGAGGGGGTTGAGAAGATGGGACTGTTCAAGGTGCCTGGAGACTTGTGCTTGGACTAATCTTTCTAGGGGCTTGGACAGGTTTGAGAGGATGGAAATGGGACGGTAGTCTGTAGGGGAGGATGGGTTGGGGGTTTTATTGACAGGGTGGACAAGGGCTTTTTGCCAGGCTGTCGGAAAAACAGAGTTTTGGAGTGAGTAGTTATAGATGTGAAGTAGAACAGGTAGTAATATTGGGAGGCAGAGTTGAAGAAAATGGATAGGGATGCCATCAATTCCAATGGCATTGGAGTGGGATTTGGTTATGGCCTCGAGGACTTCGGTTGGGGTTAGATAGGAGAAATAGAAGTTAGAAGCTTTTGGGTGAATGCCATTGTTATATAATACAAATCTACTGTTCATAATATAATGTTGTATAAATACCATATCTGTAAAATTTTAAATTTTGTTAATTAGCAAATAAATCTATCTACATTTAAAATCATTAATAGTGTGGGTTCCTATGCCACGAAAGGTTCGGGTCCTATAAACGGGCAGAAAAACACGTATCATATTTATTGTGTGAACAATGGGAATGTATTATAGTTTATTATTTACTTGGCATGTTTTATATTTATTGCCAGGTTCCGTTTTAAGTAGTTGAGGATGGTAAATGGCCTCTATCCATTGGCTGGCGGTTGTTACATGAGACCAAACTGACCAGGCAACCTAGGGAGTAATTGCACACTCAATAATGGCACATCTACACAGAAAACAAACACTTTCAGCCCTGAAGATGATCTCGATAAAGATCGAAACGTTGGCATGATAAGAAAAATGATTTTCTGAACCTACGTCACACCTGATCGCATCTCATGATCTCCAAATAATCATTAACGATCACTACACACCACACATTACTACATACTGTAAGTATCTAATTTTAAATACTTGAATGAGAGCGGTTCGCTCTGGATTTTGTTCTGTGAAAGGGGTCCGCTGGCTAAAAAGTTTGGGAAGCCCAGAAGCCCAGGTCTACGGATTAAAGTGGTATCAAATCTAATTGGTTTTAAAAGCAAACAAAGTGGATTACAATTTCCAAGAAGTAAGTCTTTTTTTTAGTCAACCTATTAGTTAAATAAAAATCCCAAGGCGAATACCTTCTCTTGAGATGTTCACCGGATGAAAGACGGGTACAGGATGGGTGAATTTGACTTGGTTTTTGAACAAGTCACAAGTTGCACCCAGCTTGTCATCCGTGGTCAAAAAGTCCTCTGGAAGATTTCTGTGGGTGTTGTGGCATGGTGCGCACCTGTGAGGGTACCGGGACAGGTAGTCAACGCCGTTCAACTGGCCCAAAGTTTTCGACAGGAATTTCTGGGCAAAAGCCATCAGAAATTCATTTCAAGTCTCTTTTCGACAGAAGAAATCGAATTTTTAACCTCCTTCATAAACAACACGTGACAACGGTACAAAATATATCGAAATATCGATTTTTCAACAGAGAAAAACCTTTTTTTGTATTTTGTCGTTTTGTTTGGTCGTTTCCCATCATTTTGGTGTGCCATCTTCAGTAGTGGACCATATAATAGGAGCTCGAATAAACAGACTCACCACTGAAGATGTCGAGAAGAAGAAACATGCCCGTTAGAAGAGGATAAACAAACCAAAATAAATGGATCACTATTAGTGATAAAGTTTATTTATTTATTAATTACCGGTAAAAACAAAGTTACCAATCAATCATAAATTTTGAAACTATATTTACATATGTTTGATACTTTTTGAATTTTATAACGCCTTGATTCTATTTCCCATCAAATTCTTATTAACAAATTATCCACTATTTTTTCTAATAGATTCCATGGTGATAAGTTACGGCCCCAATCAGAATATAATAAATTCCAAAGTAACAATACTGATAGTTTTTTCTGTAGGCCTTTACTCAATGGTGTTCCTCAAGGTTCAATCATCAGACCATTGTTATTTTAACTATTACATAAATAATATATCCTCTTCTCTTTCTTGTGCTAAATAGCATCTTTATGCAGTTGTTTTTCAGTTTTGCATGCTCTGTAAACCAGGTATTTTGGCCTTTATTGGGACAATTAATGATGAAATTATCAACGTTCTATAATGGGCTAATGCTAACTTAATGTAAATCCTCAAAACTTTCAGGCCTTGTTATTAGGAAGTGTCGAATTTTCCTAATTTCATCCTTAATAATATGTATCTATTTCTCTTTTAACAATTCTGTGAGAAATCTTATCATGAAATTAAACTGTGACTTCTCGTGGCACCTAAAAGTTTGCTCTAGCAAGCAAAAAGTCTGCTCAAACAAGGAAAAAGAGAAAATCCTACTGAACAGGAATGGACTAAAAACTCTAAAAGATTTCTGGAGCATGTTCCAATAAATACCAATTTAAAGAATAATTATCAACAGATGATCAATTTCGGCTATGTCTAGAGGGTACAAAGCGTATCTTACCCAACTGCCCTGCAATAGGTAAGAAAAGGCTGTCATGCCTGTGAAAAGCATTCATGTGCAAAATAGAACTAGATATCCTTAAAAAGAATTCCGTACTTCATCAAAAAGACCAAAATCGTCCAGGAAATCTGTTAGCAAGAGATCCATCACAATAGCTGAAAGTTGTACTAAAGAGGGAAATTCCTTCAACTCCAAATGGGTTAAAAGTCTGCTATAAGTAACTGATTATTTACAGATCACATTTGAATGGTTTAGCTGTTTAACATAGTTCCAAAAATTAATACAGTCAAAATGAAAAAGTGAAGATTCAGCTTTCAGATGTAGATAACTTTTATAGGAAATGCTAGTTAGCACATTGCATTGTGCTCTTAAATTACAAAAATGAATATAATCAGTACGATTGATTGTCAGTTTAAAAAGTTTATGAGAAAAAATATTTTTGTTTGCAAAACCAGTCTTGAAAATCATTGAGGAAAAGTGACTGAGAATACCTTTCTCTTTGGAGTATGTATAGAAATAAAAATTCAGTACTTGTTTTATGCGATCTGAATCATCATGAATATCTTTAAATAAAACTAGGAAATCTTGATTTTTGAATCCATTGACTAACGATTTATAACACCAAGAATAATTTAAATCAATCAATTAATCTTTTTATCTAAGGTCTTGGTTCAGATGAAAAGGTTAGTGTCACGAGTACGAGTAGGATTCGAACCCGTGAACTTTGGCACGAATCTCACATGTGATACTACCTTTTTCATCCCAACCAAGACCTTAGATAAAAAGAACAATTAATTGAAATAAATAACCGCTAAACATATATGGATTAAAATAATTTAAATGTAAAACATTGTAACAATTGTCAATTAAACAATGTAACAATTTATTATAGAGGGAATATCATAATTGAGTTAAAATGAGAAATTGTCACAATGATAAATCCTCTCGTCACTCAATTAAATCTTACTTCAATATTCCTGATCTTAGCTGTATAAGAAAGTATTTTGAGATCATTTTTATTTTCAAATTAATTAATAATTGTATAGATTCCTCAGAAATCCTTGCTAAACTCCACATGTACATCCTTGCCACTTCAAAAGTCTGAAAATATTTTTTATCAAACATAAAAGAACAAATTTTTCACTATATTCTCCAATGCATCGCATGATGACAGAATGTGACAAGATATGCAACACTGTTGATTTATTTAATACTTCTGTTTCCTCCAAGCATGACAATTTTATTTATGTTGGAAACATGGTAATGGTGTGAAAAATGGGAGAGGGTTAAAGTAGTAATTTAGCTTTTTGTCATGGGCAAAATTTATTTCCTAACTTTAACTTAATAAAAAGTGCAAAAAGAAAGAAAAATGAAACAGCATAAAAAAGAGACAATATACAAATTTGCAAAACCAACTTTAACCTAATAAAACAAAGCTCAAAAAAGAAAACTTCCATGTAATTTGGTTGTTCACTATATTTATTGTCTTTTTTATGTGGTTTGTTTAATTTTCACATTGATTTTTTGTCATTTTTTATTACCTACATCACACCAGACCGCATCTCATGGTTTCTAAACAAATATCGATTAACGGTCACTAATCACCACACATTTTTTATTAGGTTAAAGTTGGGTATTACAAGTTCTATATATTGGCTAATATGAAGACTGTAATGCCCCCAAAAAGAAAAAAACTTCTGTATTGTTGTTCTTTTGACTGGGTTGAGTGTAGATATTTTGTCCAACTTTTCTGCTTTGGTTGTTAACTATGTTTGCCACCTCGTTTTTATGTGTTTTGTTTCATTCTTTTTTTGTGTGTGTGCTTTTTTATTAAATTAAAGTTGGGGAAACAAATTTGACCCAGGACAAACCCCACCCCTTTTTCACACTGTCATCACTTTTTCCCATTTGACATAAAATGCCTGCATTTTTGGCCTGATGTAATTAAAGAAAAGCGCATACTGCTAGGACGCTTATTAGACAAATAAGTTGTTATGAAATTTGTCAAGCTCTACTGTGAATTTTCCAATGAGGTTGCAAATTTATTTTTTTTTACAAATTTCAAATTTAGCAGTTGTTGAAAGAGTTTGTGATTTTTTTATTGATTATTTGGAGTAGATGTGTCATGGTCAAAAAATGATCTTGATTTTTTTATCTTACTAACACTCACAACACGACTCACAACCGTGACACATCTACACACAAAACACACACTTTGAGCCGTGAAGATGATCTAAATAAAGATCAAAACGTTGGCACAATAAAGAAAATGTTTTTCTAAGCCTACATACACAAGACCGTATCTCACAATCTCCAAATAATTATTAATTAACAATCACTTTTTTTTTACCAAAAATTAAATCGAAAGTTCTATAAAGGTGCCTTCTTAAAGAAAATTTAATTCGCTTTCGAATTTTTTTTTCTTTTTATTCCCCAAAAATGAATAGCTCAAGAGCTACAAGATTTATGTTGAAAACTGTAGATAGTTGGAAAAAAAGTTGAATATCTGTGAAAGGGTTGAGAATTGGACTATGGGTCATACTAACTTTTTGTTGCATTTGAGGTGTAGAACCACCTGATGAAATTTGCCGTACAAGTACAATCACGCTGTATATATTTTTTAAAATAATTCATAGTCATGTAGACAGGGTGTTTAATTAAATCTTTCTTTTGTTTTATTTATATAAATTTTATTGCCTTTTCATTTATACCTTTTTGGTTTATAGTTCAGTGTTTTATTCTATATTAATGTTGATTTGTTTATAAGCATTGTATTGTATATATATTTTCTCCTTCAATTTTGTATGTTTTAAAAAAAATGTTTTTGTTTTTTTGACCCATAAATAAATAATAAATGATTATCAATACTTCAGTGACGTCATTACATAACCAAGCTCCTTCTCGACCACAAGAGACGACCACAATGCCTCTTGTCGCGAGGTTACACGGTCAAAAACGTCGAGTGGTTTGGAAGAAGGCAACAAAAACAAACAACAAAACAACTGAAACTGAACAAATGAACTCGACAAATGAAATTGTAATTTTCAAAATTCGGTCTTGCACAATTGAAATGTCATTCGCCCGTTCTGATTCAGAGGAGAAATCTTAAATCAAAACCGATCCAGTTTTGGTCTCATAATAGCTCGGAGAAGGACAAGAAATGGGTTTTCACTTTCAGTTCTGCGATATTGGCTGACGAGTTTTCTCCTCGGTGCGACCATCGCTTCCTTCCTCTTCTACTACACCTTCTTAGATCGCCATGGTAATTATTTAAACAAATATAAAACTACGTAAAAAAACATGTGTACAAACCGTCTTAACTTAATAATGCTTTAACTACCTTTATATAAACTTTTCTGAAAGCAGAGGAAAGTATTCACTCTAATTAAATCTTTCAAACTTTTCACCATCATCAGTAAAGAGTGTGTGTTGAAATGTAAAAAGGATCCGTAGTGGCTGAGTGGTTAAAGCGTATTGGCCATGCTAGTGATTCTGTATTTGAATCCATAACCCCTGAATTTTTTAATTATGATTATTATGGAAAACCCAATGGGTAGTTGGATGTTATGATCCCGGGTTGAGATCTGCACTGAAGAGCGCGGTTGAAAGTCCCTCTCAGATGACTTGCAAGTCTCTGCCGCCCACAGAACCACAACCTCGCCGGGTATGTTGTTATCCTCATGGTGCTTCTTGTGTCCAAGCACTAGTTGGCTTTGTCGGGATCCGCTTTTACCAACTGTTCAGGTGCTAAGAGAGCATACTAAGAGAGGTTTAGTGTCAATCCAAGTAAAAAAATGTCACCTATGTGGATGCACGAGACAATATCTGCTGTTCTCTAGGTCGAAACTCCGTACTTGTACCCTGACTGGTCCTGGGCTTGAACTCGGACGGACCACACACCCTTTTCCTTGTGCCTGTTGGGGCTACATTGTTGGTTACATGTTCTGTGGTGGTTTGTCCATCCTTTTGCCAGATGGGCACATGAACTCCAAAGTCGAAGGTGCTACCTCTTCTCCGGGACACGTGCATATGGCAGGCCGCGGCATGAAACTGGCTGAAGTTGGCCTCCACATGACTCACAAATGAACTCCTAACCCAGATGGACCGCCTTATAATTTTTAGAGCGGCCACCATGACCCTCCTCCCTCAAAGTACAGTAGTATCCACCTAGGTGACACTCAATTGGGAGGGGGTTAAAGGGAATCTGTAGTCTCTCCTTGTTGCAACCGGTTGGCCTGCCAGTATAGGTAACATCGCTGGAGACAACTAAAAAAATGGAAACTAAAAATAACCCTCCTAGAAAGAGGAAACTAGAGTCAGTCATCTCTGATGCTCATTACTAATATTACCCAACAGCGGCCACCACATGAAGGAGAGATTGTCTTAGTACAAGAATTGTGCACTTTCTAGCATATGAATATAGAGTTGGGTCAATAACACAGTAGATACATTAGGTCACAGTGGAAAAGAGAGACCAGTAACCTCAGTTGGAACCAAAAAAACCACAGTCCACTTATTCCTCCCACCCGTCCACTTACGAATGTTTCTGGGCAATGTTAATGAATTCAGCCGACACTGTATTCCTAGGATATTTCCAGAATAAATTTGGTTAAAGGGGTGAATTAGCAGAGATATCAGACCATCCATCCACCTCAGAAAAGTGACTCACTCATAGGGAAATAAGCGAAAATCCACCCCACAAAAGTGCTTGACTACCTTAAGGATGGGACTGGGCTGGCCAAGTGGTTAGAGTGTTCGACTCGTACTTGTTGCTAGTGGTTCTGGGTTTGACACCCAGCAAAGCCCATGGCTTTTTAATTTATATTAGTATGAAAAATGTATTGTACAGCTGTTTGACCTCTCATCCGTGACACCCAACGATTGGTTGGACATCAAGCCTTTCTGTAAGATAGGATTTACTTTATTTTTATATAAAATATATCTGACATAAGCTCAACAGAAATAGGCAGACAATCAATCTGCAGGTTTATCGCCTCGCAGATTCATAAAAAAAAATGTTTTACAATTTGTTTATAGGTATGTCCACTAGTTTATCTTAATAAAAATTTGGACCTTAAATATTAAATTTACATTTGTACATTGTTCTTACAAAATCGCTTGTAACCATGTAATTTTCAAGAGCCAAGGAATGGCCTTCAATGAAGTGGGCCACATTGAACATGCTGGACATATTTGGCTTGGGCCCAAAATTAAGTGTCCTTCCCTAATCAATAAACTAACAAAATTTAAACCTTAAACCTGGATGTTCAGAATTGATCGAGTTACTTGTAAAATTTGGAAAAAAAAATCAAAATTTTGAATTATTATTTCCTCCTTTATAGCATTATTTCAAACAGGTTTTCAGTTCATTCATTTAATTACTCAAATTCTCTCTTGTTTTTTCTTAGGACCAAACAATATGCTTGGGTTCAATGGGCGTGAAGCTCGACTTGCGGGAAGAGTAAGGGAGATGGAAGAGCAAAATCAATTACTTCGAAGGCAACTGAGCATTTCGCAAAACCACCTGGTTGCAGCTATGAAGAATAGCAATTCTTCTATAAATAGAGATCAAGAATTGTCCACCCCCATATATCTATATGAAAAAAAGGGCGGTGCACTTTGTTCTAATCAGGTAATACGTTTTTTTTTTCTGTGTTACTTCATGATTGATATTGTATTCTTATTTTTAACATTGTAACAAAAAGAAAAAAAAATCAAGGTCTTAACAAATTTATTTGCATTTTAGGAAGAGGATGTGCCAAAATGTGAAGTGATTCACATTGCTATAGTTTGTGCTGGTTATAACTCTAGCAGATCTGTAGTGACTCTGATAAAATCGATTTTATTTTATAGGAAAAATCCTTTGTATTTTCATATGATCTCCGATTCTGTTGCTCAAGTTATTTTACAGACATTATTCAATACATGGGCGGTACCTCAAGGTAACTCACATTTTTTTAAATTTATTTTTATGAATTTGTGTTAATGCAACCTTTCAATTAATTAAGGTTTTTAGTTGAGATAAAAAAAGTCAGTGTCACGAGCGGGATTCAAACCCACGATCTTCAGCTAGATACGCCGCTGCTCTACCACTTGAGCTATCGTGACCTCGATCCACTCGGACACTAACTTCCCATCTCAACCCCACCTTTTGAATTTTCCCTCCTTTTTGCCATTTTTCAAATGTCGTGTGATTTATTTGATTCTCGGTGACAAATGAATTTTTTTATCTCAACTAAAAACCTTAATTAATTGAAAGATATTAATTGTTCAAGCAGACCACGAAACTAGGGAATTAAATGCAACATTTTGACCATTCACTTAAATGTGTTTCTAAATGTTTATCAAATTTTTTCCTTCCCATTCTGGAGTTTTCTTTGGAAAAAAATTGGTGCTTAGAAAGAAAGGTTCTTGATGTTATACTAAGCAGTCGACACGGTGACAAATACATTACAAACTGGCATATGCCAAAAGAGTGATCTTGTGATCTTACTCTGACCGTAGACACATAAGATTTGATCTTACCCCCCCCCCAATACTTGCAATGTACTGTCGTACTATAATCCTAGAGAGATGAATTGGGTGGGCTACGTAACATCCCTCAAACACTCTGACAGGGATGCTAAGGTTAAAATTAGGGGTAGGGAGAACCTTGACCTAATAGTTCAGGACGTATGATAGAATTCTGCTAGCCTTTGAAAGGAATCCATGCCTCTAAAGGCAACTACCTCAATGGTAGTAAAATCTAGATCTGTTTGTGATTGCATCAAGGCTCTGTCAGACATTGGGGATAACAAAATTACCCTTGTTTGGGTACCAGAGCAGAGGGGAACGAGGAAGGCAATAAATTGGCCAAGAAAAGTTCAGGACACCTATCTCAATCCTGAAGCCTTATGCCAAAAGTGTACATCCATCAGACAATGGGTTAAAAATTAGTTCTCAGTTCAGTGGAACATATGCCAGGTATGGTAAAAAGTTGATTAAAGTACCATCACAGAAACTAATGGCAGAATTGCTGACTGGCAGACTCCTGAGGCATGCGTATAGAATTGGAGCAGCAGAATCAAGTCTGTGCATATTTCGCCCAGGTGCGAAGACGTATACAGGCTGAGATTTCTGCTCCTGGAAGAGAAAAAGCCGTGAAGGATACACACTGGAGCCTTTAACAGTACTCTAGAATCTAAAAACAAGGTCTTAACCTTAATGAAGAGTTCTAAACAATAATGGAGATAGCACAATAGGCCAATATTGGTATGGTACACAAGGTCACAAAGAGGCAGATTCCTTTTAATCTTAAAGAATAGATTCATTTATACTTATAATTGTAAGTCACTTGTTTAAATTTATTTTTGTTGTAGTTGATGTACAGTTCTACTTGGCTGATAACGTTATTAATGATGTTTCTTGGATCCCTAACAAACATTATTCAGGAGTGTATGGGTTGATGAAGTTAACATTACCAAAGGTGTTACCCGAAAATTTAAACAAAGTCATCGTGCTAGACACAGATGTCACATTTGCAACGAACATTGCAGAGTTGTGGAAATTATTTTCTGAAATGAGGCAACCGCAGGTAAATTTTTTACTTTATATGTACAGATTGAACTAATAATTATATTAAAATCATCCGCGTGTTTCTTAAGAGCATTGGGTTAGTCGAAAACCAAAGTGACTGGTATCTTGGGAAATTGTGGAAAAAACACCGACCATGGCCAGCACTGGGAAGAGGGTATGCAAATCATCATTTTTACCAATTTGAAAAGTTCATTTCCTCTAAGAATTACTTTCGTTTCAGGTATAATACCGGGGTGATATTGTTAAATTTGAAATTACTTCGAGATGGTGGCTGGGGTCAATTGTGGAGGCAGATTGCCGAACGGGATCTCATGACCCATTATACGACAAGCCTTGCCGACCAGGACATATTCAATGCCATAATAAAGCAGCATCCGTATCTCATATACAAATTGCCATGTCAATGGAATGTACAATTGAGTGACAACACAAGGAGCGAACTGTGTTATTCCGAAGTTACAGATTTAAAGGTAGTCCAATTATTGTTTCATGAAAGTTTTCATTATTTACCTAACTTCTAAAAATATCCTAAAAATCTAATATAACAAAAATAATTTATGTTATGAAGTTTATCTGTTTCAGACAAATTAATACACAAAACGTGCTTATAAATAGAATATTTATTAACATTCTAGCATTTGCATCACTATGTAATACATAATATTATAGCAAATAAATTATTACTATTTATTACAGGTAATACATTGGAATTCCCCAAAGAAGCTGAAAGTGAAAAATAAGCATGTTGAATTTTTTCGAAATCTTTATTTAACTTTCCTTGAATATGATGGCAATCTTCTTAGGCGGGAGTTGTTCAGTTGTAATTCTTCAAGAGCTACAAGGAAAGAGAGAGAGCTAAGCAAGGTAAACATCAATTTTTAGCTAAATCTAGTACCATTTTTAAATGTGAAGTTTAAAAAAAAGTAAAATTTCCAGTTAAATGAAGAAGACGTGTGTTATGAATTCAGGAGAGCAAGGCTGAACAATTTTAGAACTCACCTTTACTTTTTGCATTATGATTATGAACCAAGCCCTGAAGGAAATGATGTTACACTTGTTGCACAACTGTCTATGGACAGGTTACAAATGGTTGAAATGATGTGTAAGCACTGGGATGGTAAGACTTCATTCATATTTCATATAGTATTGTTAATTTGTATATGTTTTTGAGCATGTACAAATTTAGATGAGTACATGATACGAAATGAGATTTCTTCTTGAATCTGTGGTTTGGTCTTTCCTGATTATTTGTGTCTATCTATGCAGTGCTGTTTTGGTCTGCGGACATGTTTAGGCATTTTTACTATCTTCAGTGGTAGGTTTGTATGTTGCATTTAGTTACTGTGGTATAAAAACGACATTAAATTGAAAACCTATCATTATGATGGCAAGCTGAAACACATCTACTAAGCAATACACCAAGGATAACCAAACCAGGCTTATCCGGAATGATCAAACTATATGCACAAATATTAAGATAGTAAAATAATATAGAATTATAGTTAAATTGACCTAAATTAGGAATGGTTAGGTTAACCGATAGAGGCAAGTTAGGTTAGGTCAGTTAGGTGAAGGTAGAATGATTATGTTGATTCACTTTTTGTAAATGATGGCTGCATGAGGTTGAAGAAGTTACAAACACATCTCTCGACATGAATTAAAATAATTAAGTAGTATATTAGGTTATGTTAGGTAGCATTAATGACAGTAATTAATAGGAACAGGTTAGGTTCATTTAGTTTGGGTTTGGGACAGTTTAGGTAGAACTAGAGATAAGTTAGGTTAGGTTAAGTTAAGTTAAATATCGTTAAGGAGAGGTTAGGTAGAGGCAAGTAAGGTTAGGTTAAGTTAAGTTAAATATCGTTAAGGAGAGGTTAGGTAGAGGCAAGTAAGGTTAGGTTAAGTTAGATATGATTAGGGACAGTCTAGGTTAATTTAGTTTGGGTTCGGGACTGTTTACTGAGGAATAGAGGTTAGGTTTAGTTTGGGTTTGGCACAGTTTAGGTAGAACTAGAGATAAGTTAGGTTAGGTTAGATATAGTTAGGGGCAGATTAGGTATGGTTGGAGGCAAGTTAGGTTAGGTTAAGTTAGATGTGATTAGGGACAGGTTAGGTCAGATTAAGTTATATATGATGAGGGACAAGTTAGGTTAATTAGTTTTGGTTTGCGACAGTTTAGGGAGTACTAGAAATAGTTTAGGTTAAGTTAGTTTGGATTTGGTACAAGTTAGGTTGGGTTAAACAAGTTAAGTTAGGTATTGTTAGGGACATTTTAGCTTATGCATGTTCAGGGGTAGATTAAGTTAGGTTAAATTAGGAACAGTTTAGGTTAGGTAGGTTAGAGACAGGTTAGGTTAAGATAGATAGGATTAGGGTTAGAGACATATTCGTTTTAACAAAATGTGATACTTCATTTATGTTGTAATCAGAGTGATTCTATCTGTAATACTTTAGGTGGGATTACTCCTATTTTTGGGAGGAGAATTTTAGGAGGAGAAATTTTAATTGCTCCAAAAACAGTCAGAGCAAACTTTTTTGTGCAATTAGCATGCATATTCATCTCCTGGCGTATTCTGTTACATACATTTATACATCTCACTATATTCATTTGTCTATGGGATTGAACATTTTGTGTATTTATCATTAAAACCATACTTTTAATCATACTATCCTTTAAGGGTTATTGGTTTAAAAAGTTCATAAGGATATGTTGGTGGAATGCATGTTTTTCAACATCTTTAGTTAGTTGGCAAAGGATAATTTCTTTTTGTTTTTCTCTTTTTAGGGCCTATTTCCCTTACTCTTTACATGTCAGATACAGAAGCCCAGCAATTTCTTAGTTACGCATTAAGTTCCGAGGTGCTAAGCAGTCGGAAAGATATAGGATATCATATCGTTTATAAAGAAGGCGTAAGTTGTTAAAATGTGTTCTTTAATTTTTATTTCAAGTTGAATCATACCTTAAATTTGTCTTTTTGTGCAATTGCAGAACTTCTATCCAGTGAATTTCTTGAGAAATGTCGCTCTCCAACAAGTCAATACACCTTACGTTTTTCTTACTGACATTGATTTTCTTCCAATGTTTGGCCTTTATGGTTATCTTAAAAAATCAATTCAATCTCTGGATTTGGACACGTCAAAAAAAGTACTGATCAGCAGTATTCTTATCGATAACTTGACTGATTTTTTTTTCTAATTTCTCTAGGCACTTGTAGTTCCTGCATTTGAAACTCAACGATACAGGACAACGTTCCCAAGGAGTAAAGCTGAATTAATTAGGATGTTGGATATGGGGACATTGTTTACATTCAGGTATCATGTCTGGGCGAAAGGACATGCACCCACAAATTATGTAAAATGGCGCTCTGCTACAAAATCTTACATGGTAATTATCAAAAACAGACTTGCCTTCATAATTTTTTTTTTAAATTTATCATACACTATAATATTTATCTAATTTTGCAGGTACAATGGGAACCCGATTATGAACCCTATATTGTTGTGAAAAAGAATCTCGTGCCTGAATATGACACTAGATTTGTCGGGTTCGGTTGGAATAAAGTTTCTCACATCATGGAATTAGAAGCCCAAGGATATTCATTTATTGTACTTCCGAACGCTTTTATAATTCACATGCCGCATGCCCCTAGTTTTGATATTGCAAAATTCAGGGGCTCCGCACAATACCGAAGGTGGCTACTAGAATTGTATTTATTGTTAAAGATGTTTTTTTTTCTTTTACCCATTCCTCTTAAAGTGGGACACTCTTCATATTCTCTAAATATGTGTATTGCTTCTCAAAAAGTCTGATCCATTAAATTTAAAAAAATTTGAAAAAATAATCTATTATATAATTTTTTTTTCCAATTGTCCTTTTGCTTTTAAACCGGTTTCTTTATTTGTTTTATGCTCATGAGCAAGGTTAACACTGTTTTATAATCATTATTTTTATTTCATTTTACAGGTGCTTAAAAATATTGAAAAATGAATTCGTGAAAGATCTAGAACATCGATATTCAAGAGTTTTTGAAACTGAGGGCAGCTGAATTACTCCATCTGACTGGCAATAATACACATCCATTTATTTATTTTTTCTATTAGTTATAAAAATAACATCATTAAACAGGAATATATGATATTTAACACAAAAAAAAAAGAAATATAAATTTCATTCTGGCAATAATGTCTTGTCTGTTTGATGTTTTCTTATATTTAGAAAGTAAAAAAAGAACAACGTTATTATTGAAGTTATTATGTATTAATGGTGAGGTAAAATAAGATAAAAAGTTCGTAACTTAAGTTATAAATAAAACTGTGATAAAATAATTTGTTAAATACATGAAAATGACAAGATCATAACCCTTTAAAAATTAACCTCTTTGCACTTCTATTATTGACTAAACTCATTTTAAAATGTCCATAGTTTTATTTTTGCTACAAAATCTTTTTCACTTGTTTTGTTATCTATTTTATATTATACAGTTAATAGTGTTTAAAACACGTATTATTTTTATGCCTCGAAAGAGAGATGTAGTTTGCTTCAAGTACTCTTGTCTAATTTCTCGTATTTCAAAGGTTGGAGCTTTTTACCTGATTTTACACTTCTACTATCTTGTTTAAAAAATAGAAAAAATCCATATCATGAACCTTTTATTTTGTTTGTATATTGTAACATTTTAAGCATGTGATCAATCAAATAAAGTTTGTTGTTGATAATTTATTGTAACGGTTACTTAATGTGTGTATGAACGTCCATTATCTTTAAGAATTTTATTTTAATTTTTTTAAATGAAAATCATTAATATTGTATGATCACTCTGAATAAACATTTTTTTCTCTTTAAATGTTACTATTTTAAAATAGTTAAGGATATACAAAAAAAAACCCGAATAATGTATTATATACTTTTGCATTTAAAAGGCCTAAAGCAACATTAAAAAACTAGAAATACTAGATTTCCCTCCTTCATCGAAAAACATTGAATTGTGGATATGTAAACTAACCCTAACCCAAACCTAACAACCCTGTGAAAACGGACAAATAAAAAATGTGTATCCAGCCCTAAAACATATCCTTGTGTTTTTTAAAAAATGTTTTTGGCATCAGAGGGTATTTATCTCTTATATAAATACTTCTCTTATTTCTTTTTTATTATATGTATACTTTAGGAAAGGTTTCAATTCTCATATCATTGCATTTGCATATTTTCTCTGCTACATGAAAAATATAGAAGCATGGATATATAACCTAAGCCACCCACAGCCGCAACTAAACTAATCAACCACATGTAATTTTGGTAACATGAAAATGGTCATGCAAAACAATGGGTATCCACCCCAAAAACATATCCACGTTGAAACCAGCCTAGCAGTATTAAAGCAAATATGATTCTAGTGGAAAGGATTAACCTGTAGCTTGATTCTCTTGGTACATTCACACAAGAATCTTGAAATAAAATCTGCTGAAAGATTGATAAAAAATAGTGCAAAACTGATGATTTGCACTCATATATTTTCTCCGCTACCGAGGAAAACATTGAATCATACAAATGTAACCTGACCCAGCTCTAACTCTAACCCTACCTAATCTAACCATTCCCTAAACCTAACCCAACTTATACTTTCAGGTTATATGAAAACGATGACATGAAAAGTCGCATAAACATTTTTTTGATCCAGCGCAATTTGAATTATGACCTGTCTTCATTCCTAACCCAACTCATACTTTCAGGTTACATGAAAAGTCACATAAAAATTTTTTTGATCCAGCGCAATTTGAATTATGGCCTATCTTCATTCCTAGCCCCACCTAACATAACCATTCTTAACCTAAACTAATACAACTCAATTTAACCTAACCCAACTCATTCTTTTAGGTTGTATGAAATCAATGACATAAAAATGGTCACAAAAAAATTCTAGATCCAGCTCAATTTGAATCGCAACCTATCTCCATCCGTAACCCTACCTAACAAAACCATTCTTAACCTAAACTAATACGACTCAATTGAATCTAACCCAACTCATACTGTTAGCTTATATGAAATCAATGAGATGAAAATGTAACATAAAAAAACCCTAGATCATGCTCAATTTGAATGATCTATCTCCATCCCTAACTTATCCAAGGCCATGTGTTCTCTCCGACAACACAAAAATTATCTTGGCCAGCCCAAAAATATCTTTGTTGAAACCATTCTGGCAGTATGTAGAAGCACAATGTAAATCTGGTGAAATGTCCAAAATAATAAAGATGTATCGTAGCTTAATTGTCTTCAATAATCTTGATTTTTTCATTGGTTTCACTGGTTTTGCTTTTCAAACTTTTTTTTTTGCATTTCATTTTACTTAAGCAGTTGGTCTGTGTGTCATTTTATCAGCAATTTTTCTCTTATATGTACATTTTGCCAGCGAGAATAGCGAAATTTGATTTGACTTAGGGAAAAAGAATTCTGAATTGTTGGTAGTAAAGATATGAAATAACCTTTAAATTAATATTTTATTTATAATTATCACATGATAGTATTAAATAAACAGATAATATATTATAATAAAAAAAATATTGCTATTTCTATACTTTTTTACATTTTAAACTATATATAAACAAGTTAACATTATTTACATAATGCAAATACAAACAAAAGATCACAGTCTTGAATATTAACAAAATCAGCTTTTTTAAATTATTCTTTATTTTATACTTTGTCTTAGAGAATATCCTATTGAAAAACATTATATAAAATAATTAGGCAGACATGCAGCTAAGACAAAAACGAAACAGAAGAGAAAAAAATATACAAGTGTATTTAATGCAGAACAGTGGTTTCTTTTAAGGCACACGGGAACAATCTAAAACATTCATTTCATAACAAAAATTATACGTGTGGCAAAATTTTCCAGCGAAAAAAATGCATATGGTACAAAAGAAAACATATTCTTGGTAAATATATTTTAAAAATAGTTAACTGGAATGGTTTATATTAGTTATAAAACCATGAAAAATTTGACTGATTTATGGACTCGATATATTGTAAGTAAAATTTGAACATTAAAACTGTGAAGTAATAAAATTGGAAAATTGTTCAAGTAATAAAATTTCATGATTAGCACATGATTTATGTTTTGGATACTACAAAAAAATTATTACTCAATACCATTACAAAACTTTTATGGGTATGGCAGCTTTTTGATATTCGCAGTTCATTATTTCAATTCATTTACATCAAAACATTGGTATGATTTATGATTAATTTTATATCTTCCGACAATTCGGGGGAAGATCTTTTAAACATCCTACACGAAGTTTACTTCACAACTTGGTTTATTTGATTACTAACACTTATTCACTATTCAGCTTCAACCACACTTTTTCCATACTAAATATAAAAATTAATATTAATCCACATATGTTTAGCAGTTAAATTTTTCATCTCAACCAAGACCTTAGATAAAAATAATAAATAATAGAAAAATTAATCTTGTTCTTGAACATAGTTTGTGGTCACAGGACCAAACCCTCCAACATTTTTTTTTTTTTAATTAAAAACAATGGCACCATTTGTAAAAATTTTTTATATTTATGTATCTATCTAGAGGACAATAGGTTTATAAACCACACATCATATTGAATTATTTTACATTTAGACATTTGAAAATTTTACCATTTTTTCTGACACAAAATCTGCTGTGATTATCAAAATATTTTGTACTGACATTCTACTTACGCCCAGAAGGGATTTCATGTAATATTAACACCAAGAATTCGTTTCCCAAAACATAACGGGTCTTAACATGTTCAACGCAGGCTGGAACTTCCATTTTCACACTACTGGGTGTTTTTTATTTTTATTTTTTTAAATTAATCTTATACAGACCTGCCTGCAGGTTGAATACTTTGGCTCCTGTGAAGGTCAGCCGCACTGAACGTGTTAATGCATTTTAAAAAACAAGTCTAAGAAAATTTAAAAAGCCAATTGATGGAAAAACTAAATTGTAAGACTAATAATGGTTAATACTCCACAAAATCCCTTCCTTTTTTCAAGATTTGCTGACATTTTTCTTTCTATATGATAGTTTTTCACTTCTGTTATGACTAATTAATTGACTTAAAATCACATCTAAATGTTGTCTTGAATTTTTTTTCTTCAAACAATTGAAAAGGGACATATTTTTTGTTAAGCTAGAAATTTGTTTTTATGGTTTTAACACGTTGGGTGCAAAGATGATTTTGGTATTGTTCCATTTTGATACAAGCAGAAGAACAGAATATAAGATGAATCATTATAGTGCACAAACACATGAAACTCGCACATCATGCAACTGTTCGTCACTTTTTAAAAGATCTTTTTTTGATAAACATAACAATTATAAATACATATTGGATAATAAATGATGATGACTTAAAACCGTTAACACTTTCAATGCGGGACTGTTTTTGCTGGCAACCCCCATTATGGGTATATTTTTTAAAACATATTTTTTGGTAAAGTACATAATAACAATTATTTAGGCATATTAACATCATATTTGTCAATAAAATTTAAAATTTTGAAAAACCAACAAAGTTGGTTGGAGGTATATTTACTCCTCCATAGCGCGTGAAAATCTGAATTATGCAATCCGCACAACTTGCCTCGTAAAATCGCAATCCTCCAACGTTCAATAATAACTTTTAAATTTTAAATGCTTATTTTTACAGATTATTTTTGTAATGGAATGAAAATGTATAACTTTTGAAATTTCAAATTTGCAAGGCACTTTTTAAAACGAACTCCAAGGGATAATCCCGGCACCTCATCGCAACCTGGGCAAATGTACTAACTTGTGCCTTTCCAAGTCTCTATTTCGAATAATGGAATAAAATCCATTTTTTTCTTCCTTATCTTCATTTTTTCATCGTCATCTGCTTCCGCTTTATCGCTAACGCCCTCCTTCAATAGTTTTAAAAAATCCTCTTAATTCATTTAATATTAATTGTTCTTACGTTTTAATTTTTTTGATAGGTGGCTCCCCTTTTAAATTCAACTGCCCAGAGGGTTCATATGTTGCTGGTACCTATCTATTTCTAAACTTTTATAAGGCACTATGTTATAAAGGAAAAATCACAATAAACAGTTGCTTCCTCATTACCGACGGTTACTATTATTTTCATCAATTGTTTGTAAATAAAAAATATTTTATATAAAAAAGTCGTTAGTTACTTAGCAAATTTGGGAATGTGTTAAAACGCAAAGCTAGAAATGCCAAGAACGTATCCTCAACTACTGAAAGTGCTTTTTATTTTTTCGTTTTTGTGAACAAAAACAACTGAAATAACATAACAAATGATACAAAATAAAAATAAAATCAAAATCAGTGTAAAAGAAAAAGTATAAAATTGATACTAGATACTTTTTGAAAAAGTTGGTAAAAGAACACAAAAAAATTTTTAAAATTATTTTTTGATTTATTGTACTTTTCTATCTTTTTTTAAATAGAAATAATACTAATACCTATTTTTAAAACATTAAAAATAAGTTTAATTACCAAATGATAGAGAAATCTAAATTTAAAAAAAAATTAAGTTCAAATTAAAATAATAATCAAAAACGGCTTGCAGTCTAAGGTAGGTAAATTCAAATTGAAGGTTTGGTGAAAAGGACAATATGAGAAAACAAAACTAATGTTATCTACAGCACTAATAAGACTAGTCAATTTTTGGAAAGGGAGGAGGTAAATTGAAAGTATTAATTGAAACAAATTGAGGAACAGTAAAGAAATAATTTGAAAACAAGATTTTTAATACTTGATCAAAATACCCTGACCATCCTAGTGTATTGCTGTGGCGCTGCTTCTTGCACCAAAGACATCAAAGCGAGCATCGTAAAGTGCCAAACAACTATCACTCTGCCGACTTCAATTGTGCTTTTTAAAAGGGGAAATCTACAGATAAATATCTGACATTGAATTGAATAATTACTATAAATGCTCTTGTGTTTCAATAAATTACCGGGCAGAAAATTTCATCAACAACCAACTCTTAGATTCCAAGCCTTGAACTATGAAATAAAAACAAAGAACAGCGGGTAAAATCAGAACAGCAGCTGTGAATACTGTAATACAAGCATAAAACCATTTCCATCTTTTAAAAAAAGTTACTAGAAAAGACATGTTTGGGATACATGTGTGGACAAGTTGCACCCCTAAGCCCCTGTTGAGTGGCCCTGACATCTGAAAAAGGAAAACAAGTCGTAGCCAAGCCAGTTGAGTGTGGAATTTTTTTTTCTGTTTAATTTTGGCTAAATCCCACTTCTGAGATGCTACATCTATTTTTAAACATACAGTTATACGGTAAATTTTATGAACTTGACTCTGCCAATCCACAAGGATTCAGATAAAAATGGAAAGTACAATGCCTCTTTTGCTGCACCAAACGTGTTAACAAGAATTTATTTTTTACAACTAATTTTATAAGAAAAAAAACACATGTAACACTTAGTTGTTTGAACCAACAATAGTAAATGCAGTATTATATACAGGGTAATCCAAAATGAGTGCTCAAAAATAAATGTTAAGTGTCAAAGCTAGGCATAGGACAAAATTTTGCTTTGGGGTTACGAATGTGATGTTAAATTTTTTTAAAGATTTCTATGAATAAGTAGAGTTGAACTGTTTGATGGTAAAATTAGCTCATAATATTGAAGATAGTCGGTTAGGATTTGGTTCATTCATACAGGATATATTAGTTCTGTAAAATTAGTAAATTAGCAAGCAAGGTTTTTAAGGAAATAAATTTTAAAAAATTTAGAAAATACTCGACTTTTGGTCAGATTGAAAAAATTTTGCATTTACCAAAAACTTAACCTTTCATTAAATCAACTATAAACCAACTATTAAGGTAGAATTATATCCTAAATGCACATTTGTGAATCAACAATTTTGTTTTTATTTTATTTGATATTTTATAGTGCTGTTTTGCCGATATTGGATCACCCCGGATATAATAGTAATTACTATAAACATAGGTAGTCAAATTTTACCACCTGATTATCACGGAGTTTCAGCTGATGATGAGCGATTCAATTTTTGGTAACATGGATGACAGACAGGAACTGCACACTGGCTCAAGTGGCCAGGAAGAGTTATATGCTTTTCGATACAGCGAGTACAAAATATATTCCCACACTGCCAACAGTGATACTAAAAAAAAAATTTTGTAAAAAAAAATTATTACCCTCTAATTGTTTTGATTTACCTTTACCATACTATGGTCAGAAGGAGCTGTACATTCAAAGCACTTGACGTTTCTGAGTGTTTTCCAATCTAATGCGAGCGCAGTTAAATCATCGCTTAATGAATCGATTGATTTCTTGTTTAGATCTGCACAAAACAGAAAATTTTGAAAATCGAGACTTAAAAAGAAAGTTACAATAATTACGAAAAAAATAATATGCTTACCAAAAGGATTACTTTTAACTAATGGAACAGCATTCTTCAAAACGTCTTCCTTTTTTTTATCAAATAACAAATCATAATTATAAGATTCATTTAAATATGGTAAACATCAAAAATTACCTGCTCATTTACCTTATTGCCAGTGCATGATGCTGAATTTATTTTTTCATACATCTTTTTGCCTTGAGGATCACTCAATAGTTTTGTGAGTGCATTAATTTTCTGTAAACAATCAACTTAATTTTTTTAAAGTGTTAAGAAACTTTTCAAATTTGCTTGATTAATAATAAAACAATAGTACATTGATAAGTAACACATAGGTCTTAAAAGTTTTGCAATTTTGTTTTGTTAACGGATATCTGATATAAATGGCACACACAAATAAATTAAAACTTAATTCAGAAATAATAAAAATAGTAATAAATTAAAAACATTGACAGCATTTTTTATTAGTGTCTAAGCATTTGGTGGGGCATTTTCGATAAAAACCCCGAGACACATACACTTATTTTTTCTCTAGTTTCTCATGAATCAAAAAGTTTTGATCTAACTCACCAGAACAGCAGAATACAAATAGGAACTTAACTTTTTTAAAAGGCAACATACTGCTGTTAGGTAGTGGGCTAAAATTTGCACTAGGCTGAATTGCACTTTAATGAGGTATATCCAGAGCGTACCATTGGTCGATATTATTTGAGGGAATTGTTGCAAAAAATTTCTTTTGATACCATGAGAAATTAAATTACTATCAATTGAAAAGATAAATAAATAAATCAGTAATTTGTTGAAGAAGAAGGAAATTTCATTTTTCCGAAAAGCAATGTTCAAAACATTTGTTTGCCAATAGTCTGAGAGCGGTTGTTCCAAATTAAAAACCGTTTACACCATTGTAATCAGCGTCAAAAAATTTCAAAATACATTGACGAGCAATTTAGTATGTTGCCATTTGAAATAGTTAAGCTCCCCTGTATTATCCTACTAAATCAGGTACACTTTAACAATTGAGAGTAAATCAAACAGGATCTAAAATAAACAGATCTTACTTTTTGTAGTAGTTTGATATGTTCTTCTAATGAATTGCTATGATTGGAAGCAACTAGCAGGGATTCACTCACACTCTCTCTGGGATGGACGCCACTTTCAAAACGACAGTACATTCCTCTCCAAAACCTTTAAAGACAATTTTTTTTAACTTGATTTAAAAAATTAGGTTTTGCAATTTAACCGGTAGGATATTATATATAATTATGAAGAATCATAAGTGTAATAAATCGTTTTATTTTACCTTATATTCTGGGGTATGAGGTTTGGTCTTAGAACTCCTTCGCAAAATTTCGGATTATACAGTGGATTTATATATTCTCGCATATGATTTGCCATGAAGCCCCATAATGAGAAAGTCCTTTCACTTAATCTATAACAGAAAGATCATATTAAAAAAAATCTTTTAATCAAAACTATTTATTACACTACCTAAGTTCTATTCTTTCTTTTTCACAATTTCCTATGAATGTTCCATATAAACAAGAACTCGTATTATCATGGATCGCAAATAAAAAGCTTTCATTAAACTGGAAAGCCGTTGGAAAATCTTCCATCAATTGCCACGTACATTCGATAAACTGTGTAAATACTGGAGAGACTTCTTTGGTCTCGCCGGCCAAATGGCCGATTCGATCTGTGAACTTATGGCCAAAACTAAGCCAGTCTTTTTCAATTAGGGCCTGCAATAAATAATGAATAAGAAAACAGTCTGACTTATGGAATATTTTATCCGACCTGGAAGCCTTGTATTGTTCTATAAAACGGGTCCAAAAGCATGGCAGCAAGTGAGCACACTTGCGCAGTTCTGTCCCAACCGTCGCTGCAGTGCACTAAAACGTTAACCCCGGACTCTACGGCCTGAGCAATAAACCAACTCGTGTCGAGAATAGATTTTATATGCTTTAACCAACCGCTGCTTTCTAATCCGCTTAAAAATCCTGACATGGAGGGCCATTTGAGTTCACAAGCTGAAAATGTTTGTCTGTTTTGTACATCAATCGGAAACATCAAACTCATTCAGTAAAATGTAAATTTCTATATGTAATGTTACAAATTAATAATACAACACTTACTTTCAATTAGTTTCATGAGTCCATTTCTCATCACATGAATGTTCTCAATACCCATAAAGCTGAATTTTATATTATCATAAAAATTTTCATTTTCATATCCTCCTTTTCCTTTCGCTCTATTTGCCATTGCGTTTATCTAAAAATTCGATTATATGATATATAATCCTCCTTTACGGAATAGTTCAACAGTAAAAAAACACAATACCAATGGCCTTGTATCTACAACAACCATATGAGGTGCAGTTGGATTAGTAGCAATGATACAATTTAACATTTGTTCATCTTCTAAACACCTTGCATTAAATCCAGATAACGGCTGACTGCATCTACATATTGCAGCCTGTTCATATTAACAAATTTTCAATAAATAAAAAATCCTGTATTGTAAATTCCATTTTTTTATATATATTTATAATACCTTATTTTTATGTAGGTAAGTTAAAACAGGTAGTCGTCCTTTACTCCTGAACTTGGAACTGCCAGTTAAAATGGTAGTATTTGCCGTAGACGGAACAAAAAGTAAACTAGGATATGTGTCGCAGAGCTGGAAATATTGATCGCGTTAAATAAAACAAGAAACTGTTTTTGAAGCTCACTCACCTCATAATCTTTGTTGAGGAGGGTGAGGCTCCACTGCTCGTTTGGGACTCTCATTCTTTGAAATTCCGCTTGAAGATCGAAAAAATTCCATCCAGCGGTTTTAGGAATGTTTTCACAATTGGAAGAGCGAAAACAAAAAAGGTCTTCCACTTTTTCTAAATGAAGCATGACAAATATCAATACACAGTTACAGTTATAAGTAGACTCTTGTTATCCAAGCTAAACACCATTATACATTCCAAGTATCACCGCAGATACGAACCAATTCGAATTTCAGGTTTTAAAGCATTTTTTCTATCTGCATATCAATCAGACACTTTCCGTATTGCCTGTGCCTATCATCAATGTTATGTATCATAATTCACTGATTTCGTGGTCCGCTTGACCAATTAATATCTTCCCATAACTGAAAAATGGCAAAAAGGAGGGAAAATTCAAAAGGTGGGGTTGAGATGGGAAGTTAGTGTCCGAGTGGACCGAGGTCACGATAGATCAAGTGGTAGAGCAGTGGTGTATCTAGCCAAAGATCGTGGGTTCAAATCTCGCTCATGCCATTGACTTTTTAATCTCAACTAAAATCCTTAATTAATTGTAACTTATCTACATATATTTCAGGTTTTTTCAATAAGAAAAATGCAATGTACGGTAATATACGTAAGTTTATTCCACACAAAAAGCAATATGTACATATATACATCAACAGGAATCCACACGACATCGAAACAAACGAGAAAAAATTATTAGGGGCCCGAAAAAAGAACAAATTTATAAGAGAGATAAATTAAATTACACAGTTAGATGAATCAGCGAAGTTTGCTCTTTCACCTTTCTCAAAAAATATTGTTATAGGAGGCTGCTTTGTCTAGTTTTCAACTGCTGGAAATTTTTTCGAAGAGGGTCCATTGCTTGAGTTGCAGTCTTGTTACGTTGATGCTTCATTCCCCTATTGGAACATATTCTATGATTTTATCTTTCAACTTATGAGCTAATCATAAATCGAAAGATTTCTCTCAATTTTTCTAATGTCTGTTCCTGTTTTTGTTATATTTTTACCCTCTTCTTCATCCTCTTGTGCAGTCAATTTGATGAGTTCTTCCAAGTCTTCATTAGTGAAATATTCATGATGTTCACTAATCAAATTTTCCACTTCATGTGCATGTAAATCACTGAATCCTTCTCTACCCACGGATTTAATTATTCTTATAGTCACAAATGACGTCACTCCATAAAGATTTCTAACAAACTTTTACCATTTCTGACTTTAAATTATCCATATCTCCTTTGATAACGATTATTGCATTGAGAACAGTGATTTCCAACATCCTTGACATTAGCTTTGTATCTATCTACATCAAGTGTTTCACAAATCATCTCAAATACGTGCCTTACATAAGCAGCTTCGATGCACCTAATAATCCCTAGGTTCCATAGCTGAAGCAAAGATGTGTTGTGGAAGGAGGAAAATACCAACTGAACATTTTCATTTTTGTTTGTAATGGACTGAGGGCGACCAGGTGCATTGTTGAGCACCAACAAAACCTTGAAAGGCAACCCTTCCTTTTCTAAATATTTTTTAACTTTGAGAACAAAACAAAAATTAAATCATTCTTCAGAAAAAAGAACATCAGTGATCTCACGCCTTGGCATTGTGCTGCCAAAATACAGGTTGGCTAAGGTTTTTTTGATCTGTAGACAACGCCTATTTTTATCATATGATAGCCACATTGCCACATAAACCCCATGTTAAGCGATCTTTGAATGCCTTGAAACCAGAGGATTGTCAGGCAGTTTTGACTAGAATTTGGACTTTATCACTTCTTGAAAACACTTCTAGTCTTTTCTTCATTTTTGAAGTAGATTTGTGATCACTTTTTGCATGTTTTGGTGTCATTGTCTTAATTAAAAACTGAATAGAAATTATGTACATACATAAATGTACAGCAAATTTGTTATGAACCGGTAAACAAAAGCGAGAGCAGGCAAATGGTTGATAGGCAGAAATAGTTTGTAACATGTTATGCTCAGTTGTTTTTCGGTGATTCATCACGTTTCAACTTTCCTCTAAAAATGTGTGGTGTTAATCGATAATTATTCAGAAATCGTCATACTAGACCGCATCTCACGATTTCTGAATAATTTCCTATAAAACTTAACTAGGGGGGCAACCGCGGATAAGTGAAAATACAGATAACAAGAATCTACTATTATTCATATATAAATATATTTTTTCTACCCATACTAACACATAAAGAACTGAGAAAGATTAATCATAATTTTTTTAAAATTATTGGTATGTTATTTACTACTAAATCTGTTTTGTTCTTACCAAGTTGAGACAATTTTAAAAGAGAACTGTATACATCATGGCAAGCCCTTTCACGTGGAATGACAAATGTGACCGAATGAAAAGTTTTACATCTGATCTGCAAAGGACATCCTGATGTTGAAATTGGCAGTTTCTCTACCGATGCAATATGGAGCAGTAAAATCTGAAATATAATCCCACGTCCACGTTAATATTTCTAAATATTTAAAATTTTATCAATCCGAAGACTCAAAATAACAATAGTTCTTACCCATGTCTCTTTATTAGTCTCAGTTTCAACAAATATAAGATGAGTTGCAGTTACAAACAAGTTTCCAAAACAGAGCTTTCTTGCGTTGTAACGATCCAACATACGAACATTTTCAATCTGAAAAATTACACGTCATTAGAGAATGCGTAATAAACGTTGTAAAATTTGTATAAATAGACCTAATTACTCAAGAAATGCGCAGTAATTCTACTTACACAACCATAAAATGAAGCATTTACTATTATCAGCTAATGAAAACAATGAAGCAAAATGAAAAATAAGCACAAAGAAGGGAAGAATCAAAAGAAAAACCTTTCTTCTAGCCTGGAATAACGAACACGATATCATGGCTACAACAGTGCCCAGCGTCTCAACGCGAAGAAATGTCAATGTTTCTTCATGAGTTGTCGTTTGGTGGAATCCAGGGTATGGCATGAAAGAATTGAGTATATTCATAAATTATTTACGATTGGCAATAATAAAATGGTAAATGAAAATATACCTCTTATATATATATTACATAGTATTTTAAATGATCAAATCTACAAAACAAAACTAACAAAAAAATCTCCAAATGAAAATAAACTGATTTTTATTAAATGACTTAAATATGTGGTGTTTTATATGGTGATTGATTAATGGGACATACATTTCTGTGAGTACCAAATATTAAGGGGTATCATAAAAAAGAAAAAACAGAACCAATTAAGAGTATCACTTATAGAGGACCCATAAATAGTAGAATGATCCTAGAATTATCAACCAGCCTTTAATTGCACAAGTAAAGATACCAACATTAAAACATTTGGAGCAAACTTTATAATAGTTATTTCACATTGTTCTCAATTAAAAAGCCATGTGCTATGGCCAGGATTCGAATCCGGAACTGTTAGTGGGAAAATACGAGACAGGCACTCTAACCACTCAGCCAATGCAGTCGCTTAAAAATATTGTTGTGAACTTTTTAAACATTTTTCTACATAGCTTATAATTTGTCCTCCTGATGGAGCTTTCAAGTTTGATTTTCTTAAAATTTATACACTGGTCATATAATTTTTAATCTCACAATAGGATAGAATGTTAAACAGTAGAACAATAAAAATATCTATAAACATAATAATTTTACACTCCATATGTGAGTGATAATAACACTCAAATAGATATAATAAATCTATTTATTTTTATTGTATACAGGGTGAATTGCTACTCGTGCTACAAACTTCTCCAGTAGATTCTTCACCCTAAAATGAACAAAAAAGTTCATATTGTCCATGGTCCGATTCTCAACCATTTCAGAGTAATTTCGCTTTTTATCGATTTTGAAAGATATCACGTCCTGGCGTCGGAAAATCGTGATATCTTTTAATCTAAACATTTCTCTGAAAATCTAATAGCACCGTTGAAATTCCCGTTAATTTTTCAATAAGAAGATGACGGTGGCAAAATGTTTGGGCTAATTTTTTGTGTTTTATTTCAGCCAGAACTACAAAAAGAGTGGAAAATTGTGTAAATCGGAAAGTGTATAAAGTAATCCAGAGTTTCTAATTTTAGTCTCAGAAGGCAGCAAATTTGAGGAAAACTACCTGATTTAATAACGCTTCCAACGCACTCGTCATTTTCTTATTTAGTGGTTGTGAGACCAAGATGTTGATGACAAAAAGAGAAAAAATGGTGGTTCAAGGATTGCTAATGTTTGAGAGTGACTTGCTACTCGTGCTACAAACTTCACCAGTAGATTCTTGACCCTAAAATGAACAAAAAAGTTCATATTGACCATGGTCCGATTCTCAACCATTTCAGAGTAATTTCGCTTTTTATCGATTTTGAAAGATATCACGTCCTGGCGTCGGAAAATCGTGATATCTTTTAATCTAAACATTTCTCTTAAAATCTATAAGCACCGTTGAAATCCCCGTTAATTTTTAGAGAGAATCAAAATCATAATTCCATTGAAATTTTTTAATTTAATTTAATGCCCATTTAGTATGTAATGCTTAAGAAGTTTACAAACAGCTAGAAGGTCAAGGAAGAAAGACCCAAACGTTTTGCCACCTTCATCTTCTTATTGAAAAATTAACGGGGATTTCAACGGTGCTTTTAGATTTTCAGAGAAATGTTTAGATTAAAAGATATCACGATTTTCCGACGCCAGGACGTGATATCTTTCAAAATCGATAAAAAGCGAAATTACTCTGAAATGGTTGAGAATCGGACCATGGTCAATATGAACTTTTTTGTTCATTTTAGGGTCAAGAATCTACTGGTGAAGTTTGTAGCACGAGTAGCAAGTCACTCTCAAACATTAGCAATCCTTGAACCACCATTTTTTCTCTTTTTGTCATCAACATCTTGGTCTCACAACCACTAAATAAGAAAATGACGAGTGCGTTGGAAGCGTTATTAAATCAGGTAGTTTTCCTCAAATTTGCTGCCTTCTGAGACTAAAATTAGAAACTCTGGATTACTTTATACACTTTCCGATTTACACAATTTTCCACTCTTTTTGTAGTTCTGGCTGAAATAAAACACAAAAAATTAGCCCAAACATTTTGCCACCGTCATCTTCTTATTGAAAAATTAACGGGAATTTCAACGGTGCTTTTAGATTTTCAGAGAAATGTTTAGATTAAAAGATATCACGATTTTCCGACGCCAGGACGTGATATCTTTCAAAATCGATAAAAAGCGAAATTACTCTGAAATGGTTGAGAATCGGACCATGGACAATATGAACTTTTTTGTTCATTTTAGGGTGAAGAATCTACTGGAGAAGTTTGTAGCACGAGTAGCAATTCACCCTGTATATTGTGGATAGTTATAGGGCCAGCGAAATACACTGGTCATCATCAGCCCTCTCCTTCCATGCTCAAGGTATGGATAGTATGGTATAATGTATATAATATATATAATATATATAGGAGTCCAAGTCTTCTGTTGTCTTTTAAGTCTTGTGTGGGGATTCCACGTGTCTGCTGTCTAGGTATTTGACCTGAGTGGAAGTCGGTATTTCTTTGTTGTTGATGTCAGTGGAGGGCAAGACTATTTTTTCAATATGAACATACACTAAGTGCATTTTCCTTTATTCAATCTTTCCCTCTACTTTTGCACCAGTCTTCGATCAGCTCAAGGTGTTCTTGGATATTGGAGGTACCTTGGGAAGGATTCAAGCTAGAAGACAGAATTACGGTATCGTCTGCATAGGTTATATGATGGTACTGGGGTGTGCAGGTAGGTCAGCAGTATAGATGATGTAAAGGATGCTCCCTTGTGGGACGCTGGCTTGTATCGGTCTGATCTCCGAGACCTCGTTGCTACACCTCACTCTGAAGCAGTGTTGGTTAGATACGATTTCAGGGTAAGTTAATAAAGAGTGGGTAGGAAGCATATGAGTATAAAGCATGCCCAGGTGCCAGACCCTATCAAAAGGTTGTGCTGCATCTAGGAACACACCCAATATTCTTTGTTCTCAAGAGCAGAGGAGATAGTGTTGACAACTCTGAAACATAGTTGGATCGTAGAATGATGTGGACAGAAGCTGAATTAGTGAAAGGTAATTATTTGATGAGTATCTAGGTTGGGGATTAATCAAGTTAAAAGGAGTTGTTCGGGGATTTTGGACATTGCAAGAAGAAGGCTGATGAATTTGTAAACGGATATGTGATTGGGAGGTTTGTGAACTTTAGGAATGAGAATAATGACAGAATATTTCCATGATTACTCCTGGTAATTTTAGGATGGCATTATATATTGTGGTTAGCCTTTTGTGGTAGGTAATTTGTTAATTTAATAATTAAATTTCCAAAAATAAGAACTGCTTCTCATTCACACTTTTATTCAAACAAATGGCATATATTTTATTCATTTGTGCCGGAGTACTTGATATTGCTCGGTCAAGACTAATTCCTCCATATTCACTAATAAATAACATACACGTACAAATATTTATGAACCTGAAGTCTGTGCACACTCCTATTTCTTTTCTCGCAATATTCCACTGTTTTAAATAATAGATTTGTTAACAATTTCAAGCTTTAAGCACCAATTTTATAGCTCAAGTTGTTAGTTGTATAGTAACCAACTGTGGATGCAGTGAAACTTTGGGCCAGCTTGTCTCGAAGAAATGAATCAAATTTAAATCAGTTTAAATTGGACTTTAGGATGATAGCATGCACCCGCCTGGCATAAATCACATTTTGTAATTCCTTGAGGAAGTGTAAACTAAAAGAAAGTAATATTTTTCTTTTGTACGTTCAGCGATCAATCAATTACTCTTGGTAGAACACTGCTGACATCGTCTGAAATGTGCATTAATGTCTTGCAGTGCAAATACAACAATACAGTGTGATGTTTTCTCGACATTATTCACATTTGGAGAGGGAAAAAAATAAAATATTGTTTTATTAAATGTTTTTGTTAAGGTCAGCTTAAATCTACCGTTAGAGTGTAATTCTTCACCAAATCTTCACTTCACCATGACCCAACCTTAGCAATTATGTCGGACTTTACATAATCTACGATGATCAAGGATCATTGTCAATAAGTTAATAATCTGGTTTGGGATGTTATTGGGTATGTGGTCCTTCAATGAATCATGCACTGTATTATACAGTTGCCAAGCTTTCGGCTCTATATTTGGCCTTCCTCAGGGCAATGTATGACGTCCTAAATAAAAATAATAATGTAATAACCATTTAAAAGTCAACGATTTTTTAAATACACCTCTCTACACGTTTTTAACAGAAATTCCTGTTTTTTTTTTTTTTTTTTTTTTTTTTTTTTTTTTTTCTGCTAATTAATAAATTTCTGTTAAAAACGTGTAGAGAGGTGTATTTAAAAAAGTGTTGACTTTTAAATGGTTATTACATTATCATTTTTATTTAGGACGTTGTACATTGCCCTGAGGAAGGCCAAATATAGAGCCGAAAGCTTGGCAACTGTATAATACAGTTATTCAGATATCGTGAGATGCGGTCGGGTGTGATGTAGGTTTCAGAAAAACATTTTCTTTATCGTGTATAATACAGTGCATGATTCATTGAAGGACCACATACCCAATAACATCCCAAACCAGATTATAATCAAAGTTGGTCGATAACTGAACAACCTCGTAATAAGTTAATAGACATGATTAGAATATGAATGAGTGTTTTTTTTATCTTTCTTTAAAAAACATACAATTAAAAAAAAACATTAATGAAAAATTGTAATTATGAGAGTTTATAGAATGAGTTTAATTGATAATACTGTGCCAGGGGGACCAGTTTGTTAAACCCTGACAGGACAAAACTAAGAACTTCATTTAATGAAAATTACCTTAGCCTCACGCAAGGTAAAGGCAAAAAGCATTTGGAATTGTATCGAATCCCTGGCAGAACTCACCTGACTGCAAGGGTCCCTGGGCATTCGGGACGTAAGTATGAGTATTGGCGTATTGGCCAAAAAAAGGAGCCCCCTTTTTTTTTTCTTTAAATGAAAATTGCCTTAGCCTCACGCGAGGTAAAGGCAAAAAGCATATGGAATTGTATCGAATCCCTGGCAGAACTCACTTGATACTGGCATAGGTCCCTGGGCATTCGGGACTTAAGTCCTGAGAAAGTGGATTATTGGCCAAAAAAAGGAGCCCCGAACCCTACCTTGCCAAAAAAAAGTATGAATCCAAAATGGATCCTTAATGAGTCCAAAACCTAGTTGAGCAACACCCCAGGCATGAGACATTCGAAGAGATTCATAGAAGGGCATTACTTACAAAAGAATTACTGGGCGGCAACAGAAACAGAACCTGGATTCCGGTTGGACTCCTGACATGGCACTGCTGAAGAAGGCATATGCACCAGATACGAGTACAAACACTGAGCAGATACTGCCAGGATGAAGAGGAGGAATTCACTGTGTTGACGTTTTCTCGACATTATTCACATTTGGAGAGAGGGAAAAAATAAAGTATTGTTTTACTAAATGTTTTAGTTAAGGTCGGCTTAAATGTACCGATGGAGAGTAATTATTAACCGTATTTTACACTTCACCTTGATCCAACCTCAGCAATCAGTAGGACTTTATACAATCTGCGATGATCAAGGGTCATCGTCATTAAATTAATAGACATGATTAGAATATGAATGAGTGTTTTTTTTTTCTTTAAAAAATCATTTTAAAAAAGAGTTTAATGAAAAAATAGATTCATGTACGTTTATAAAATGAATTTAATTGATAATATTGTGCCAGGGGGAGCAGTTTGTTAAACCATGACATGAACCTCATTTAATGAAAATTGTCTTAGCCTCACACGAGGTAAAGGCAAAAAGCACATGGAATTGTATCGAATCCCTGGCAGAACTCACTTGATACTGGCATAGGTCCCTGGGCATTCGGGACTTAAGTAATGAGGAAGTGGATTATTGGCCAAAAAAAGGAGCCCCGAACCCTACCTTGCCAAAAAAAAAGTATGAATCCAAAATGGATCCTTAATGAGTCCAAAACCTAGTAGGCACAATATCAATGGTACAATGTAGGAGAATTGTCGGTAGAACATGTGGTATCAAACGCATGTACAGCCAAATAGCTATATACAATATATGGCTATATGCAATTATTCTACCTAGATTATTTTTCGCAGCTTTAGTATGGTGGAAAGGTCTAGAAAATAAAGGGAACAGGGGGTAACAAATTAAGGTCATTTCAAAGACTAGGTTGTTTTATGATGACAGGAGCATTTTCAAATACACCCACCCCAACTTGAAATCATAACCAATACCACATCTCTACACATTGAGGTAAGGTCAGAGCACTAATCAGTTGCTACAGATTAACTAGCAAAGTCAGCTGGAATCATAAGTGTAATAACATAGGTCACTCTAAAATCTAACAACTATTGAGTAAGGTTAACGTGATAAAAAGATTAAAACCCCTTCGGGGAAAAAGTACTTTCAGGTAGTCACCCCTTGTGAATATAATTATAGTTTGGATGATGACCATCGCAACATAGACTGCTACACAGATGGTTCACTTATCAAAGGTAGAGGGAGGGGTGCAGGAATCTACATACCTAAGTTAGGAATCAGCTCCTCCCCTCTTGGCAATAACACCTCCGTTTTTCAGGCGGAAATCTGGGCCATTAATGTGTGTTGTAGAACACTTATGGAAAATAAAATTACGGGAAAAGAGATTAGAATTTTTCTGACAGGCTAGTCTTAGGTCATTACTCACCTGACCCCTGCATGGGTCCCTGGGCATTCGGGACATGAGTATGAGTGGACATATTGGTCAAAAAAGAAGCCCCGAACCCTACCTTGCCAAAAAAAAGTGCATCCAAAAATGAGTCCAAAACCTAGTTGAGCAACAACGCATGATACATGCGAAGAGATTCATAGAAGGGCATTACTTACAAAAGAATTATTGGGGGCAACTGCAACAGAACCTGGATTCCAGTTGGACTCCTGACATGGCACTGCTGAAGAAGGCACATGCACCAGATAGGAGTGCAGACTCTGCGCAGATACTACCAGGAAGAAGAGGAGCAGAACACGTTTTATGTTTTAATGAGTGCCTATGTGGGTGCAGATTCTTACAAGAGGAAAAGGCGCAAGCAAGATCCTACACTAAACAGACCGCTATGGAGGTTGATTAACAACATGAAGCTAGCCAGAGTTATAAAAAAAATAGAGACGGGCAACAGGACTCAGGTCGACGTGCGGAACGTCCTGTGACTTCCTCATCTATCCCTATCCCCTAATGAAAATTGCTGGACGGCAAATGAGTATGTTGTAGACTTTTACTGCAGAAACTGCACAACTGTTTAAGAAGAGGCATAAGGAGTGACATTGGTTTAAGGGTATAAATTAAAATAAAAATGAAAATTCGAATGGTTCGACGTCAGCATTTTGCTTGTTAAAAAGTTCATAAATAGTCATGTTCAAATCAAAAGAATTTCTCCTTTTTTTATCAATAGTACCCATTTCGCGCTCAACTTACTTTTGGTGTTTTAATTGAATCCATTTGTAGATGCGGCATTCAACTTGGCATCCGCTGGGCCCGGCGAGGAAAATCGTGAACCCGGGGAGGCGGAAAATGCGTGGAAATATTTGTGGAAACCCGAGTAAAATACAAAAACTGGTCGGAAAATTAAAAAATTCAAATTCGAGATACGGAACGGGCCTGGGGGAGGTTCGAAGTGCGATAAGCCGACTGACGGCGTCCCCCACGCCGACCCAAAGGGCAAGTTTGTGTGACATGGGCAAATCGGTTAAAAACATTTATTATCAGTACAAATATTTGACTGTAAAACCCTAATCTTTATGGAAATACGTAACTGTTTTGGACTCTAAAGTTACACTTTTATAAAATAAATTAACTTTTTGTGAACCCACATTTACGTTTTTTTAAGGCAATCAGAAACTTTTTCAATTCATATGCAGGCTTTTTCAAAGATAAATATCCTGTTTTCAAGGCTCATACACAATTTTTCGTACAAAAACATTTAATCTCCAAATTACATCATTTTTAAATAATCAGATTTTACTATTTCCAAATCTATTCTTTTTCTATTCACATGCAGCATTTTTAAGGCTAATTCCTGTTTTCAAGTTTCATACAAAATTGTCAAAACAAAACTTTTTTAAATCAGTTTTTTACTTTTTCCAAGTTAGATTATCGTTTTCCAATTCAAATCCACTTTTTTTCTATTAATTTGCAACATTTTTTAAAATCAAATTCCTAGTTTTCAAGTATCATAGAAATTTTTTCAATACAAAACTTTTGATCTCCAAATTAGGCTGTTTTTAAAAATCAGATTTTTCTCTTTTCCAAGCTAGTTTCCCATTTTTTCAGTCCAATTCCACTCCTTCTTTATATTATAACTCTTATGCAAGTCAAACTCCACACAAAATTAACCCTTTTTTAAATCAAAGTTAACCCTGTAAACATAGTTTTTTACACCCTAAATTTACTCTCTTGCAACTAACACTCACTACACCCAAATTGCAAGTACTATTTTATGCTACAAATTTACCCTTTTTTTAAGACAAATTCACACTTTTCTAAACTCAAGGTTGTTTAAACGTCGGCTTCTTTATGACCATGGTACGCCACAACCAGTATTGCTCTTCTGTGCATCCAATCTAGAGCTTTTCATTAAGTTTAAGGCTTTTTATCAGATCCCAAAGCTTTGTCAAGGGCTCCTTGTATATACTTCATTCTTGGCTTTTTCTTTCCCAGGAGTTGGAAGACTGAAAGCATATTCCGCTTTTTCTTCTCATGGCAATATCAGCACAGGATATTTATGCTGCTACCATTCTAACCCTAACAAGTCCTAAGTTTAGAAGTTCTGTTAGTTTATGTGATGGTCCTTTAATGAATTTTTCCACATGCCTTTGTTCTGGAATTTCATTGAACAGGGGACCTTTTTCTTAACCCATATGTGATTATTATAAATGTAATTGAAATAGTTCCATTTATAACTTTTTATCTTGGTATATAGCAAAATAATGCAACATGAGCAAATAAAGATTTATTTTTAAAGTCTAAAATATTCATATTCATTTAAACCTTTTATTTCATAAATAAAAAACAATACTCTGAACATTATAAATAATATAATATAGATTATTCTGATTAACTTTAAATATTGATGTTGATAGTTATTATCAATTAATTTTTAAAGCAAATACTATCACAATTGTTCTAGTTTCATAAAATGAAGATACATTTCCGCCAGATCAGAAAATTTATTTATTTTTTTAAATAAATAAATAAAAAAATAAAATAAAATAAAGAGAATAGTGGATTCATACTGGGATAAATAATACGGCCATACACTGAATTACTAACTTATAAAAATATATGTATATAAAGAAATAACTCCAAAATATGTTGAACATTATTTTTATCATGAAAATTAAGTGCATACAATAAGATCGTACAAAAGGAAACAAATCCGAGTAATCTTTGTTCTCAGGATTTGTTACAAGCTGTTTTCCAAGTCAACAGCAAGTGGTCGTGCTTTTCTTCAGTGAATTCTTCAAAACTTGTAAGATGTATAAGTTGCACTCCATCCTGTCGTCACAGCCCACCGTGGAAATTGTGCAAGAAGTTTCGTTAGTCTGACTGATTTTTGATTTGCCCCGTGGATGAAATGCCCGCACAAAGCGATATCCAATACTGGAGACGATTGTGGAAGTTGATCAGATATCTAGAAAGGAATTTATTATTATATACGCATCCCTGCACATTAGTGATACACAATATATACCTTTATATCCAGTGAAAATTCCCATGTAGACGGGTTTGAAACACTGGAATAGTAAACAAAATAAGTCTCCCTCTCTCTCCATTTAGGCCCCGCCACGATATTTTTATTGATGTCTGTTGTAACAATGCTAACACCTTGCACTGGTGATATCATTAATGTCATATGATCTGGACCTATAAAAAAATTAATGCAAGATGATAAAATTGATATTCTTCTGAATTTACATAAATTATATGTTGCTGAATTTAACCTGATCAATTACATGCACATCCAAAATTAATGTTCAAACTCAAACAAGTATTATAAAGCAATTGATCTATATCCATGCAACATGAAAATAATTTTAAAATGATATTAAAAATAATTATCTGGGTAATTTTCTGCTTTTTCAAAATTTTAGAGTAATCTTTTTATGTAAGGTTTTGGTTGAAATGAAAAAGTTAGTGTCACGAGTGGGATTCGAACCCACGACCTTCGGCTAAAAATATGCCAATGCTCTACTACTTGTGCTGTCGTGACTGTCAAAAGCTAGGTTTGGATGGGGATTTGGTGTCCGAATGGATGGAAGTCATGATAGCTCAAGTGGTTAGGGCAGCTGCGTGTTTACCTGAACGTCATGGTTCGAATCCCGCTCGTAACACACTAACTTTTCATTTCAACCAAAACCTTACATAAAAAGATTAATTGAAAGACGTAATTTGGTCAAGAGACCACTAAATATAATGGATTTTAGAGTAAGTTTGAGTGGCAAATATAACCTGGTTCTTTCACGAGGTTTATTCCACCATATTTATTTATTAAGTTACAAATAGAACTCTAAGCCCCCTTACATGTAAATATATTAGAAATAAAGTTTTATAAACATAGTAAAATAATAATAATAGCAATAATAGTAATGAAATATACAAAACAACAATGATAATAATATATCCTTTAAAATATTAATTCTTTATAATCGAATGTGAATAATGAAATCACATTACGCAAGAAAAGCAGAAAGAGAAAAATGGAAACAGTAAAAAGAAAAGGAAGAAGGAAGAAAGATGATTCATGTTGTTTTTAAAAACTCAGATGCCTGAAACAAGCCAGCAAGGAAGCAGAACGTTGAAGCAAATTCCATTTTCTTGACCCTGCAATTCTGAAGCATAAGGCTAAATATTTAAAGGAGTGTTAAAAGCTTGGGGATATGATTGGTGCATTTGGTTAAGGAATGTGGGGAAAAAAGTTGATAGATATTAAGGACATTTGATTTAATTATTCAGAAATCGTGAGATGCGGTCTGGTGTGATGTAGGTTTCAGAAAAACATTTTCTTTATCGTGCCAATGATTCGATCTTTATTGAGATCATCTTCAGGGCTCAATAAAGATCGAAACGTTGGCACGATAAAGAAAATGTTTTTCTGAAACCTACGTCACACCAGGCGATTTCTGGATAATTATCGATTAACGATCACTAACCACCACACATTTGATTTAATTTTAAATGTGTATATAATAAAACTAAAACACAATAAAACTAAAATTATAAACTATAAAAGTTTATAAGTGCTTAGAACGTTTGCTGAAAACATTTATATAGGAAGAAATATGATTCTTTGGTTTAAGACCATAACAGTATCTAATGCAGGATTTCATATTTTAGGAAATATTCCTATGCAATCTGGCCCTGGAGATTTTTTAATTGAAAAAATAGTCAAATGTATGTTTTAGTTTGATCATTGTGAAATTAGTGTAATCCGGAGTTTCTGGAGGGTCCTTGGTCTCGTTTAGAATGTACCGTTGGTATTTCTTCATCTGCTTTATTGTTTTGAGGGATGTTTATTTATTAACCAACATTGAAAGTTTTTCTTCTATTCCCTGTCTGTTCTGCCCAAAAGGTAAAACCATTTATGAATTTAACTTAAATCACAACCATGTCGTCATATGAATAATGCGACAGTATAACCGTGTTAAAATTAGGATTAGCAATAAAAATTGCCACCCTCTTTTGATTTGTGCCAGCTTAGAATACAGGGGCATGGAGAGGATAAGATTTACAGTGCAGGTGATAAAATTTGTCACATGAATAAGCTATAAATATTCGACAATATAATATTAAATTATACATACATAATTTTAGAAACAACCATTTAACATATGCTTTACTCAGTTTGGGATGTAATAAATTTGTATTTTTTTTTTCCAAACATGTTATCTGTTTATTAAATTTTGTAACTTTACACTATTTTGATAGCGAAGACAGTTTGTTTTTTTAACTGGTCTATTTTTAAACTAATCATAACTGCGTGATTTTGTACATCAGTTTTGTACATGCATTTTCTTCCCACTGATGAACACAATATTTGTATTTATTGTGTATTGTGCACACTTGCATTTAGTGATTAAAATTTTCAACTTTTTGTGCTTATTTTAATGCATACAAGCAACTTTTGAAAATAATCTATAACAAATCGTATTAATTTATATAAATATATATTCTCAGAAGTAGCAACTTTATCAGAAACGTATAAAAACGTTTGCCAATTCAGCCTAAAACTCAGTAACTGCCAGAATGTCTGGGTCATTAAGTAAACAACTAAATTGTAAGAAATTATATGTCTAACAAAAATAAACATGAAAGTATGAAAAACTAAACTATTCGACCTAAAAATTTAATAATTACAGGTACACGTTTTGCGAGGAAGATGATTAAACAGATTACCTATAAATACTATAAGTACTCACTTTTACATTGTTATTGTTTTCCAACGCCATACTTAACCTCAAGGAAAACAATTTTACTTCCAGTCTGTTTAATTAATGTTTTATGCTTAAATATAGGGTCGTGAAGTAAGTCCCTAGTGTTTTTTTATGGTAAATTAAATAATTTAACATACTAATAAACAATATATGAACCATTTTGTTCAACTACTTGTTGCCAAATTATATTTAATGTTGTAATTCCGAACTCCCAGAACTTACCAAAATATTCGCTTCTGAATTGATCATCAATTTTTTTTCTCTTAACAGTCTGAGCTGTGATTTACCATTTGTAGCAATAAAAACAACATTAAATGATGAAAATATAATATTTTTCTGCATTTTAAATCAGGAAAACACCTTGTAAAATTACAAGATTTCAAATGAAACTGACGAATAAAAACACCTTCACTAATGCCTTTTTAGAGTGTGTAAACAATAATGATTATATAAACATTGCTTCTGAGAGATAAAATTGAATTATTAAAAAACTTATTTACATTAGTTTTGATTGTTCATCAACCCCCTAACTCACAAATGAAAAAGCTCTTATGCGAATCTCATTTATAAAGTCAAATTTCATTGTAATAATACTATTATCCACTAAAATAAACTTGTATAAAAAAAAATCAGGAAATAGATTTTTACAGCTATTGATAGACAATAAAATACATACCTAAGGCACGGAATTGATATCGCTTGATGTTATTCTCAAGTTTACCACTATCTAAAAGTATTAATTCTGTTAATATAAATGTTGTTGGCTTGGGTGCAGGAATCCAATGAGTCTTCCTACAAAAACAACATTAATATTTCCATTTAACAATGATTTTTAATAACTGCTCATTGAAAAAAATGCAACAAAAGTAAATGTAACTAAAGAATTATTATAAACTGATTGATTGCTGATTACTGATTTATACGAGCTCAATTCAATATGTACACAAGTGTACAGAGCTGAGCCTATCACTTGTCGTAGTCCACCGGCAATTCCAGGTTTTGCGTAATTTACAATAAATTACCAGCAGGATTCGAGAATCACCCACCCTGGAACTGGATGAGTTCTCCCTGAGAACTGAAGCTTTACAGCTTATTGTACTCCTTCTATTTCATTTTGGGAGCTTGCAAACAAGTGTGTAAATTGAGCTCCTAGTGTGCTGGTGTTCTTCCATCAAAAGCACTCATTTTCGAACAGGATCAGGATCGGATTCAGCGTCTCTGAGGATTCTGCCAGAGCTTCCATTGTCAACCTTCATTGTGGCCACTGTTCCCCTTACGCATCAGAAAAATCCAGAGGTGACAGTGGGTATTGAACCCACGACCATCTACTAGCTGAGAGTCTGTCACATTACCACTCAGCTGCCGCAGTCCACTCATACTCTCACTCACTCTTAAATATATTCTCTCCAATTTACATACCATTCACTCAGAGTGACAGATTGATATTACTTCATCACCCTCGAATTATTATAAAGTTACAGTTTAGATATAATTTTATTGTCATTTTCCAACAGGCAACTCACCATATAAGTTTCCAAACTGGAATTATATAAGGGAGCCCGCAATATAACTGGTTGGTACAGTCGGTTACCAATTGAGCTGAAAACATCTCGGGTACAAACGATTGAACTAAATGCGGACTGTTGATGTCAAGGTCTACAACCCAAAACCCGGATTTATCCGAAGTGACTGAACCATGTATATCTCTACTTTCTGAAGAAACGTGCTAAAATAAAATATTTCATAATTTATTCATCCGCAATAAACAGAAAACGTTTTACTTACTAATATCATATATCTCTGAGGAGTTAGATTGTTTGGATCTGCTGAATAAGGAAATCCAAGAGGAGTGAGCAAAAGTGCCAATAAGGCCACGGCAATAATAGAAATTAATACGTTAGTGATTTTTTGCATGTTGTCCACAGCAACAACCAACGGTACCTGAAGGCAAATATTTCAACCTCAACAATTGTAAAGTTCAATCTGGAAAAAACAACTTACAACAAAATAATAAATCATTAATGTCAAAACTGAAGAAATACAAGCCATGACAATTTCTTCGTGATTCCCTGCTCCTGATCTTCCCATTATTGGAATCACAATTTTATAAACAACGGATATCATGTAACACCCTTTGAAAAATGGCAAAATGAATGTTATCAAATAAACCAACAGCCAGTAATCACCTAAAAAATTTGAACAAGATTTACATGGGAAAAAAATGCTAAACAAAAAATAAACTAAATAACAAAAAAAATAAATAAATAAACAAATAAAACTTATAAATTTATTTACCTTTAAACCATTTGTATGACAAATCTTTCAGGAGGTTTCCAACAATAGAAAATGCTAACCAAATTGCAGCGAAAAATCCAGATCTTATGTCAAAAACTATACAAACAATTATAATGAATGCTAAAACTAAGTTAAATGCATCTGAATTCAGTCTTTGATTCCAAGTAGAAGGAAGTGCCTACGAAAAATAACAATTAAAAAAAAAGATATACACAAAAAAATGTTATAAACTGTCTTATTTCATTTTGTGTTTCAAGCTTACCAATTTTCTTGCTTGCCATTTTGAAAATTGTGACATTACAACTAACGACACTAAAACAGAAGGTACGGCATACAAAAAGTATATCCACGTCGGCGTAGCATACCAACTCATGGCCCGATCAATAGTGGTCAACATAAATCCTATTGTACCAGCAGTTAAAACAGATAGTAACCAGGAAAAAAACATTACACAGCTACAAAGACATGTATGTAAAAAATAGGTTTTCTTACGATGACCTGGAAAATAAGCAGAGAAAGTTGATAAAATATCATTTTAAAAAAGTAATGTTTAATCAATTAAACAAACTTTTTTTTAAAATAAACTGGAAGGAATCAATTTTAATAAATAGGCTATTTTCTATTATTGCAAGGCGGTTTCCTTTTTCTTAGGAGGTAAAAATGTAGTATTTTTTTTTTAACAAGGGTATTTCAGGGGTGCCACAGTTTTTGAAAAAAAGGCCATTTGTAAGTATACCGGGTTCAAATGCAGGGCTGCTGGATTCGAACCCGGGACCTTTACCATACAGTGATGAGCGCCGTGTCAACGCTTAAACCTTTGTGGCCACCGACATAATTAAAATTCCTTATTTACAAAAATATTGCTATTTTATACTAAAGTTTTTTTATTACCGCTTACCATAGATTGCACTGAATGTGTGTGAATGCATGTAGTTGATAAAAATTGAGGTCATCGTTAACAATAAATTAATGAAGGCACTTGTTTTTTGTTTTATCCGTATTATACAGGTCCCGAAGAAGTCAAAATAAACCATCTTCCCTTGAGTTTCCAATTTTTCTTTCGTTAAATCCATATTGGCAAGATACAAAACAATGGGTAATATATTATCTCCCGTGTGCTGTAGTGTTCCTAATGGAATTTGAGCTACATTATCATGCTTCGTATGGTAAACATAACCATTTGATGTCCAAGCAAAGTCTAGTCCTATAAAAAAATTAACAGTTGAAATATTTTCAAATTAAAAGTCTTACAATTACAAATTGATAATAATTGAAATTTATTTATTTATTTACAAACAGGCGAACCCACAATAAAATAAACCTACATATATATGTGTATGTGTGTGTGTGTACTTTTTTATTTGCTTTGTCTTCTAAGATGTTATCAAATTTATTATATTCAGTACAGCCTTGTTTTTCAATTTTCTACCCGGACAGCAAAAATTTCCTATTCCTAGAAATGTTATTTCATCATGACCAGCAGGTCATCTGTTCGGATTGTTGGACCAGTGTGGCCTTCATGCAGGTAGGTCACCAGGCACTGAACATGTTTCATGTGCATAGGTGTAAATAAATATATAAATTAATTAATTTAAAAAAAAAATAATGCAAAGAAATATAAAGTAAATAAATAAGAACAAAAGACATGATACCTGGAATTCCACCAAAGTCTCTAAATATTCGAAAATCTGTATCACCAGGGATTAACCCGCTTTGAAATACTTCTTCTGCTAATGTGGAAGCCATACTTGATTTGACATTTAGAGCATATGCCTGAAATAATTTAAATAACTTTATCAATGATAATGTCGTTTATGATACTATGCTTAAAAAAATAAAAAATAAAATAAATTCACCTCAAAGAGCCATGGATTTTCTGGGCCTGCTTGAAACAATAACTCTTTCCCTCCTGCTCCACAAGCTTCTAAATTGATGAAACACTTGACTTCTTCGGCCCATTTATGTTGTGTAATAAATGCATGTGACCCCTGCAGGAGATTCTCCTCAGCCCCGTTAAATAAAAATATTATGTTATTTTTTAATGGCGATGAGGATAAAGAAATGACTCTCAAAAGTTCTAACATAACACCACAACTAGCAGCATCGTCACTTCCACCTTAAATACATAAAAACGTACACCAAATCATTTAAATTAAATATATATAAATATAATTTTACCTGGACTATCAGCCACAGTATCATAATGACAGTTCACTAGTATGCTGTGGGAAGACTGTACTGGCGGGCCAATCTTAACAACAATATTTTGAATATCTTTATAAACACTGGTCATTCCATCTAAAAATAATAACGGGAATGAACCGCTTGCCCTCTGTTGGTCTATACTAATCCTATGTATTTTATGGGCTTTTTTCATTATAACATCCAACTCTTTATACAAGAAATTGACGGCTAGGACCTCATTGGCAAAACTTCCCACAGGTCTTGCACCTATACTCGTTAAGTTCTGGATATGATTCATCGCCCTTTCAGCAATGAACCTATTTTTGTGAGTAATCTCATCTTTAATCATAAGAGGTACAGGCAAAGTTTTGGCCATATTGTTCGCCAAAACATACAACATAGTTAAAAGAAACAGAATAATCAAAAATCTTTTTGCTTTAATTGTAACATTAAGTTTCCTTGGGCTCGCTTCCAGTGCTTCATTCATTTCTGTGAATACCTCCTGCTTACTTCCTGACCCACGGTACCTCAGCAATACTGTATCCATCTGCAAATTTTAAAAAATACAACATTTTAAAACTGCTTATTATAATATAATAATGTTTATAATTTAAAAAAATTAGTAGGTAATGATAGCAGATAGGGACTGCAGTAGCTGAGTGGTCAGCGTGATAGACTCAGTTCATAGACCGTGCAGTGATGGGTTCAAGTCCCACCATTCCCCCTGCCCCTTTTTTTCAAAACACTATTTTTATCCCAAGAATACAATTAATTCATCACAGTTCCTCACTGAAGATGGCACAATAACAAAACAAGTTGGAGTAATCCAACAAACCCATGAGTGAAGACACCCAATAAGTGCCCCTATGCCTGTTCATCATGAGTTCACCGACTCGCAGACCAACACCCATCATCAAATATAACTCATCGCAGTCTCTGATTCTCACTATGGCTAATATTGAAAAATAAAATCAGTGAACAAATAGCAGAGGTGTTATATTCTACTATTCTCACTGCTTTAGTTTGACCTGTCGAACCCATTTGGGCATTTTGTCATCTTCAGTGCTTGCAATTAATCTAATTAGTTAAACGAACAAGATTGAAGAAAAAAATGCTGGTTATGTCAACCTATTGAAATGAAACATCTGATAGAACAAACTTGTGAAGTTCGGCTGGCCAGGGTGATCAAAAACAGCCTACATATAAAAGTAATTAGTAGGGTCAAATCACTTTTCAGTACTTTTTCGTTGTTTTTAATTTTTTTTTTTTTTTTTAATTAAAAAAGCCCTGGGCTAAGGCAGGATTCGAACCTAGAACTATCCGTAAGGCAAATGCAAGTCAGATGCCCTAATCACTAGAACGACTACATTATTTAACTCAGAAACAAATTGGATCTACCTTATCCTATGAATGAAAGAATACAAAGGTGCTTGGAGAAATACATTAAAGAAAATAATAATTTGGGTCATATTGTTCATACTAAATATATATATATTATATATATGAATAAATAGTAGGTAACATTTTCCATAAATTGGTTCAAGAAAGAAAAAAAACAACTGCCCATTATTCAGTTTAAACACTATTGACATTATAAAAAAATCGGTAATTAAATTGAACTGATAAACAGTAAAAACAAAGGACATTTCTTCTGAAATGAAAACTGGAAAGGAATGTGTCATGAGTCAGGTTTACGTAAATAACCAAAAATAATCAGACAACTAGGCAAGTTTTAAGAAGCAAATTGATAGGAACTGATGAATATTAAATTTTATATAAATAAAATATATATTTATTTTTGATAAGCTTATAAATTTAAGAGCTACTTTTATAAAACTGGATTAGCATCTAAAAGTAGATAAGAGTGGATGGATATTCTCACAATTAACTCAGTAATTTAATTAAGGAAGAATTTATTCCTTAACTGCGAAAAAATACAAAATTAGCACTTTTCAAAGCAAAACTAATAGAGAAAAAAATTGAGATGAATAATTAATCCTTTGCTCACATTGAAGTAGCATTTCTTAATTTGTTGCTTCAATTCAATTAAACAAAATCGCTAATAAATATTAGGACTTCAGCAGTTTGTTCGTTATTGCTGCAAAAAAGTGTTGGGTCACCATATCACTTTTTGTCCACCATGTGGCTGAACCATTCAAAATGCCAAATCAGAACTGACAATGAAGATGGCAAATGTCTGAAAACCAACCCAGCGACTAAAATGATCGGTAACAACCAAATAATTTCAGTTTCAACACCCCCAGAACAACAAGAAGAAATTTACCTAAATATTCAGCTTTTAGTCAATTTTCAATACTTTACCAGGTGAAGAAATTAGAAAAAAAAAGGTGTATTACTTGAGAATTGTATTGTTGGTGAAATTATTGCAATTGAAAAATTGAAATCTGTTTATCAAAAATACTTCAAAACTAAAAAACTATATATTTTTTTCCAATGAAAATTGATAACTGTGTGAATTAAACAATAAATTTTCAACTTTTATTGAACTGTCAATCCTTTCCATAGTGAAGACAAGTCTTTGCAGAAGATTTTCAGTATTGGCAAAATGTAGTTTGAACATCAAATTGTCTGACAATGTGGTTTATAAATCATACCGTAGTCAAAAAAATGTCTAACCAGGAATGGATTGATTTGTTATGTCCTAAGAGACATAAAAATGGCATAGAAAAAAATAATTGTTTGACCTTAGAATTACGTTATTTACAAAATGAGTTAACTAAAAATTGTTCAACTTAAAGATCAAGGCTTGTTTATCAAAAATATTTTGAAAGTAAAAGAATTTAAAAAGTTATAAAACAAAAATTGATAAATCTGTGAATTGAACAATAAATTTTCAACTTTTATTGAACTGTCAATCCTTTCCATAGTGAAAACATAGGACTTTGCAGAAGAATTTCAGTATTGAACATCAAATTGTCTGACAATGTGGTTTATAAATCATATCGTACTCAACAAAATTTCCAACCAGGAATGGATCGATTTGTTCATTTGTCTAAAATTGTCAATGCTTGAGACATAAAAAGGGCATAGAAAAAAAATTGTTTGACGTTAGAATTACATTGTTTGCAAAATGAGTTGACTAAAAAATTTTCAACTAAAAGATCAAAAATACTTCGAAGGTAAAAGAATTTAAAAAGTTATAAATCATATAGTACTCAACAAAATTTCTAACCATCGAATCGATCAATTTGTTTATTCGTCTGAAATTGTCAATGCCAGAGACATAAAAATGGCATAGAAAAAAAATTGTTTGACCTTAGTATTTAACCTTAATTACATTATTTACAAAATGAGTTAACTAAAAATTGTTCAACTAAAAGATCAAGACTTGTTTATGAAAAATACTTCAAATGTAAGAAAAAAATTATTGTTTTTTAACGACAATTGATAAAGCTGTGAATAGAACAATGAATTTGCAACTTTAAACAACTGTAAACATACATAAGGAATCTGATTTTTATAATTTATATTATCTAATAAACAAGTTACAATGAGAAAATTTATTATATTCACATGCTCAATTACACTGCTAAAAAACGTACCATTTTGTTAATTTAATTTGACGAATATGTAATTGTGTGGGAAAAACTCTCAACATAAAGAGATACTGTAAATTGACTCACCTTAAACTAATTGATATCAATTGTCTGACAGAAAGTGTAGAGATTATAAGAAATCAGGGTGGAGCGGCTTGCGACTAGATAATAACTATAAAATAAGCCTTCCTCAGGGAGAAATGAAAATGTAACAATTCGACATCTGTTCAGATTGGCCGGCGACAAAATAATTTTCAAACAGCTATTAACCAAATTTGTCGAAAGATTCGACGCCGATTTATGACAGACGCGCGCATCCAAATCACATATGTAAAAGTGAATTTAGTGGATTTTGGAAATTTTTCAAATCCGCTTTCCGCCGAACTGTCACCGGCGAGAGGCGACATTCGAATAAAACTCAGTTTTGCTAATAAATTTTAAGATATAACAAACTTTCAAACCTCTCTCAAAGATGAAGAGGTAACGTCAACTCGATGAATCAACAGACAGCCGGTTCGATTGTTTTATCAAATTGTTAACATATACGACAACAACAACAAAATTTAACAAACTAACTAAACCTATGCCTTACAAGATAAACTTCTGATTTGCCTTATCGTGCTAATTATACTTTAAATCCAGTAACAAAATAAATGACTTGTTTTTCCAATAAAACTGGGCGTTTTTGAAAATTTAACACCTCTTTAAAAAAAAGTGAAATATTTATTATTCAAATATTTCTTGTAAGGCCCAGGTTTAGTTAGAAATGCGGAAACGCGTCTGACAGACCAAAACAAAAAAAAAAAGCTATAACAGAAAAATTAACTAACTAAACCTGCGTCTTGCAATCCAAAATTCTGTTTTGCCTTTTCAATCCAAAACAGACAAGGATGATTTAAATACTGTAACAAAATAAATGGCTTGTTTTTCCAATAAAATTGGGCTTTTTTTGAAAATTTAACAACTGTTTAAAAAAATGTTGAAATATTTATTGTAAGGCCAAGTTTTAGTTAGAAATGCTTAAACGCGTCTGACAGACCAATACAACAAAATAAACTACAACAAAAAATTTAACTAACTAAACCTGGGCCTTGCAATCCAAAATTCTGTTTTGCATTTCCTATCCAAAACAGACAAGGATACTTTAAATACTGTAACAAAATAAATGCCTTGTTTTTCCAATAAAATTGGGCCTTTTTAAACATTTAACAACTGTTTAAAAAAAATGTTGAAATATTTATTGTAAGGCCAAGTTTTAGTTGGAAATGCTTAAACGCGTCTGACAGACCAAAACAACAAAATAAGCTATAACAGAAAAATTAACTAACTAAACCTGGGCCTTGCAACCCAAAATTCTGTTTGCATTCCCAATCCAAAACAGACAAGGACATTTTTTTCCTAATTGTATCATGTCAAAGTAAATCTCTGTTGTGGATATTGTTAATTTTAGGCCTGTGGAGTATATACTAATTACTGCTTAAGATTGACCAAAGCGGCAAAATAAGCAACAACAAAAAATTACCTAAACCTGGGCTTACAATGAATAATTCTGTTTTGCCTTTTCAATCTACAACAGACAAGGATACCTTAAATTCTTTATCGAAATAAATGACTTGTTTTTCCAATAAAATATAGGCTGCTTGAAAATTTAACAATTTTTAAAAAATGTTATAATTCATTAAATTTGACATTATTATTCGTTTTCTAATTATATCATGCCAAAGTAAATCATTTTGTGGATATTTGAATTTTAGTATTTACAAGTTACCACTTTAGATGGCAAAATGCTGAAAAGCATCTGACAGACCAAAGCGACAAAATAAGCAACAACAAAAAAGTTAACTAATGAAAACTGGGCTTACAATCAAAAATTCTGTTCTGCCTTTTCAATCCAAAACAGATAAGGATACCTTAAATGCTGTAACGAAATAAATGACTTGGTTTTCCAATAAAATTTAGGCTGCTTGAAAATTTAACAACTGTTTAACATGTTGAAGTATTTATTCATTAGACTTCATTTTTTTTTTAAATATTTATGATTAGACTGTCATTTTTTCGTTATTTTCTTAATTATATCATGTCAAAGTAAATCCCTGTTGTGGATATTGTTAATTTTAGGCCTGTGGAGTATGTTGAGCATTTACAATTTAACGCATAAGATGCCAAAATGCTGAAACGTGTCTAACAGACCAAAGCAGGGCCATTTTTTTGCCAAAATTTGATTGCCTATTTAATCAAAAACAAACAAGGAATGAAATGACTTGATTTTATCATAAAATTTGATCTTTTTTTTAGATTTAACAACTATTTAATATGTTGAAATATTTATCCATTAAACTTTTCATTATTGTTAGTTTTCTAATTATATCATGTCAATGTAAATTATTGTTCTGGATATTTTGAATTTTTAGATCTTTTGGGAATTTAAAATTCATTCTAAAACTGAAACATGAAAATAGTTAAATGAGAGCTTTTCAGCAAAGATCGTCAGTTTTAAGTTACAAATATTACAAGCTTTCAAACCACTCTCAAAGATAAAGAGGTAACTTCAACTCGATGAATCAAGAGCAAGCCAATTCAACTGTTTTATCAAATTGTTATCATGAACCACAACAACAAAATTTAACAAAGAAACTAAACCTGTGCCTTACAAGACAAAATTCTGTTTTGCCTTTTCAAGCTAAAACAGACAATTATACTTTAAATAGTGTAACAAAATAAACTTGATTTTCCAATAAAATTGGGCCTTTTTGAAAATTTAAGAACTATTTAAAAAATGCCATAATATTCATTCATTAAACTTGTCATTATTGTTAGTTTTATAATTATATCGTATCAAAGTAAATCATTTTGTGGATATACTGCATTTTTAAATCTTTTAAATTTATTTTTTTTATTCATGCTGAAACAGGTCTGATAAAACAAAGCAGTAAAGATTGCCAGGCAACGGTTACCGTTGATGGCCAACGACCAAACCTCAAATAATTAAATCACAGATTTCTCTAATGTTTTGGATGTGAAAATTTGATTAACTCTTAGAATCTAGAAAAAAGAGTGGTTCTTTTAAAATATTCAAATATTAGTTTATTAGGCTATTGACTTTGGAGAGATTATTGTTAATTTTCTAACATAAATCTTTATTTGGAATTTTTAAATCTGTTGAGTTTTCAAAATTTACCATTTAAGATGGCAAAATTCTGAATGAGTTTTGACAGACAAATCAATGAGGATAGATTGTCCAAGATGAACTGAAACAACCAAACTACAAAAAATAAAATGACAGATTTTTTAAAATGGTCATGATAAAAATTCCTTTCAGATGTTAAGAATTTAATTTCTGTTAAAATCTAGAGAAAACAGTATTCACAAATAAAAGAAAAAAACACTTTAAATCTATTGTTTTTTTTAATCAAGCAACTTTTGACTTAGTAGAAATGATTGTTGATTTTCAATTTTAACATGTTGAAGTGAAACACTGTAGAAAATTAAATTGGTTGCACAAACGTTTGAATATTTTGAGAATTCAGTGCCTGTTTGAATCTAGGGGAAAATGTCATACAACTGAAAACAAAATACTCTCAGAAAACTTAAATATTTGTTTGGTAGACTTTGATTTGGTAGATTTGTTATTTAAAAAAAGTGAATATTTTGAATTTTAGAGCTATTGAGAATTTAAAATTCACCTCTTATAATGGCAAATGCTGAAATACATCTAACAGACCCAAGCAGTAAAAATCGGGCAATTACATATACCATCTTAAAGTAAAAAAAATTAACAATTGTTTCTTCATAAGTGAAGAAAACTTTAAAATTTAATATCTGTTAGAATTTAGACAAAAATCACAACTGGTCACTGAAAGAAAAACTTTTAAAATATTCAAATATTTGTCTGATAACTTTGATCTGATTGAAAATTTTCTTGATTTTCAATTATATCATGTCGAAGTAAATCTCTGTAAAACATTCATATTACATCTAAAACACTAAAAGTTAAATTTGAGAACTTTTAAATATTTAAAACCTGCTAGAATCTTGGAAAAATAGTAAAAGACTAGTAATTTGTCTAAGTAAAATACTCCACTTTTTGATTCCAAGAAAAAAAAAAAATAGAGTGAATCTGGTAAAACATTAATTTATAGAATTCAATGTGCTTTGTCAGTTAACAGATAGTGAACAATCGAATGGTGTAAAGTGTGTAAAATATTTTGGCGTTTATTACATTCAGAGGAAACAGTGATAGAAAGGAAAGTAAAAACAAAATGAATAGCAGTATTTGTTTATTGCACAACTTTTTATTTGTTAGCCCTTTGTTGCTATTTTTTTAAAATGATGTATACCGTGTTTACATAAAGGACTGTGAAATTACATTTAAAATTTGTTTATTTCATCATATTGTTAAGTATAAGCAAACATTATTTATTTTTATTATTGACTGATAATGAATAATGGAATGAATCGTTTCCTAGTATGTGTTAAATGTTCAACTATTCAAAATAAACTTTAAAACTATATCCCCATTTCCAAAAACAATACATTAATTTATTTTTTTACCAACACCTATTAAAATCGGAATAAATAAACCATTCAAATACAATAAAATAAAAATTATATAAAATATTTGTTTATTGCACAACATTAATGTGTTAGCCTATATTGCTATTTTTGTATATACATTTTTTTTATTGCGTTCATCACTTTGACATAAAACATCAAAAAATTACATGAACAATTTGTTTATTTGAATAAATTTTTGTGTTTAAGCAAAAATTATTCAGTTTTACAGTTGAGAAATAGATGAACAATGGAAAGAATTGTTTCTCAATGTAAAACTGTTTAAATAATTCAAAATGAACTAACTCTAAATCTATATTCGAAAAACATACACCGATTAATTTTTTACCACCACCCATTAATAAAATCAGAATAAATATGATTCAATTAAACTAAAATATAAATTAAGCATTAAATTTTTTGGTTTACATATTGTACCTATCGATCTGTTTAGTGTTGTAGCTATTCTGTTTTATTGTGTGTACTACATTGATTATGAAATACTGTAAAAAATATATTAATAATTTATTTTATGAAACTTTCATGTGAAAGCTGAACTGATTTACTTTTATTTTGAGAGATAATTTATTGTTCCTCAATAAGTATAAAAATTGTTCTAATATTCGAAATTGACTCTAAATCTTTATCCACATTTACAGAAATTTTTATTTAGCTTTTGTTTTTACCACCACCCATTAAAATAAGAATAAATTTGATTCAATTAAAATAAAATATAAATTAAATATAAAATTTTGTTTAAAAATTTTAAATTATTTGTTTGTTGGTTTGTAGATTTTTTTTTTTTTTAAATTGTGTATACCTCAATAAAAAATAGCTAAGTCATAAAATGTTAATTTACACTAATAATTTTTTTTAAACAAATTTTCAAATGTAAGCCTGATTTATTTTTGCAAAATAATGAACTATGGAATGAATTTTCTCAATAAGTATAAAAATTATTTAAATGTTCAAAATGAACTTTAACTCTATATCTAAATTTATTAGAAACAATATTTTATTTTTTTACCACCACCTTATAGAAAGAAATATATTATTCAAATAAAATAAAATAAAATATAGATTAAAAATAATAATTTTTTTTTATTTGGCGTATTTTGATTTGTTTGCCTTTGTTGGTCTTTTTAATTTGTTACCACATTGATATAAAACACTGTAAAAATTCGATTAAAAAAAATATGCTAGTCAGTATAAGAAAAATGATTTGAAAGTTTAAAATTCAGAAAAACTTTAATCGCACTTTGTCAGTTGGCTGACAATGAATGGCAGAGGAAATTTATCTAATGATTGTAAAAACTTGTTTAAAAATTGTCTTATCGGCCAGTTTCAGCCACAATTTTTAAAAGAGAATAATTTCAGCTCATTTTTCATTAACTTCACTTTCAAGATATTTCAACATGTGAACAAATAAAATAAATAATATTAAATATGAATTGCAAATATAAAATGCCCTGCATTCAAACGATTCAAACCAACACTGATATTTTATGAATTATGGATATTACTTGTGTACTGTGTAGTATACTTAGTTTTTGTTACGGCAGTACCAACAAAATCTGAACTATTCGCTGGGAGTGGTTTTTCCAGTCGAACATTTTTTCTCAGTTAGAGCCTGCCTGTAAAGGAATATTTAATAAATAAATAAAAAATACAAAATATACTTTTAGCAACAATTTTAAGGACATACAAATTTAACACTTAGGTTAATTAAAAACACTGAAATTAATATGGCGATTCAGGTTAGGACAATGGTTGGATATGGTGTTTTGTGGAGTAAATATCACAATGAATTAATTATGCAACAAAACCATATGACACTCTTTTTTTAAAAATAATTTTAATTATTGTAGAGCATTAAAAAAAAAATATATCTATTTGTAACATTTAATATAAAAATGTGATAGTCACAATACAATCATTAATAAAACTAAATAAGTTTCATTTGTTTTATAAATTAAAAAGACATATAGTTAATCCATATTTGTAATTAAACTCAATTATTATAGTATAAAGATATTTATTATCGGCCTAAAAACAGATAACATACAAACCAATTTAAATGTCCACTCACCAAAGCTACAAAATCTTCTAACACATACAACAGACTTTTTAAAAATCGAAAATTAAACTATAACTTCACTAAATAACACACAAAAAAATGTAAATCTGGATATAATGATATATCTGAGAAATTGGTTAAAAACAAAGAAAATTAACCTAACAAGCAAGGGTTAGGACAAGAAGAGTGAGAGTAAGTACACATAAAGTAAAACGTTATCGAAATGTCACCCCCTAAAATATATCTAGATATATCAGACTTGCTTTAATGACTGTAACGTTAGTTAAAAAACATAAGATTTGTAATAAATATTTACAATTTAATAAATCAATTACTGACAGTGGACTAACACACTAGTTAGATAATTAAGTCTAAAATACAAAATTACAAATATGATGATAAAAGTTAGTTACAACAGTATTACAAATAAAAATAGTGTTAAAAAGTAAGAAATTTTTTTTTTTTAAGTTTGTTCACAACAATCGGATTAAACAATAATATATTTTTGTCTTAATTTAACTTTTTCAAATAACAGTAAATACCCTAACAATTTATCCAAAACTAATTTAGTTCAATATGTGAAAACAACTTCAAAAATCATATTTATTGTTGTATTTAGATTGAATTGAAATTAAAAAAAAAAATTAATTATTTGATTAATGGACTAACATTTAAAAAAATATTATTTTACAGGAGGAAAATTTTTAAAACTTGTTCACTTAAATTATACGAAAGAAAGAATTTCTTAGCTTGAAGGCAAAATAAAAATTATAAATTATACGACTGCAGAGAAAAATAAAAATTTCTTATAACATTTAACAAGTTTTATTTTATTTTATTTTTTAAATTTTTATTTACTTGTTTATTTTTTTAACAACATGATATACATATTAAACCATTTATATTAAATTACAATAACAATAAATTAATGAAATCAAATGGAGACAAACAATTTTTCAGTTCACAAATCACTATTACGTAATATCGTTTAATGTATTATAAATAAATTTAATACTTTGTACAAATAAGGAGCTTTGATCTATTTTGATTATGACCTGAACAACATATTGTCTGCCATATCACCTCTATGATGAAGGTAAGAGGATGTTGAGTTAAGCAATCCAATTCTTTGCTTTTGTTTCCTTTGTTCAGTCATCTACATAAAAAAAACATAATTTATTAGCAGCATAAATTCTTATTTACTATATACACTAGTCAAAAATTAACAACACCCTTAGATTTTTGTATTTTACGAGTACACATCTGGTTTTACATGAATCAAAAGTCTCATAAATATCAAATAATTTTGTTTTCTAAAACTGACATCTAATAAAAAGTATTGTCCTGGCTTTAATTCCAAATTCTTTCACTCTTTTTTTTTACTGGTTGATACTAGATTGTTTTAATTTATTGTTTTTAAAATTCGCTGTTTTTTGAGGAACGATCAGGTCTTGTTTTTCCACCTATACTTGGGATTTTAGTTCCAAATGTTTTTCGTTTGTCAAAGACTGCACATCGAATTTAATTATTCTTCAGTTAGTCTACCTGTATTGGCTGGCTGTGTGATATCAACTTAAACGACTCATGGCACAAACAAAATTAACCGAGTAAAGAAAATAGAGATAAATTGCTACCGGGGGCTGACAAAAGGTATAAAACGACTGAAAGGAACATTGAAATAAACCAAGAAGGGGTTGCGATATTTTTGACACAGAATGTACAATAGAAAAATAATTACCTGATCTTTTAACTGTGACAATTGGTGCGAGAGCGTTTTCACTAATACTTGCGTCGTTTCAAGTTGCGCTTGTAAACTTCGCAATTCAATTTGCTCACCTTCACTTTCATCGGCAGATAATGACATGGCTCTCAGTCTTGGGAACCAATCTAGATTGCGGTCCTATTGAATGGAGATAATAAATAATAAATCCTCTTTAAAGATTATAAATTTTCTCGAATATTAAGAAATATTTTAATAGCTTACTTTAATCATGGCATAAACGTAACTTTCTGGGCCAGTGAATTCAGTTGGATCTTTTACCTTTACAAGCACTATGAAGTATAGGTAATGCCACATATTGTGTTCGCACTTTATATGCTCTTCAAAACTTACAGTTTTATTATCAAACGCAGACCTATTTAATCCTGTAAAATATAATTTATAAAATAGGTTTTTGATTATAATTAATGATTTTCTAAATATAAACTTCACCACAAATAAAGCATGTTGTTTTCAACACCAATTCTTTTTGTTGTTTCTCACTCCTCAAATCGGCAAATGTATCAATAATGACACCGAAAATCAGATTCAAAACAATAATAATGACTATGAAGAAAAACAACAGATCGTAAGCAACTCTGGCAACAAATAACGGCTCCTAAAACAAAACGTACAAAGTTTGTAAGATAATGCAGGCTTTTATATAAAAAAAATTATACAATGCTTACACTACTGCTAGGCGCTCGCAATATATCGCCTATACCTCCACCATTACGTAAGCCTTGATTTAAAGTTGTAACAATACACATAATCAAAGAATCACACGCTCTTTCTTTTATTTCGCCATCTGTATTTTCATTTAGCGCATTTCCTGTAAAAATAAATCGATACAATTAAAATACAGTTTTTGACACTTTTAAGCCTTCCACTCAATCCAACTACCTAAAGTGTACTTTAACGCTGCATTTTTTATTTCGCAATTATCCTCTTTGACGCAAACATTTTCAAGTACATTTGACACCGAAGAATCTGAAAGTACATATAATTAAATATTGCAATATTAAAATCAGATATGAAACGTTTCACCTACAGTAAAAAATTAAATATTATGGGGAAAAGGGAACATTTATGGATAAAACATGGATTGTGGCAAGAACTAAGATTCATCTATACCACAAGAAAGTTTAAATTATAATAAATGCTTAACGGTGAAATGACTTACCACCAATTTCTTCATCTACGTGAACTAAAAAGTCATCTTTGAAGAACATATAGCCGATAATGGAAAACATGTAGACTAATATAAGGGCTAGAACAGCTGTTAAAATTATTGATCTTCCATTTCTGGTAACTGACTTTATAACATTCAATAGTGTTTCTTCTCGATAGACAACATCCAGAAGCTAAAAATAAAAATAAATTTTAATTTTTACAAATTTAAATAATGTAAACAAATAATAATTAATAATTTTTTTGGAAATTTGTTTAATCCTTTACTATATAGAATCATTTTGTAAGCATAATTGTATTATGAAATAAATAAGTTCAAAGAATACAGGAATAGAAGACACCAAAGGCTAAATAAAGTGCCAGGCTTTGATACTGTTTTATTTATATATTTATAATTTTTTTAATAAATTAGCCTGTACAGATAAAAATAGATGTTACAAATATGTGCATATATGGTTTTTTGTTCTCTTAGTTACAATACTGACACTACAGCCAGCACTGGAGGGAGAGACAGGTCAAGAAAAACCATCTAACCCTGGTATATTATCATATTATAAATCATTATTAACGATGATACGGTGTATCCTTGGGATGGGAAAGTGTAGATAGGGCTTGGGTTAGGATGGAATGACAGATTGGTGTAAAATCTTTGGAAACGGGATTGGATCAGTTCGTTGACAAAAGAATGTTGAGGTGTAAATGTTGTAAGGTGCTTTGACAATTTATCTGAGGACTTTTGATAGTAAGGATTGGACGTCCAAGGCCCAGAAATGTTTTGATTTCGGTTCTACAAGTATTCGTATCGGGTTGTCCGGAAAATAATGCAGGATTTTAAGTTTTCATTAAAAAAAATCTATATAAAATATTCTGTTTACGTTTACAGGATTACTCATTTGTATGAATGTCAACACTTATTAATCCTCTTCCAAATGATATTGTTTGTTTACCTCTGTAGCATTCCGCTACTTGGAAATAATTCAGTCATCCTTATAATGTCAAAGCGAGAATTTCGTACGATTTTCTTTTACGAGTTTAAACTCGGCCGAAGCGGAGCCCAAACGGCTAGAAACATTAACCAAGTCTGGGGCGAGGGTTGTGTTAATGAGTGCACTGTGCAAAGGTGGTTTAAAAAATTTCGGGAGGGAGATTTCAGCCTTGAAGATGAAGAAGGTCGTGGAAGGCCTTCCTCTCTTAATGATGATGTTCTGCGATCAGTGGTGGAAGAAAACCCCAAAACAACTGTTCGAGAACTTGCAGAGCAACTCAAAGTCAGTAAAACGACCGTCGCTGACCACCTCAAGGCGATTGGAAAAGTGAAAAAACTCGAAAATTGGGTTCCACACTCATTAAACGATCGCCAAAAAAATCAGCGCTTTGATGTTTGTGCATCACTTCTTTGTCGAAACAAAAATGACCCATTTCTGGCCAGAATTGTTACATGTGACGAAAAGTGGATTCTCTACGATAACACTAGACGTTCTGGACAGTGGCTCGACAAAGGAGAAGCTCCAAAGCCCCCAACTCATCAAAAAAAGGTAATGGTTACGGTATGGTGGGCTTCATTTGGTTTAATACACTACAGCTTCTTAAATCCTGGCGAAACCATCAATGCTGAATCATACTGTAACCAAATTAATACCATGCATCAGAAATTGGCAGTAATGAAGCCCTCTTTGGTCAATCGGAAAGGGCCCATTTTGTTGCATGACAACGCTCGACCACATGTGTCACGTGTAACGTCACAAAAATTATTGGAGCTTGGCTATGAAACTTTGCCTCACCCACCCTACTCTCCGGACCTCTCGCCTACTGACTACCATTTTTTTAGACACCTGGACCACTACTTACAACACATAATATTCAAAAATCAAACGGAACTGGAAAATGCATTTATTGACTTTATCAATTCTAAAAATTCTGAATTCTACTCAGACGGAATTAATAAGTTACCAACACGTTGGGAGAAATGTATTGAGAGTATGGGAAATTATTTTGATTAAAGAACATTGCTTTAAAGTAACTAGTTTCTTTTTTTTTGTTTAATACCAAAATCCTGCATTATTTTCCGGACAACCCAATAGTTGTCCAAGTCTTCTGTTATTGTCTCTTAAATCTTGTGAGAGGATTCCACGTTAGTCAAGTATTTGATTTGAATGGAATAGGTTACTTGTTCAGGTTGAGGGTTAGATTTTTAAAAAATGTAAATGTACACTGCATACATTCAGACTTGTGTTCCTCTTTTTGCATCTGTCTTTAATAAGCTCAAGGTGTACTAGGATGTTTTGAAGGGTTCTTGGATAGGATTCATGTTAAAATATATATAAATAAATATTTCGATATTTACCAAAACTGAATAAAAGAATGGATGCATGAACAGCCCCAAAATGCAAAACATTACATATGACAGATGGTAGAGTATCTCGGCGTCAGATAAAATTTGTTTTACACTTTTAGAAAATGTTCCTTGATTCCCCATTATACTTATCAAATGAATACCTTTCAAAAATACCTGAAAATAATCGTAGATATACATAAATATACATATTAGTACACGAACATTATGAATTATACCGTTAAAGTTCCTAAAAGCCATAATGTAGGTTCTGGACCAGCAGAAAATATCATACGTAGTATTGTCGATGCTACTAATGTTCTTATTCCAGATTCTCGTGGTAATGTAATTACTATTGCCGCTGAAATTAACATGACAGCCCAAATAAGTCCTGACAAATGTGCTCCTAGTTCTAAAAACAAAAAACAATGCATTAAAATAATAATAATAATAATAATAAATTATTTTACGCAATACATACTTGGGACTGTATCTGTAAATGGATAGAAAAAGGCGACTATTAGATTGATGAGAACAGCACAATTAAATAAAACATTACTCCATAATGACATATAGCTGCTGACCCAAAACAATGCTGGTTGACCTAAATTTAACATCAAAAATGTAGTTTAAAATCAAAACCTGTCCGTCAAAAATATGAATTGTCAAGAAACAAAACCTGCCTCTGAGTTTTTTCTGCCATTTCATTTCGTTAAACATATCATCAGAGCGTTCAAAGAAATCGGATACTTTGGAACCTTGATCGTCCCTTTCAGCAGTATGTAACACTTTAACTTTCGTTTCGTGGGTAATATACTCGCATATTTCCGGGATAGGAAATACAATTTGTTCTAAAGTCCGATCATGACGTACGATCTTATATGAAAATATTATTGTTAATAATTATTCAATTAAAATAACAGAGACTTAGATTGAAATTTTCTATTATTACCTCAATCTGAGCGGTATGCGATGCATAATATTCTAAAGCTTGATTGATTTTTGGGTCTATATTGATTTCAGATGGTTTCAACAATTCCGCCAGATCCTTATTGTGTTGGGCCAGCTGATGGCATAAAATATAAATATTATGGCCCACCTGAAAAGTAAAATTTATGAATATAAGAGAGATAAAGAAGTTTTTAATATATCGAGAATATTTTTTTACTTTTATTGATAAATAAATATTACTTCATAATAGACCCTTCCCCTTATTTTCCCATTCTGGAACGTCGCACCTCTTTTAAAAAATCCCGGCTTTCCAAAGCTTGTTGTAAGGTGTTGGGGTTTTTTCAAATTGAGTTGGTTTCACAGGTCTTTAGAATTGCTTTTTCAACTGTGAAGAGTTTTTTTTTTTTTTTTTTTCAATTTGACTTTTTGGATATTTTTTACGATTTTTTAAAGATTTTTTTCTCCATAATAGGCGTTTTTATCATATCATTGTGAAATACATTTTTCTTGGTGATAAATCTTTTTCTTTCTCAAGTATACTTTCCTTTGAGTGTATAATCGAAGGCAGCACGTCGAAAGAATTTCTTTTCACATCTTTTTGCTCCCTCGTGGTTGTTTGTTTGGCATATTTTTTTATTCATGGCAAATAATTACAATTATATAACTGTTTAATAAATAATTGTTAATAAGTAGTAAATATGGAAATACTTACTGAATTTGTAAATAACTATAATTTTTTCGCTACACATTCAGATTTTATTTATTTTAATAACATGCTTTAAAAACATATTTTATATATAAATATATATATGAAATAATTGTTTTATAATTTTGTTTAATTAATTGCAATCACAAATAATTTGATAAGTAATTATTGAATATCAAATAATACAATGTAAGTTTCATTTTTTATTCATTTATATAATTACTACCTCCCCAGATTTTGTAATAACGGGTTTGTAAGTAGAAATATACAATTAGTCATTTTTTTCATAATATACAGGTAGGCATACGTCAATATTGAGCGGGTAACAATAGATATTGCTGATTTGCCTAACCTGATTTTCCCCATATATTTAAAAGGCATTTTTTTAGTATTATTTTAATTAATAGTCATTTCTAAACCTAAATAGATTACAACAAAAAAATTTCCCTATTTTAGGAGTGTATAGAAATTAATGGTGTAACAAATGTGTTAAACAAAAAGTAGTCTAATCAATTTAATTTTCAATGCATTTAAAACTTATTACTTTGATTTTTATACATACTTCCTTAGGTGAAACGCCATCTTCTTCAGCTTCTGTTGCATTATCATCAGCATCAAGACCATCCTCTAGAATTTCTTGATGGAATGCACGGCATGCGACATCGACCTAAATCAGGCAGAAACATCAGTAAGCTATATCATCATTAACGCCGACATTATAATACCAATTGTTTTGGGTTCATGTTGTACAGAATACGCTCAGCATTCTCGCTATCACCACGACTTTCCATTATTGCTAGTAGTAATTTTGAAGCATTATTTTTCAGCTCTAAAACCAGGTCCATTCTCGTCTTGCCTAATGGGTTTATGTCATTTAATATTAGGGCTGTTATTATGTCGAGGCCGTTGGATTCATGGGTCGCAATGCAGTTCTGATTATCATGACATGGCCCTTGACAGTATTCAGTCAATGTTTCGAGTGTTTGATTAATTAAAGACACGTTGTACTCGTTGATATAAAGTCCAAGGAGGCCAAGTCCCCCTGTCGTTGAGCCGCATATACAGTCCAAGAACATGAGTGTTTCAGAAACTAGATTGTAATTACTCTTGTTATTTTGATGACGTAAAGTATTCTAAAATATAAAACAACAGTTAAAAAAGAAATGTAACAATTTTTTTTGTTTCAGTAAAGATGTTCAAATTGACCTGTAAATAACGGTTGTGATTTTCACAGAGAAGTTGTAAAAATCTTAAAATGGGCTGCATGACTAAAACTTTCTCGGATAAATGTTGATCTTCTTGATCTCTTGCACGTTCTAACTTTTCAGCCAGCATATCTTCAAGAGCTGAACTGCCACCGATAATAATAGAATTTCCTTCTTCTCCTGTGTAAAGGAATAAATTTAAGATATTTCATATGACATAAATATTGGACATAATCAAGGACATAAAAGCAATAGAATGTAAACCTGGTAAAAGAGCTCGTGCACCAGCGTACGCTTGCGATGTAACAGCTGCTGCTTGATTCAATTCTTCTCGGATTTCTTCTGTTATTATCATACCATTTGTTTTACCTAATTAACACATCTTGTATTTAGTATCTGGGTATTTCCAATATAGAAATGTGTAAGTGTGAAATAAAAAAATAAAAAAATTACCTTTACGTTTATTTAATTTTTCAATTTCTTTACTTTGTTCTTTGTCCTCATGTGCTTTTGCAGCCATATCTGATGTGTTGACAGTAACTGTAGATTTAATTTCCTGTTGCGAGTCACGCATTTTATCATAAAAAACCTGAAAATTTTATATGAAATTTATAATTTTTTTTTAAATACTGTATTTTATGCAATGACTTAAATAATGTGCCAAAAGAGGAATATACAAAAACTTTTCAGACTTCAATCCACAAATTTTAGACACAGTTTGAAAGAAAATTAAGTACACATTAAATGTAAAGTTGCATGTTACTTAACAACTTTATAATATTAAGCATACTATGAGGGGGATATCAGATTACCTTGAAGAACGCTTGGCTCAAATCGCCTCCAACCAACTTGTTATACATGCTTTTTTGAATAATAGGATTTCCTCCTTCTAGGAGAGCGATTCCTAGTTCTACCGCTTCCACAAATATAGAAGGGGAATGAACGGATTTAATTACAAGTTCCACAACTAAATCTGAAGCGCCTTCCCGGTCTAAATGACACTGGACATCATGAAGCGTCCTTCCTGCCCTGCTCAATAGTTTGCCTGTATATTTTTAAAAAATTAGACAAAAAACTTCTATTATAAACATATTAAGTGGAAATGTTTACTACCTCCAGGACCATGTGACAATGTAGAAGGTTGTGGTGTGACTAATAGATCGACCTGAGTCGCTTCGGTATTCTGAACGAACTGTTTACCAAAATATCGAGCCAAAAGATTTGATCTTAATACATCACCCTATAATTTAAATAAAAATGCGTAATATTAATTAGCCACTGGATTAAATAAGGCAAACGATCATACTTTTTCTCCGTATTCAGAGTCGATTGCCATCATCTCGCGAAGAGTCCTTAAAACTTTCACACATAACTTTTCTTCCTTTTCTTCTAATAACTTTTCAGTGTGTTTAATGAGTCTGAGATAACCGAAAGCACTTTTAGTTTTGTATAAATGTAAATCCAAATATTTATATTTACCTTCTAATAAAACCTCCACTTTCACAACGTTTCCTCGCTTCTGTCCCGTACGGAAATAACATTTCAGGGCTGTAAAGAACGTCCACAAGCATCGAAAGCTCAGCTTGAACCAAAGGTTTTAGCTGATCTTCAAGTAAAAGGACAATATCTTGCAGTCCTTCAATTATACTTCGGTCTAATCTCATTAGCTAAAATACAATTTTTTTTAAAACACTTTATTATACATTCGTAATGACCTTATTGTTTTTAATATAAGATTTCTAGATAAAAAATATACTTGTGATTGAGATCTTTCTATCTTAGGAGTCTTTGAAGCTTGCAACCATTTGCTGGTCTGGCGACAAAGGAGATTAATTTTAGTGAACATAGTTGCTAGCTGCCCCTCAAGATCAGATGGGATTGCAATGGATCTATTTTTCGCTTTAAATAAATAGTTTCTTGTTAAAATTTTATTGCAACGAGCAGTATAAACAACTTACCAACTTCCACCAGAGTTTGAATGCAATGTTCAACATTAAAATGCTGAGCTGGATTAAGCCAAGAGCATTGAGAAACTCTGAATGCTGAATGCAATAACTGAACAAAGATGGGTTGACGGGTCTAAAAAAAAAATCTCGAATTAAAATAATTAGCGCAATAATTAAACATTTATGAGCGTTTATCAACCTGTACTGTTGTTGACTGATCAGAAAAAGGGCTAGAGAAAAAAGTCGTTATTATTGCCATTACTGTAGTTGTTACATAATTTTCCATAGCGATATCGGCATGCTTTCTATCATGAGGTCCATTAGAAACAACGCCCATGTCAACAATAAAACTTTTTTCGAACAAACTCCATATGTGATTTGACGTATAGATTTCTTTCATTTCTACCTCAGTATCGATGTAACAATGATTAAGGAAATTGGTATATGCCTCCTTAACCTACAATCAATATTATTTATCAATATTATTAATGGAATATTCACTAGAAATACATCAAATTTAAATTATTAGATATTACTAAAGAGTGATTTCTTTGCAGAAGAAAAAATTATGAAGTACATTTTTTTCTGGGATGTAATGAAAGAATAAAATCAACGTTTTATAATCAACAAAATCTTATAAAATATTTTGTAAAACTATTTAAAAAGTTACATAAAACCTTTAAGAACATAATTTCATGCTATTATTGCTATAACACAGTGGCCTTTAAACACAGAAAAAGTTCATGTAAAAATTGTGCGATTTGATTAAAATAAGAAACTTGTTGGAATTACATTTTCACAGCTTCAGCATTCAAGATTCAATGCATGCAAACAATTAGATAAAAATTACACACTCACATTCTCAGAAAAGTAAAAAAATAAATACACTATTATGTACAACATACTCGTTTCAGTTTGAAGTAAGTACTTGATATTCCTTAATATCTCTTTATGCACATTAAAACATTCATCGATACAATTTCAAATGGAAGCCAAATCCATTTATAGAGGTTTTGAAGAATAAGATTTGTTTTATCGAGGATTTAAACGAAATTTTACTTAGTATTCTTTAGTTGGCAGGAATGATTTTCTCCGATTTCAATCCCATTTTCACTTCTATAAACTTCCAGCTTTTTAGCAACTTCCGAGATTTGTTGTTTCTTTTTGGAACTTGTATCAAACGGAATTCTTGTCAGAGAAGGCTGCTTCCATTTACTGAAGTATATAAGTGAAATATACTTTACAAAAATATCATTTACCTAAGGCTATCATCACCAGAATAAAAATCATTTAAAGATAAATTTAATTTATGCAAAGTTTTCCCTTTAAATTGACAATATTTTATAACCAGGAAGGGTTATACCAAAATTTCAAATCAAAACTTAAAATTAGTTTTGTACGAGAGCATTTTTAACCCACGTTGCCTGTCTTATCAATACATCAATTTTTAAAATTTTCCAAAAAATCATGGCAAATAAAGTGTAGCTATTATTTATATATTTTGATCCATGTTTTTCAAGAACTCTAAAGTTCTTCACATAAGTTGACAATGACAATAAAATCCCTCAAATTTGTACCTAATATATTGCTTTGTTTATTTATTTTTTAATTTAGTTATTATGATTTTTTTTAACGAGGGTATTTTAACTACAAACTTATATGAACCCTTGGGGTGCCAGTCTTTTTGAAAATAGCCTATTTGTAAGTAGGTCCCAGGACCTTTACCTTACAGTGATGAGTGCTGTGTGAATGCCTAAACCGTTGTGACCACTGGCACCTCCAGTGATGATGTCCACACCCCTCTAACTTATTAAATTTTGGTTCGATTTTGATAAATCATTTTTTTAACCTTATGAAACGTTGTAAAGTCCAGTTTTAAGATGTTTCAACTGTTCTACAAATAACTTTTTGGTTCATTTTTTTTAATGTATAGTCATTTTTTAGAGAATTGTTCTGCAGAAAATTGTCATTCTTCACTAAACGGGTAACTCAAGTTTAATGGAGTGGTGTTTATTGTAACCAATATCAATTAAAACATTTTGGTAACTTCTATAAAAATGAAGATATCAAACCCAGACCAACACAAAAAATTCTTAATAAATAATTTAAAAAACTATCTATTTTGAAATCTGAAATAAAAGATGGGGGTTTTGTTTACAAGTTACACAGGGCATATTTTAAGTGAAAAAACAATGAAGCAAAAATTTATTTCTGGAACTGATAAACATTGATAAATAAATCATTACAAATAATTAAGAAGAATATGGGGAAGGATTCTGGAAGTAATTCTAATTACTTGCGTAATTGTGCCATTCTTGCCACTCTCAACATGACATGCTAGAATTATGCAGAGAACAAACACTTTGAGTGAGTAGAAATACTTTGATTGAATATAAAAAAATATATTTTGCATTGTATAAATTCACTTTTTTCCACATCCTACATGTATTTGTTAAATTTAAACAATGTTTGTAAATCCCAGGCCCTGAAGATGATCTCAATAGATCGAAACTTTGGCACGATAAAGAAAATATTTTTCTGAAACCTACAGCACACCAGACCGCATCTCATGATTTCCGAATAATCATCGACTCAGTCACTAATCACCACATGTTAGAGTATATATTTGAATATTTAATTTTTGTTTATTAATTCTATTTAATTATTTCTGGCTAAATCCTATCATCTTTTTTTTAAGTAATTGTAACTGTAGTGACAATTTTTACATTTTGTTTTATTGTAATTAAATTTAATTGCATATAAAGTTTTTCCAATTGTAAATTATTAACTAAAAAATTCTTTATAATTATACATATTTACAAAAATTCTTTAATTAGTTATTCTCCCTTTCTTAATAAAATTCCTATTTCCCGGATCCCATAAAATCTTCCTTTAAAAATTAATAAAATCCCCTTTAATTAAAAAAATTGACTTTTTACAAAACAGACTTCATAACGAAAAGTTTAAAAAAAGATTTATCAAATCGGATCAAAATTAAGGAAATGTGGGGTGGACATCTTGTGTGGGACACCATGTATATAATTTAATTAAACAACATCTGTGTGAATTATCTGATGGGAATTTTAATCACAGAGCACATAATTTCAAAGAATAGATTTCTCACTAAATGTCCTTGATCTAAGTAATTATACTTATTTATTTTATATTAAGTTATTATTTTACACCTTCACTTATTGCTAAAAAGTAACTACTCAATAGTAGTCACTCCTGGGTATCGGTATTAATCAATTTCGCTGTTACTTAGGAGGTCGCAAAGGCAGTGACATCTCAATTGTCGAGGAGGATTATTTGGAAGGGTTCAGGATATAAGGTACCTGACATGAGATTGTGTCACAGGATAATTAATAGTTTGTGAATCTTCTTTTTGGCTATTTCAAAAACATATGGATATTAAGTTCATTGTGGTAAGATTGGATACGTAAAAAGGAGCATTGATGATGGTTCAGTGAATTTTTGAAGGTTGGAACTCCAAGAGAGGCGGTTGGTTGAACTCCAAAGTTCGATGGTTCAAATGGAGCATGTTCAAATAGGTCAGTTTTTATCGTTTGTTAAGTTTGTCTTTTGAGTCAAATGCGTGGGTTCCATGTCATTTATGAATAAAGTACGCTTGAACCACTGGCATTTTATGTCTTGAGCATCAAGAGATATGACATGGATTTCCAGGTTTCTGGTTGGGATAATGGGATCTTTACGAGAACAAAGGATTACACTATTGCATTGCCATAAAGGGTTTGAATGTCTGTAGTGTATACTGTAAAGACGATGGGTACTAAGACACTTCCTTGTGACACCCCTGTATCATTCAGTTATAATATTCATTTCAGATCATTCACTGTCAGCGGATTTCAATCTAACATTATTATAATACCAATTAAAAAAGGAAAAAAAGAAAATACCTCCGGGATGCAATCTGGGTGTGAAACCATTGCAACTATATCATCCAAAGGAAGTAGAGAATGGCATTTTATCTCAGTGTACACATTCTTGCCCATTGTGCAACATGCAAGCAATTTGACAAGCTCAATGTGGTACCTGAATAAATAAGATGGAAATTACATTTTAAAAACAAGCATAACAAAGTAATCAAAGAAATTAATTGAACTGAGAAATAATTGGTCATAAAATTGTACGATGACGATACTGTTTTGTTTAATTTCTTAATAATTTTTTAAATTATCATTGGAAAAAGAAAACTACAAAAAAGTGATTTATTAAGATATACTAATGATTAAAAGTATAAATTCTGTGTATTCACATATTTCAAAGCATAATGGTTTCTATACTCTGAGGTATCTAGCCATAGTACATGCTCGGCTCAGCTCAAATGTTTTTACAAACGATATTATTAAATACAGCAAAAAGCTACACTTGAATCTTCATTCATTTCCTAGTTATAAGAATCAATTTAAAATATCAACCGAAAATAGTACAATTCTAAGATGAGTGAAAAAAATAGAGCCAATAATTTCTTTACAAATGCTGTTCTTTAAATAACTAAGCAAGAGTAAGCATATTTTACATTTTTAGCAATTCCTCAATACATATATTTATTTGTATAATAAACTGTCGTTTATTTACTCACCTGAGAGGGCTAGATTCATCCATACGATGCCTTTCACATAACATCATCGAGACAAATTGTGTAAAAGAAGCTTTATCATTGTAAAACACCAAGACATCCTCACCAGCATTTACCAACTGAATAATTAAAATAAACAATTTAAATGTCCAATTTTAGTTAGTTTAAATGTGAAAAAAGCAATAAATGTTTTAGCTCTCATTACCTCTTGCATAACCATATCTTGGCATTTGCGTATAAACTGGTTTTCAGCTTTTACAATAGTTTGGAAAAATTTCAAATACTGGACATGCCTTCCATGTGTTTCAATACAATGAATAAAATGCTGAATCACTTTTTCATTTACTTCATTGCATAGTGTATAATTCTCTCGAAAAATGCTGCAAACTGTCTCGGCTTCGAGAATCTGTAGAAATAAGCACATAATTGTGTCAACAATCGGTTATTCAACTTGAATTATAGTTTACCTAGCAGCAGAGAAAAAAGAGACAAAATATTTGTTTAGGATAAAGAAACAACTTACCCCAGGATTCAAGAAAAGGTCTAAATGTTTATGTAAAAGAACTTGGTTTTGTTGATTCCCGAGGCAAAAATTATGAAGAAATTGATGTGCCAGACTCATAAGGTTATTCATTTTTGTATCTTCTTTTTGATCGTAAGGGACCTGCAAGAGGTCAAGAACAACAGTGTGCACCCCAACGTTTCTTAACAATCTTTGTTCGTGTTTCCTTGGTTTGCCATTACTTGAAACACACAGAGCATTCATACGATGCAGGATCTGAAAAATAACAGATAATTTTCATACTTAGAATTTTTTAAGCAAGATTTACGTGTCAAAAAGTAGTAACATTCAAATCAACATTACCTGTTGAATTTTTTTATATTCATGGACTTGATCTGTATTTAACAGTGGATCTATATCACTTGCTGAATTTTGTTTACCAGCATCTCTTAACATAATTTTTTTCATAGCGTCTGAACTTCCACCATCATCATCGTCGTCTTTTTCTTTATCCTTTAATTTCGGTAAGCCGTCTTCGGTTTTGCACTTGTAAACCCAAAGTTCAGACTTTTCTACTGACTGTCTTAAAACGTCCAGATCAGATTTGATTTGTTTATAAGATTCAACATCACTATCAGACACGAGTAATTGAACCTAAGGCGAAAATATTTTTATAGTAAAGTCAAGTGTATATAAGAAACTAGGACGTACTTGTTTAAATGCTTGCAGCACTTCTTGTCTTTGACTGAAATGTCTAAACAATAAATGCAAGGCACCAGAGACAAGAGGAGGGTAATCGTGCATGGTAAGATGAAGAAGTACTCTTAAAAATGTTCTACCACCATGACCATCTAAGTCAAGGGCCTCACATTCACCGCTGTAAATCACAAAATTAAAATTCCAAATATAAAAATATTTTACATATGTTTGTTACGCGATTACTAACCTATTTCCAAATATGCCTTCTGCTTGAGTACCAATAACCTCGAGATCAATTGGTTTCTGCCCGATTGGCAGTGTGTCTACAGGTTTTTCTGAGCTATCAAATTCAAATTTGAAAATCGAGAGTAGACAGCTTATACGGTAGTCCAAACGAACATCAAGAATAAACTAAAAATAATAATTACTTACAAGTTAATCAGCAAAACAAATAAAAAATTAGTAATATTATAAAGAAAAATCATAAAGTGTTATGAATAAAGAAATACATATTACAATTAACAAACTAATTATGAACACACAAATCTGAAATGTTATATATTTTCATGACATCACAATTAGTAAATACAAGAAGAAAATATATTTTAAAAACATTCAAAAATAATACATAACATAATACTGTAAATTTTAAGTTAAGAAAATATGTACCATTAGTAAAAGTTCATTATTAATTCAGAAAATAGCAAATGGGATTTTTTTAAATTAAAACTGCAGGGCAGTAGTGTATTTATGTTTTAATTGAAAATAAAGTTTAATGTAAATATGTAAATTAGAAATAAATAAAAATCAAAACAAATTTTAATAAAATTATTAATGCCCAGTAAAGCCAAATACAAAAACTGCAACCTTTCATACATTGCTTATACTCACAGCGAAAGCTTTTGCTTTAGATCTATTTTGGTATAGTGAAGAAGAAAGAATTTTCCGTTATTAAAATGTTCTTAGAAGAAAATAAAAAAATAAAGGTATATAGAAAAAGTCAGCATGTTTGTGTTTAATTTAAAATCTTTACCTGTAATATTTCAATAATTTTAAGCTTGGTATCCATAACGAGAGGATATTCTTTTTTATGCTGAGCGGTGTTTTTATGAGGAACTGGAGTTGACAGGTTCGATCTTGTTATGCCTGTGGCCAATGTCAAACCCGTAACAACCGCCCCCATATCACCGATAGATCGCAAAACACCACCCTCAGCTGAAAATGCATAATAATTGTATTAAACAACAAAAACTTTCCAATATAATCTATACGAAATATTACAATGAATTTCTGCAGTGGGAATTTTCCTGCTAATGTCGTTTTCAGAAACACAATCAAGAATACTCAAAAGAGTTTTTGTTAAACGAAGCAAGTCACTGAAACTGTAGAATCCAAAATAAATCAACTCTCTGGCAAGTTTCACCACCTGTAACAAAAAAATGCCCAGTCAACAACTATAACACAAGAAAATATAGCTGCACCTATGAGGGAAAACTGGCTAAGTAAAAAACATAATTTTTTCAGGGTTGAGACGTTAAGGTTAGACCTGTAGTACAAATCCAATTTTAGTCACTTTTTTGTGTGCTCACATTTCATCAAATTTAATTTAGTTGTCCACTGAGGTTATTACCTCATCGGTGGTAAAGTTCAGAGACATTCAGGATTGCATTAGGGCCTTGTCAGACATTGGGGAAAACAACAAAATTACCCTTGTTTGGAAACCAGGGCAAAGGGGCAATGAGGAAGTAGTTAATTTAGCCAGGAAATGGAAAGTGGCATACTAAACTGCCAAAAATGTGGATCCATCAGACAATTTAATAAAAAGCAATCCTCCATTCAATGGTAATTTACCTGAGGACAGAGGCATGCAAAAAAGTTCATCAAGGGACCATCACAGTAATTAACAGCAGAATTACTAAATACAGAATATGTTACAATTAGAGTAATAGTGAACTGCTAGGACCCTGCAGACTCCAGTGTATGTATAGACTCTGAGTGGCAGAAACAAGCCTGTTGCTCATCCTCGGTTGGTGAGAAGGCTTATGTAGGCTGATTTCTACTCCTAGTAGAAGAAAAGCCCGAGCCTGAAGAATACACATGGCAGTTCTTGAAAAAGCGTTAGGATTTGGTTAAAAAAAAAAGCTTAATGAGGAGCTCTAGATAACAATAGAGACGCACAGACCAATACTGGTCACGATGAGCAGGTCATAAAGAGGCCAACTCGCTTTCTATTCTAATTTAATATGATCTCGACTTTATCAAATTAGCCAATCTTGTCAGGCCTGAAGACTTTATGGAATATGCACTTATCTCATTTTGTCAAAAATTGGATTTAATAAAAATTAAAAATAAGAATGAGTAAATGTTTACTATGGATTGTCTGTCAAATTATTTTTAATCTACCTAATCTTGAACCAAAGTTGATTAACATGGCTTAAGGAAAATTTGAAATGTACCAATAAAACTGTGATGAAGTAGAGAGAATAGGAGGAAGGCCAAGGGCAAAAGGCAGAAATAATAAACGCCAGGGTCAGAAAGTATGTGCTTCACATCCTCGCTGAATGTCCTATATTAAAAGAAATTTGTCGGCTCCTACTGTGAATTAATCATCATTGTAAACATGCATGGCAATACAAACTATGAGTTTCTTGGCGAATTTAAATCTTAAGCAGGCTGTAAAATTTTTCGCTTTACTTTTATGTTCTTTTATTATCTTTTTTACTATTGTTTTGTTACAGTGCTTCTGTAAACAATGTACGTATACTTACATTATATTAATGCAATATACAATTATATTAATACAATACACAAACTGAATAACTGAACTATTCATCTGGCGCCAAGCTAGATCCCCGCTCACCTAGACTTCTCCCTCCCTTGTAATATGTATTTATAGTTATTGTTTTATTTGATTTGTGACAAATAAAGTACCATTATTATTATTACTCTAATTGGGTCAAAGCTGAAGAGCAAAATTATAAAACATGATTATTTAGAGATTGTGAGATGCGGTCCAGTGTGGTCATCAATTAACTGTCACTAAATACTACACATTATAAAACATTTTGATTCGTTTACCTCAAAGGTTAATTTATTTTGGGATTGGTCAGTAAAGCTCCACATTTTTGCAACAACATTGCACAAATAATCCTCAACAAACATAATTGTGGAGCTGAATCGTGCCCTGACTGCTTCTTTGTTGAGATCGGGAGTTTTATCTGTATCATAACTGGAAAAAAAGATTTTTTTTTAGGCAACAATAAAATTTTAAAATATCGTACATTTTTATATCAAAGCTTTAATTTAACGATGGTGTAGAGAGCATAATTCATTGTCTTTTTTTGTAATACATACAACAAATGAACTTTTGTAACCTATACATGTTTGTACATATTACAAATGTGAACACTGAGTACATTTTCCTTCATTCTTGTCCTCCACTTTTTGCACCAGACATCGTTAAGCTCAAAGCATTCATGGATATTGGAAGTTGCTTGGATAGGATTCGAATAAGAGGACAAAATTGCAGTATTGTCTGCGTAGGTTGTGATCATGGTACTGGGGTGAGTAGGTCAGTATATAGATAAAAGGATGAGACCAAGAATGCTTCCTTGTGGGACGGCGGCTTGTATTAAGGAAAATTTTGGGTCTATAGAAAAAAAGGTATTATAACAAAAAATTAACGCTGAGCCCCCCCCCCCCATTCACGAGATGCTGGATTTTTGGAGTATCAAGTGCTGGGAATCCATCCCCCTTTTCTCACTGATGATGCCATATTTCACTTGGGTGCTTCAGTTTACATCGGGCTGTCATGCAACTTAGTTCAACTCAGTCCGTCCCTTATGAATCTCTCTTGAATAAAATCAGAGGCCAATGTTGTCAGTTGTTAGTAGTAAAACGATACTACTAACGAATGACAACAATGGCCATTTTTGATGCAATGAATTACAACTCATGGTGGATTAGGTGCAAATACTATGTTATTGAAAAACAGTCTTTCACACAAACTTATGAATAACAATCTTAATTTACCCCTCCCCTCCTCTACAGTGAAATACCATGGGACTGAACTTCGTGTTTGTCGCTCATGTTGCATTCATCCTCCATGAGCACATTTCAAAACTGTATCCAAGAAAATTATTTGATTCTGATTTTTTTTTAAATATATAATTACAGAGTCATGAGCAAGACCTTGCGTGGAAAATTCCTTAGGCTTTATGGCATCTAGATTTCAGATCTTCCATATAGCAATAAACTTGAGTTAACGGAAAATTGATCTTGTTGTAATGTGTACTACATAACTATTTGAGCAGAAAGGCAGGGAATTTCTATATTCCACCCGGAGCAGTTGATGTCAAAGATTTTCATACAAGGGCTAGTGCTGAAATAATGAGACTGCTCATTTTGGTGTACAGAACAAAATACCCAACAAAATATCACCATGAATGCCAAAGAAAATTGCACAAAGTATGCACTGGGAATTCCACCTTTTAAAACTTTACTTTAAATTTTGGTACATATCTTCTAAGGCCATCTTAGTCAAGCTGTTTACACATAAATTAAAGAATTATACAACTATGTTGAAATACGTAAGTGAACAGTAAACACTGATTTCCAAACGATTCCAATTTGGCATTAATTGATTAACAATAAATAAATATTCAATATTTATTAATAATATAAAAATTGAATAAATAAAAAATAAAACATACTCATTTATTGACATTTTAGAAGGAATCTCAGACCAAAGGCGCGCATATTTTACAGGTGTAATCGGCTCCTGAGGATCTCTATCCACATGTAGATGTAGCATTAGACGGCAAAATGACGCTCTTAATTCGTAAGAAACATTTTCATCTGCCATACACCTGAAATTTCAAATACCATATTCAAGCAAAACTCAGTGTTGTAATTAATAATAACTTACTTCAAAATGAGATCAATGTCCAAATTTGGTGAAAGATTGTTTAAGGCTAAATATTGTCGGTTGAGACACATGTTTGAAAATAAGTTAAGCTGGTGTCTGTAATAATCCAATAAAGCGATGTACATCTGATTTCCCATCTTTGCTTCGTGAGATAAATCGACAAGATTACCAAATTTCTAAAATTAAAAATGTAAATGCAACCTTTAACAATGACAGGACTTACTAAAAATGAAGACCTACCGTTCTATTGTCCCAAAGGAGAGTTACGCAGGGTTCCTCATTTTCTAAACCACCATCATCTCCATTTGGTTCCTGAGGCATCTTACTCATCCTTTTGATTTAAAACAATCAATTATGTAACATTGTCAAAAAATTGAAAAAAACAGTATACACACCTTGTCTCAATAAGAATATCAGAATTTTTAAAACTAAGTACACTTTTGCAAATCAACTCTTGTGTTATCGCAATGGCTTTTTTATTTGAAATGCAAAGATCAGAAAGATAATCCAGAAACCTGGATTCCCAATTGTTCATATTCTTCCTGACTAAGCCGACGAAAGTTTCTATTTCAGCTGCTGTTATGTGCTTTTCAAGGAGTTTTCTGTTGTTATGAAGAAGTGCAGTAATAGTATCTTCAGCAAGTATATCATAACCAATTTGTTTTTGCATAAAGCCAAAATGTTTAGCAATATATTCCTACAAACAAATAAGCGTAATAAACCATTAAACCACATTGATTAAATTTATTTACAAAGTAAATACAAAACTTCTTACCTGATTTTTCCTGTAGTCTTGCTGGCTCAAACGTAATATTCTGTAGCATAATCTAAACATGTATTTGTACGGTGAATGACGAGGATCTCCAAGTTCTTCTATCCTCAGAAAAGGCCCTTCTCCTGCAGAAGATTCCATGAATGGAGCTTGTAATATCTTAAATAACTGCTTGAGAATGTATTGTTCTCTTAACAATTTTTGTCTATCTCTGTTTGGATTTGTAACAACCAATTCCAAAGCTTCAGATTTGTTTTGGTCGTTTTCCAAACCAGCAATAAAATAAACAATGTCCTGCAGTAAACTTGTAACAGCTCTAAAAAAAAATATATATATATATATATAAATATAATCAGAGTCTTAAGAGAATTTATCAATTATATTGGGTTGTCCGGAAAATAATGCAGGATTTTGGTATTAAACAAAAAAAAAGAAACTAGTTACTTTAAAGCAATGTTCTTTAATCAAAATAATTTCCCATACTCTCAATACATTTCTCCCAACGTGTTGGTAACTTATTAATTCCGTCTGAGTAGAATTCAGAATTTTTAGAATTGATAAAGTCAATAAATGCATTTTCCAGTTCCGTTTGATTTTTGAATATTATGTGTTGTAAGTAGTGGTCCAGGTGTCTAAAAAAATGGTAGTCAGTAGGCGAGAGGTCCGGAGAGTAGGGTGGGTGAGGCAAAGTTTCATAGCCAAGCTCCAATAATTTTTGTGACGTTACACGTGACACATGTGGTCGAGCGTTGTCATGCAACAAAATGGGCCCTTTCCGATTGACCAAAGAGGGCTTCATTACTGCCAATTTCTGATGCATGGTATTAATTTGGTTACAGTATGATTCAGCATTGATGGTTTCGCCAGGATTTAAGAAGCTGTAGTGTATTAAACCAAATGAAGCCCACCATACCGTAACCATTACCTTTTTTTGATGAGTTGGGGGCTTTGGAAAATGTATTGGAGCTTCTCCTTTGTCGAGCCACTGTCCAGAACGTCTAGTGTTATCGTAGAGAATCCACTTTTCGTCACATGTAACAATTCTGGCCAGAAATGGGTCATTTTTGTTTCGACAAAGAAGTGATGCACAAACATCAAAGCGCTGATTTTTTTGGCGATCGTTTAATGAGTGTGGAACCCAATTTTCGAGTTTTTTCACTTTTCCAATCGCCTTGAGGTGGTCAGCGACGGTCGTTTTACTGACTTTGAGTTGCTCTGCAAGTTCTCGAACAGTTGTTTTGGGGTTTTCTTCCACCACTGATCGCAGAACATCATCATTAAGAGAGGAAGGCCTTCCACGACCTTCTTCATCTTCAAGGCTGAAATCTCCCTCCCGAAATTTTTTAAACCACCTTTGCACAGTGCACTCATTAACACAACCCTCGCCCCAGACTTGGTTAATGTTTCTAGCCGTTTGGGCTCCGCTTCGGCCGAGTTTAAACTCGTAAAAGAAAATCGTACGAAATTCTCGCTTTGACATTATAAGGATGACTGAATTATTTCCAAGTAGCGGAATGCTACAGAGGTAAACAAACAATATCATTTGGAAGAGGATTAATAAGTGTTGACATTCATACAAATGAGTAATCCTGTAAACGTAAACAGAATATTTTATATAGATTTTTTTTAATGAAAACTTAAAATCCTGCATTATTTTCCAGACAACCCGATACAAAAAAATAAAATTTACCTTCTTTCATTTGATGATATGGTACCTTTCTCTAATTTAGTGGAATTAGCTGCAAGTACTTTACAAGCATCATTTGCAAAATCCAAGTCCCTTACTTCTGTGGGAGAAACAGGAATAAGAGCAAATGCCTCCTTATCTTCTTTTATATGAGCACACCCGACCTATTTATTAACAAAGTTGCAAAATATTTAATTCTCATCTGAAAATAAATTATTGAGTAAGTGTTTTACTTTGGACATCACTGGTTTCTCTTCATCTTTGTCAATCGGTATGGAGGTGCTATGTACCCACGTATGAGTACATAAATGATGCAACCTCACATATGAAGACTGAGGAACAAGCGAATCACCTCTAGTAAGGGTGGTAGGATCCAGTTCAAATAAAGAAGAAATTTCGTTAGTATGTGGAACAGAAACCAAATGATAAACTGGACCTCCAGGTGGATCTACGATAAAAAAATAAAAGATTAAGATTACAGACGTTGAGGGAAACTTAAGACTTTTAAAACTCATGCTTTACATTCCCATATTTTCAAGCTTCATGGAAAAAAAATTGAACCATGAATTTGTAACCTAGCTCTATCCATACCAAACCTCATCTGTTCCTTAGCTACATAGCTAACATAAACAGTCCTTAAGTCTAACTTAATCTAGCCTAACCCATCTCTAACCCTAACCCAACTGACGCACACTCTCTGTTAACACAAAATTGAAGATTTGAAAATGTACAAAAAATTTTATGTATACAGCCCAAAAACATAGCCATGTTAAAACAAGGTTTAAAGAAAATTATAGTTTGTAAAGAAGTGTTCACATTCAGCTGATATACTTGTTATTTTTTACTTAAAACTAACTGTATTTATCACATAAATTAAATTTATTTTGATGTTTTTAAATTTCATATCAACTGGAAACTAGTGAGCTGACAACAAATAAAATTATGGAATAAGTAGGGTTGTTAAATTAAGGAATATTCTGAAGTTTTATGCAATTACTTATCAAAAAATGAGTATAAACAATAAAGGAGGGAAAATTCAAAAGGTGAGGTTGAGATGGGAAGTTGGTGTCCCAGTGGATCGAGGTCACGATAGCTCAAGTGGTAGAGCAGCGGCGTATCAAGCCAAAGATCGTGGGTTCGAATCCCGCTCGTGCCATTGACTTTTTTATCTCAACTAAAAACCTTAATTAATTGTAATATATTAATTGGTCAAGCGGACCACGAAATTAGTGAATTTAAGTATAAACAATGAAAAATTAAACTTTTTTAACCACTGGAACATTTTTAAAGGGTTGTTTTTAATTTAATTCTTGAAATTTTAGCAGACCTAATCAAGAAATTGTTCACCTCGAAGTTTAGACCGCATTTGGTCCATAGTATTATCAGAATCGACTTCTGCTGCTAAATAATGCCCTGTAGCAAGGTGTTTAAATCTGAATAAGCAATTCCAATGTCCTGCTCCACCACGACAATTATCATGCTGAACTACCTAAAATACGAATAATTTTATGATAATCTTTAACATCATGTTTGCTATAGCAGAAAAAAAAAACTTGGCTGTTCTATACCTCCACTTCCCAAAGTGCTTTACTGCTAGTCGCAGCTGTTGCAGAAGTTCTTCCAGTAGTTCTTAGAAAGACGTGTTGTTTCTTTTTGTATTCATCCATTGTCAAGAACTTTTCTTGTTCGGCATGAAAAAGCCTGATAACATCCCCTCCTTTTAAAATTTCTTCTTGATTCTCCTGGTGCTCCATAAAAAGGTTCACCTTCCATGGTGTATTCATGTTCACAACATTCACCTATCGAGGAACATGTTTTATTAATTGTCAACAACGATATTGGTTTGTTTAGAGCACCTCTTTACAGCCAGGGTTGTCTGGAAGCTCATGATTTGCGGAGACATGAAGAACTTGAGGCCCTGCATTAACAGGGTTCATGATTACTTTATCCCCAACCACAACATTGTCACCGGTGGACCGTAGTTTGTAGTATGGTAGAATATAGAACCAAGAACCCTCATTCCCATTTGCATCAAGGTAAACGCGCATTGCATTTTTTTCTAATAATGCTGGGAGGCGTTTGTTCACTGTTAAATATTTATTTGATTTAAGATGCAATAGCTGAAAAAAATTGTTCAATTTACGTTAAATAATGCTGTCCAAACTATTCAGCTTTTAAATAAAATAAGCCATTTTATTAAAATATATTACCTGGACAACACTACCATATTGGACAATTAGTCCTAAGAGTTTCTTATGCTCAGAATAGTTTTGTTTTTTCTCTATCTCAGCAGCATGCTAAAAGTAATACATTTTGTAATGCAAATTTAAAAAAGTCCATGAATATTTTCATAAACAATCTTACATGTAAACGTTTGAGAAGTACTGCATCAGTGGTAGATGTAGAATTTGAATTTTGTTTTGCTGCCTTCCAGAATTGTTTCTGGGCGGAATATCGGTTCATGGGACATATTTTAAAGAGACAATCTACAAGGGAATTGTCAATTTTCATTAGTCCGTTATCGCCATCTTAGTAATTTAAATGTGCCCAATTGCACTTTACATACCTCTGAATTTTTTAGGTGGATTAGTGAGGTCTCCTGCGCCCGGAGAGACCACGGTTCGGTCATCGACCAGGCTTTAAAGAAATTAAACACGTTATATTATTCAAATAAAAATTTAATATAAACAAGGGAACTTTTTAAAATAAAAATTTATGCTCGATGTACATTATACTAACACTACAAAACAATAGCCATAAAAAAGGCAAGATTTAATTTTAAAGACATTAATTTACCCTAATGTGCTAAGAAATCCACAAACAGTTCCTTCAGCAAATAAGGAGACGATGTCCCCTAAGTGAAGGAAGCTTGCAGAACCGATGATTTCTGCCATTTTTGTAGTTCAAGTCGATTTCATTCTGAAACATTAGAAAGTAAGTATATAAATGATTAACTGAATTTCTAAGACTAAAGGAATTTAGAACTTAAAACAAAAATGTGTGGTGTTTAGTGACCGTTGGTGTGACGTAGGTTTTACAAAAACATTTTCTTTATCATGCCAATGTTTCGATCTTTATTGAGATCATCTTCAGGGCTCAAAGTGTTTGTTTTCTGAGTAACTGTCATTCTTATGTCGTGTTGACAGTGCCCCACGACACACAAAAATGACACATCTACAAGAAAACAAACACTTTGAGCCCTGAAGATGATCTCAATAAAGATCGAAACGTTGGTACGATAAAAAAAAATATTTTTCTAAAATCTACATCACACCAGACCGCATCTCACGATCTCCGAATAATCATTAAAACAAAAACTTAAAATCACTTTGAGAATAGTGAAATTATCAGCTGTAACTATTTTTAAGCAGAGACGTCTGAAGCCATTGAATCAATTATGCAATTCTATTATAAAATACATGACAATATATCAATTCCATCTATTATAAAAATTGTCACAAACTAAAAACTACAGTGGAAAAGAAGAATTATATGAAATAACTAGACTTAATAACAATTGAATATCATGTTTAATATTTTTGAATATCATAATATATTTATATTTTCTTTGGTGATTGATCAGCCTTCTCAGTTTAAATATTTTTCTTTCCAAAAGGTAGATTGGGGATGAGGCCAGGAAGACAGAAACAACATTTATTTTCTTATCGAGCTTTCAGCAGAATATATCGCCTTCATCAGGATTATATAACATTGATGAAGCACCCCGCTGTTGATTAATATTTTCTTTGGTGATTGATCATTGTTTCTGTCTTCCTGGTCTCATCCCTAATCTACCTTTTGGAAAGATTAATATATTTAATGAGATAAAAAGAAATATGGGTTATAACAGTTAAAAATGAAAGGTACAAGAGTCAAACGAACATAGAAAATCAAGTAATGATATTTTCTGATAGATGATAATTTTTTGTTAAAACAAGTTAATACAGAAATTGAGAAACAATAAATTATATTTAATCCATTAGTTCAGAGATTTGTAAGTTTTAGAGTGGCCGCTTCCACATTTCCACGTCATGATAATACAGAACTGCTGCGGCCTAGTGTTTAAGGTGTCTGACTCTTATTTGCCACAGAAGCAATTCTGGATTTGAATCCCGATACATCTTATGAATTTTAATTGAGAATAATTTGAAAAAAGTATTGTAAAGTGGTTCAGATTCCTCATCCTCCAGTATGACAAGAATTACTTTAATCAGTTGGTTGGATCGTTCTGAATAAAAAGATCATTAAATTGCAAATGACTAGTAATATTAAACCATTTTTCCAAATTTTATAAAGAATTTTATCAAAGGAAATTCAGTTTTACACAGCAAGCAAACGGTGAAAATCTTAACGTAACAAGCAGTACACAAGTTGAGACAAGTTCATAAACGTTTTAAATAAGCAATTTGATTGGAAGAGGCACCTGCGAGATGTGCATAAAAACAGCAGCCAACAGAGTAACTGAATTAGAAAGTTATCAAGTTATAAAAATTTCTGAACTGCAAACAATAGTCACCTTTTACACCCAAGAATTGAGGGAAATAAATTCTAAAACGGCGGTTGCCCTTTGCAAGAAAAAAAATTAATGACAGAAAACACACTGCAATTCTCATTTATTTAGCACATACAACCGAGTGACAAAATTATAGACACACCCCTAATTGTTATGATTTTTAATGTAATGGGTTTGTACTACAAATATTTATTCAAAACACATGAAATAAATATTTTTCTTCATTAAACTTTAATTTTTCAGTAAATAAGAGAAAAAATTATTAAAATACTAAAATTAAACAATTTTGTCTGCGACAAAATTATAGACACATGGGATAAAATCAATTTAAAACAAGGTTATAATATTTTGTGACATTACCACACAGTTTTATTATTTCCAATAATCTTTCTGGAATGGTTTTGTACAAATTTTGAATAAAATCTTGAGGCAAATTATTCCAGGCAGTGGTGACAGCTGGTTTAAGTTCGTCGACAGAGTTGTACTGCTTACAGTCTTGATATACCATCCTCGATAATTTTACCCATACATTTTCTATAATGTTCAACTCTAATGAGAGTGCAGGCCATTCATGTTTTTCAATGCTGTTCTGTGAAAACCATTCTTTAACAATTTTTGCATTGTGTATGGGTGCGTCGTCCTACTGGAACATTGGAGTACCTTTGCATAAATCGCTGAAACTAGTTTTTTCTTTGTCCAGTAATTTCTTGTAATATTCCGAATTGACTTTTTTTGGAAGAAAACAAAGATTCCCTTTTTTATTACACCCAATACATCAAAGATCCACCACCCATTTGGCGCCGTGACAAAATTTTTTCTTCTTTAGTTAGATCATGAAAGTAATATGCGTATCCTTTTTGTTGTTTTTGAATTTGTTTTTCATAAGAAAAAATAACTTTTCGCCAATAATCTTCATTTTTCAAAATGTGGTTTTCAGCAAATTTGACATGGGCTAGTTTGTGGTGGGGTTTCAGAACTGGTTTGCATTACAGTTTTCTTCGGACTATGTTTTCAGTTTTTTTAAGGAATCTCTGAACAGTTCGAACAGAAACATCAACACCTGCCTTCTCTGCTATGGCTTTTGCAGTCGAAAAGCTGTTTGAAGCAACGCGCAGGATGTGTGATTTGTCTCTGGTCAAGGAAGGGGATCTTCCAGAGCTATGCCCTCTACCGTAGTCTTCACCTAGTCGTATTATCTTTGATACCGATGAAAAACTTTGTTTTATGCGTCGAGCGACATCTCGGCAGCTCATTCCATCTTCATTGAGCAAGTGAATCAACCGGCACTCCTTATCAGAAAATCTTCTTCCTTTTGGCAATTTAAAATAACTTTGAATTGCTCCAAATGAACTCTTGGTAATCACTTTACTAAGGCACAGTACAGTGAATACTAAATAAACCTTTGGAGTTATGAAATAAACATAAACAAAATGTGTGTCTATAATTCTGTCGCAGCTAAATCAAAACAATACTGTTTATTGAGATGTACATTTGTATAAGATTATCAGATGAAGCCATTTCCAGAGTTAATTTTCTTTTAATATCATGAACAATATTCTAATGGCAAAAGAAATCATTTTTCATTATTGAAATCGTGATTTTTTAATGTGTCTATAATTTGTTTAAGTTACTAATTGTTAAAGTTACTCAAATTTTAAAGGGGTTATGCTGAAAATAGCTTACTGGTTTCAATTAAAAAGATTAGACCTATCAAGCCCCAGGGTGATGGCCAAAAACCTTACAAAAAGAGGTACACACCGAATAGCAAAAGCCTGTAAAGACTGGACTGCCTCAATTAACCGAAGCAACACCAGCATACAAGCTCAACTACAGCTAAAGCATTAAAGAAAAGATATTACAAAATTATAAATAGGGTAGAATTAAAGTTATAGCTGAGAAAATATAAGAACCAAATAAATTTTGACCCTTCCAAACTATTCAGAAGACCAGAAATTTTTGGAAGAATGTCAAATTCAAAATTTGAAAATGGTACCTGTGTCAAAATACCTGAGAAAATGGAAGAATTAATTTTGACCAACCATTCCAAACTATTCGGGAGACAAGGTATTTGCAGAAAAATGGAAATTCAAAAATATTAAATGGTAATTTTAATATCGTACCACGATGTCTACTAAGGTGTCTGACAAAATCTAAGAATGGCTTAATTGTGATCAACCATTCAGGATATAAGAAATTTTCAGAAGAATAGAAAATTCAAAATTTTTAATGGGAATTTCAATTTGCTAGAGTGATGTATCTAAAATAGAACATTGAGTAGAAAAAATTTGATTTTACTTTTTAATCCCTCCTAAGACCAGTAACTTTTGTACGAATACAAAATTCAAAATTTGATAAGAGAATCATAATGTGAAACATTCATGTCTACTAAGAACATTTAAACCAACCATAACCATCCAGACCAGTAACTTTTGTAAGAATATAAAATCCAAAATGGGTAACTTAATGACCAAATTGAAGAATGACTTAATTTTTACCAACCCTTCCAAATGATTTGGGAGGCCAAAATGACCAAATGGAAGAATGACTTAATTTTTACCAGCACGTTCAAACCATTCTGGAGACAAGGAATTTTTGTAAGTAATAGTAATTCCAAAATTTGAAGTGGGAATTTAAATATCGTACCCGATGGTTACTAAGTTGTCAGACAAAATGGAAGAATGACTTAATTTTGACCTGAAACTTTTGGAAGAATGTAAAATTCAAAATTGTCTCAAAGGTTCCAGAGAAAATGGAAGAACGACTTCATTTTTATCAAACTATTCCAAATCCAAATTTTAAATGGAAATTTAAACATCGTACCCCGAAGGCCTCAAAGGTGTCAGACAAAATGAAAGAATGATTTAATTTTGACCAACCCTTACGAACTATTCAGGAGACAAGGAATTTTCAGAAGAAAAGAAAATCCAAATGTTAAATGGGAATTTTAATTTGCTACAGCGATATATAAAAAAGAAAAAAAAACAGTGGGTAGAAAAAATGATTTTTCAAGAAACAAAACTCTTGGGAAACCTCTTAATCTGCCACATGGAGATCCAAGCAATCCAGAACTCCTTCTGCAAGATTTTCTCAAGAAGGGTATAAAAAATGCACTGACGTTCTCAGATACCCATGACGCTTCAAGTTGCATATGGGAGGGCCATCTTGCATATCTTTATTTAAAAATAAATAAATAAAAATAGTAATACTGGTGCAAGAAAATGAGATAAATAAACTGGCCAAACTTGCAAAAGGAAGATGTTACTAAATTGAACTAATGAGAAAAAAGAACATAATGATAATAATTATTTCAATCAGTACATCAAAAATACATCTCCTAATTAGTAGGTAACTGAGAAATTTGAAATGCCTTTTCAAATTTGTTAAAACTGAAAAATTATTATATTTGCCAAGCCAAGAAGAAGCAGATACTTCAGTGCACATCCTATATGACAGAGACACTCCCAGATTCAATTTTTGAAGGGCAATAACATCTTACGAAACAAGACGAGTTAGTCTAGTCATTTTTTTTCTTTCTTGGACACTTAAGTAAGCAACTCATTCCTACACAAAGACGGGAAAATGCTGAAATGCGTCTGACAGTCAGCAGGAAAAAAGATTAGACCAAGGTTTATTAATCGCCTTGCAGATTTCAACTCAATTACTAATCTGGAAGCATGATGGTGAGCATAGGATAAGAAGCATAGGTTTGCTATTCCACAAATACTGCAGCCAGGATTATTGTACATTTCCTAGTTCCTTAGTTTCCAGTACTTGCCAGTTTTGGTGAGAATTAAACGATAAAATTACTAATCTGGAAGAAAAAAACAACTATTTCTGCCAGGGTCAAAAAATTATTTTCAGTAGCCAAATCAAAACTGCAAAGAAAAAAGACAATATAAAAAAATGAGAAATTAAGCTTGCTAACCAATAAATTAATTCATAAATGCTGCCATACTGATAAAACTTATACAACGGTTAAAAAAAAAAAAACCTTTTGTAAAACGAGTTTCTGCTTGTTAATAGTGAAATTGGTAAATAATATAAGCAATAAAAATTGACTTACAGGTTTTATTTAGACAAAATTTTGCCTATTTCTTACATCATTGAGTGCAGTACATCCTGCAACTCTCACAAGCTGCCTGCATGTATCGTACACGTCTTGACATGCGACAAAGTATCACGAAAGAGCAAGTTCAAATTCCAAGCGAACTTGTTTTCTTGATGTTGTATCGAAGGTTTTAAGACAGGGAGAGGAGAAAATCTTCGGACAACAACTGTGTAATTTGTATTATCAGAAAAACAAACATGAGGGTTCATATTAAAAAAAAATACACAAACTCTTCTAGAAAAGAAATCTAGTCAGATTTTTATCTCTTTGAACATTCTTTTACTATTTAATTGTTGATCATTCGAATATCAAATAGGGTTTTTATGTGTTGAAAGAACATGATTTATATTTTTGGATACGATAATAGGGAAGATTTTTTTAACCCCTGATAAATTATCCTAAAAGCTTTCGATTTAAAAAAAATACTTAAAAAATACAACATAATAACAAAAGTGTTTTAACAATATAGAAATTTTTAAGTCAAGCAAGTTGCAAGAATTTAATAAAAAAAATGTCAGGAGGCAAGTTTGTTACTTACTTTTTCAAATTTACCACACCCGTAAAGGAAAACTTTACAAACGGATTTTATAAAAACCCCATTTGGTAAACAAGATGGAATTTTATTTTTCAAATTACCGAAAGTCTTGCGACAACAGACCCCTGGCCCTGGCCCGGGCCAAAATGTTTACCTCTTTCGAAGTCCTTTTAATTCTCTTTTGAACAGCGGTGTCGCAGACTTTCTGACATGACGATCGAAAATCTTGCGACGGCCTCAGAATCCGCGATGAACTTTTTCAACTAAACAAATAAGACTGCGACCCATTTTGATAACAAGTTCAAAACAACCCCTTCATCGCGATACCTGGATCTGAGAAACCTCAGAGCTGAACTTTTTTTCTTATTTTTTAAATGTCGTTCTGTCTCATTTCTCTCCAAACTGGAGAATTTTTCTATTAAAAAACCTCTTTGCCTTCTTAAAATAGTCGAAGACATCAATTTGTTATTAAAATTTTCCAACAAACTATGAAGTATAATTAAACAAAACTTTCTTTGGGGAAAGTGTCAAAAAGAAATTTTCATATTATTTTATCTAAATGAAACAAATAGAACTATTAAAATTAACTACAGACATGCCTAAGACAATTAAAATCATACTGAAAATATTCTATGAAATCTGATCTATCAGTAGTCCTTGCAACTTTGTCAAGGTTTTGGAGAGGATGATTAATAAAATTTAACCCAACGTCTAAAAGATGGAATAAAAAAAATGTCCAAAATAACTACACCCATGCTTAAGATAATAAAAATCATACTGAAAAACATGCTGGGAAAGCTGATTTATCAATAGACTTTACAACTTTGTTAATGGTTTTGGAGTGGATGATGAATAGCAAAATTTAATCCCACATAAAAAAAAAAAAAAGATTAAATGAATAAGTATGTCAACATTAACTACAAACATGCTTAATGAACATCATACTGAAAAACATACTGGGAAAGCTGATTTATCTTTTCTTGTCTTTACAACTTTGTCTGGGTTTTGGAGAGGATGATGAATAGTAAAATTTAATCCCACATCAAAAAGATTAAATCAAAAAGACTCAAAAATAACTACACCCATGCTTAAGATAATAAAAATCATATTGAAAATATTCTAGGAAAGCGGATCTATCAGTAGTCCTTGCAACTTTGTCAAGGTTTTGAGAGGACAATGAATAATAAAATTTAACCCCACATCCAAAAGAACAAAAAGATTAAATGAATAAGTATGTCAAAATTAACTACAAACATGCTGCAGATAATTAATATCATACTGAAAAACATGCTGGGAAAGCTTATTTATCAATAGACTTTACAATTTTGTTAAAGGTCTTGGAGTGGATGATGAATAGTAAAATTTAATCCCACATCGAAAAGATTAAATCGAAAAGACCATCAAAAATAACTACATCCATGCTTTAGATAATAAAATCATACTGAAAAACATGCTGGGAAAGCTGATGTATCAATAGACTTTACAAGTTTGTTAAAGTTTTTGGAGTGGATGATGAATAGTAAAATTTAATCCCACATCAAAAAGATTAACTCGAAAAGACCATCAAAAATAACTACATCCATGCTTTAGATAATAAAATCATACTGAAAAACATGCTGGGAAAGCTGATGTATCAGTAGACTTTACAAGTTTGTTGAAGGTTTTGGAGTGGATAATGAATAGTAAAATTTAATCCCACATCAAAAAAAAAAAAAAAAAAAAAAAACGATAAAATGAATAAGTATGTCATCATTAACTACAAACATGCTTAAGATAATGAACATCATACTGAAAAACATGCTGGGAATGCTGATTTAACTTTTCTTGTCTTTACAACTTTGTCAGGGTTTTGGAGAGGGTGATGAATAGCAAAATTTTAAAATAAAAAATAAAAAAATGGTGAAAAAAATGAGGGAAATAAACTGGCCAAAGTTGCAAAAGGAAGATGTTACTGAACTAAACTAATGAGAAAAAAAGAATATAATAATTATTCTTCTTCAAAAATACATTCTCTAATTAGCAGGTAACTGAGGAATTTGAAATACCTTTAAAAATTTGTTAAAGCTGACACAGATATTTTGCCAGGCCAATAAGAAAGAATACACTGTACATATCCTCCACAACTGTGACACTCCTGCGACTGTGATGCTTGAAATAATTAAAATCATGCTTAAAAATATGCTGGAAAAGCAGATCTATCAATAGTCCTTACCTCTTTGTCCAAGGTTTTGGAGAGGATGGTGAATAGTAAAACTTTATCCCACCTTGAAAAGAACAAAAAATCAATAAGACTGTCAAAATTACCTTCAAACATGCTTAAGATGACAAATTTATACAAGCTGGGAAATTAGACCTATTTGTGTTCTTAACTTTGTTCAAGATTTTGGAGTTTTTTCTCAGTTATTTAGCTCACATTACTCAACTCTTAAATTAATGTTGTCAGTAATATAAAATTGAGTTGCTTGCAATATGCTAATGACACAGCTTTTTTTTCCATTTGTCCTCTTTCAAAATTAACACTACTATATCTGTCAATAGCTTTAAAAAATGCTCAAAATATTTTAAGCTATAATTAAGCTTATTTATATGTATATTAAAAGTAAAACCGAAGCTTCTCCCTTTTCGTTAGAATTTCCTCATTCAACTTCTTTGAGGCCACTTTGATGTTCTTCAAACCAAGATTTCGTGTTATTATGTAATTAAATATATGGGAGTGTATTTAAATTTAAGCTAACTTACTTCCTACGACAACTTTGTCTATGATAAAACAATTGCTATTCTTCATAGGCTGTTCTCAAATAAATCTAGCATTGTATAAATTCAATTTTTTCCACATCCTATGTGTATTTGTAAAATTTAAACAATGTTTATAAATCCCAGGCCCTGAAGATGATATAAAGATCGAAACGTTGGCAGAATAAAGAAAAAGTTTTTCTACAACCTACATCACACCAGACCACATCTCACGATTTCCAAATAATCAATAATAAATCTATCATTGTAAAATTAACTAAATTTGTGATAAACCAGGATATCCAGTTTAGTAGACTCAGTAAAAACCTAATTTTTATTGTTACAATTCTATATTTTCATCCCAACCTCAAAACATTGGTAGCACGGTCACACTACCATCTGAATTTCATGGAGATTTTCTTGATCTCCAGATTTGTATAAATTCGTTTTTACCGTTCACCACACACTCAAACACATATTTGAGAATAATTTAAACAATACATTGCATACTTTTATCATTTTATGTTTTAAGGATCTATGAAAGGAATGAATAAATTAAAAATACAGTTTGGAATGGAAATGGAAATATTATATTTTGAAACAATTTACTTATTCAAATATAGGCCATTTTACTTCATTTGGTGCATTTTGAAGTACACCACAAGTAAACCATTTTATACGTACAAGAAAAAATAATGTTTAAAAAAATTTACGGTTGCAAAAACGTCTCCATATGGGGAAAATAACAAAAATGTTAATTTATTAAAATAACAAAGCTAAGGGTCTTTATGACCTCCTTTAAGCCTTTAGTAGGCTAGTAGCAAGTTTGGCTCCGAGGGTTTGGGAGATGTGGACTTTTCCAGATATCTTGATTTAAGGTTTTTATCCACATCTCCAAAACTCATAGTGGATTTAAAATTAGACCTTTAAGATTTAAGATTGAGAATATGAAAGGGGAGCCCTGTCATTCCGGGTTGGGCCTGTAGGTCGGTTCGTTGGCTAATGTATAACAATGAGGCCAAAAAAAAGGTCCGTTTTTCATTACTCCATAACGGCCTCACAAATTTGGCGTTTTTCACGCTATTTTCACCTCCTTTAACATCCTGCCAGAGGTGCTCTATTGGGTTTAAATTAGGCAATGTGTGGTGTTTTAAATTATCATAGAGCATTGTACAACTACCATTCCTCAAAACTTCTGGCATGATGTTTAGCGGTTTTTTTTTGCAAATGTCAGCTGCTTCGCTCAGTTTTCTTTGATAATATCCGACTTTTTGCAGGCAGATCGCAATTTGTCATTATTTTTTAATGTAAGCATGATTTGAGGTGCTATGTCAACATTGTAAACCTGTAGTACATTAGTAACCATTGTAGAAGCACTTCTTTTTGCATTTTTATAAACAGTTCGTAGGATGACTCATGATGGTGCTGAAGTTTTTTTGGCCATCTTGATCTAGATCTATTTTTTTTTTTTATAATTTCTAAACACAGTCTTAACCGTAGACACACTCTTATTCACAGTTTTAGCAATTTTACATAAAGATTTCCCATAGCTTTGCTGTCTACAATTAACTGTCTTATCTCGGCAAATTTTCAATGTGGGGAACTGGGGAAGAATTGAACTGGTGTTTCATATTTCATGTTAAATTATAAAGTAGTATTGATCAAATTCGGAACATGAAGCATATGCTCCTCTTTTATTTCAAAATAATGATTTTATCCTCAAAATAAACTTTCGACACATAATATATATTGATTATTAAGTGAAGTTAGATTGTGCCATTTGGAGAATTTTTTTTAAACTTAACTTCACATATAATTTAAACTCATGTTAATCACACTATAAAAAAAAAAAAAAAAAATAGACATTTACACATTGTATTACAGTGTTTATTTATTATAATTGTGTTGTCATACATTAAACTTCATCATATTTCTCAAGACCATATCTATAACATGTAGGCTCTGGCTTTTTCTCTGGCGGCAAAGCAGCTTTCAAATTTCTAGTAAACACTTCAATACTCGTATGGGGGACGCACAATTCTCTTGTAATCCAAGGAACACCAAGAGCATCTTTGTATGATGATAGAGGCCTTTTGAAATGAGATTTCAATCCCCCGCACTTATAAGCTGCTTGTGACCCATACAAATTAGACGCTGTAAAATGCATAACCTCAAAACTTTTATTTCTCGTTGCCATGTCTTTCATTCCCTGTAGAAATAAACAAAAGTATTTACTGTTTGTTAAAAAAAAAATTTTTTTAATTAAAAACTTACATCTAGTAACATTTTCGCTATTCCACGACGCCTGAACAATTTATTTACAGCAAGCAAATCAATTGACCAAGACTTTTCAGTCTGAAATGATTTGTAAATGTTAGCTCGTTCCTCAACTTGGGATAAGAAATGCATATAACGTCTTGCAGTGTTCATTCCCAATTTATCTGGAAGAGAAATTACGATAAAACAACTAAGCACAAAAATATTTTTTAATTTGAATTACCTGCATAAGACCTTAATTCGTAAACAGTCGTGGGGGTCGTACTTCGCGCAATGGCAACCCCTAATATTTCCCGACTTTCCTGAACCATTGCATATAGAGCCATATCATCGTTCATTCCCGTTAATAGATACTGCAAAATTCCAGGGTTAGGCTTCTCTGAATTGAGGCCTGCAGCCACTAATACGGGTTCATCTGGGAAATAGTGCTTTGCCAGAAAAGAAGCTACTCTACATTTCTCTGTGTTGGTACGGGGAATTTTTTTAATTTCAACTCCACATATTGGAAGCTGAAAATAAAAGGTTCATTAAACAATTGTCAAACAAAAATTCTTTAAATACTTCAACTACAAATAATAATAAATAAATTCAATTAAAACTAAAATACATAAATATGTAGGCACAATTATCATCTTATAAATATGTACTATAATCTCAATTTAAACTCAGCCTTGGCTTATTTCAGGAATTGTTGCTATAAAATCATGAAGGGTTCAAAATGTTTTCAGTAACAAACACACTTAATGCTTGTTTTATTTTATTGATAATATAATTTAAGAGCATTTTATGCATGTCAAAAAAAACAAAAACTAATTGTATTTTAAGGCCATTAAAATCCATATATGCTATTAGCTCAGTATTTGATTTGATTTAGTTTCAAATAAACTTAACATCCAAGTACTGATTTGAAATAATTATGAAAATTTCTTACCCAACATGGTGTCACTTCTTTAAATCTCTTCTGTGTGTATGTTAAAGGTAGTTTACTGAGTAATTTTCCTCGAAGCATTGCTAGTTGTAATGTATTCTTGCTCTTGTGTGATGTGTGCTTGCTTGTCCGTGTCTGGATGTGTACTGTGGCTTGCTGAAATATTTTGGTCTCCTTGACTACTATTAACAATTGAACAAATAAAACATTCGACTGTCGGTCACCAATTTTTGTTAAACAAAATAGTAAAGGCAAATATCTCGATTTTATTGGATCTTTTATTCATTTATCATAGTTTGAGAATAATTGGTGACAACAAAAACACGATAATTAATTTTATCTCGGGCTTAATTCAATATAAAACCTAGTATATACACATGTGCGTACATCCAAAATTTCATCCAAAAATATTTTGAATGTGATAAAAAGCATCAACAAATAAAATACATGCTTACTATAAATACATATTTAGTTTTTAAATGATAAAATAAATTAATATATTTTTTCAGTAAAAAATAAAATATAAACAAAAGCAGAATTTAATAAACATATGAATAAAAAAAAGTTTAAATAAACAGCTGATAGATTCATGTAATTGTTCAACAATAAAGCAAATTATTTGCATTAAACAAACGTTAATTTGCTTAAAATTGGCAAAAAAATACCCCTTTTAAAACAGACATAGGTTAATAAAGAAGAACAAGTTTATTTACTATAATTTCAGCTTAATAATTATAAATAATACAGTCTATCCTCATAATATGGAATTCACATCTGTGTAACAAAAAAAAGCGTGGCACCTCTGGATATATTAAAGAACATATTAAGGTTTATGCATAGCTAGGAAAGTCTAATGGCTCTCCAAGTCTGCGACATCAATTCATAACTTTTCTGGAACCCCCCCTAAAAAAAACTGGAATCTACAAATAGCCTAATACTAAAGTGTGTTCCAGGTCATGAGGGAATTTCAGCAAACAAGGAGCCTCGGAACGACTTATAGGGCCAAATGCATTTCTGGCGTAAATTATAGCCACAATAAAAAAGAACTGTAACAGTGTTATCCAAAACTCCACCCATAAATTTTGTCAAACAGATACTTTTTTTTTTTAATGAGATATTTGACAATAAAATGGCCTGTCTTTATTTTAAACAAACTATTATTTATTTATTTAAAAAAGGAGTTATTAATGTGGTAGAAAATGATACGTCAAATTTATTAATTTCTTATTCTAGAAAGATTAACTAACTGGGTGCAAAATGTGTACAAAATAAGAAAATTTTTATTTTCAATTGGAGGGGGTAAATTAGCAAAAAAAATGAACACATTAAAGATGTAGTTGTAGGTAATGGTAGTTTCAGGGCTATCAAATTCGTGAAAAATTACAAATATCTAGGAATAGATAAAAACCTAGGAGTAGAAACCACCTTAAAGACAAACTTGCCAAGGCAAAAACGGTGAATTGTTGTGAAGCTTTGTAATAGAAGTGAGTAATATATCGGTGGAGGCTAAGTTCACAGTCTTGAATATGGTACATAGAGCAATACTTTGCTACAGTATGCAGGTTTAGGGCTTTAAAATGTATGAAACTATCGAAAAGTTATTTAAGTTTTTCATAAAAAAAGCTTTTAAGGGTGCCATCCATATCATAAAACTGTAAAAACTGATAAACCATATCATAAAACTGTAGAATATGTAAAAACATAGATATCCAAATATTCTCCTCAAAGAAATTTCTAAGGAAAAATTGTACTAGTTCAGATAATTAACAAATACAATTAATTCAAATGAAATAAATGTTAGCCTTAACAAAACAACAACAAACAGTTTGTTTCAAACTAGAAGAATACGTTAAATACTGTAGTATAATAGTAATAGATGCATTAAAAATAATTTTCTTGAAAAGGTTAGAAATAGCCATCAGTGTCCAATATATAAGGAACTAAATTTTGAGCTAGAGGAAAAGAACTATCTGCATAGCAACTCTAAGAGAATTGAGCACACTACCTTACAGTGAATTATCTGAATCATGTGTGTTTACTTTGTAAAAAAAAGCTATATCATTGTCTGTGTTTGTTCTAAATTATGTAAGTTAAGGGGTTAGTTACAGAAATTTTACCATGACAGTTACTGTTTATCTACCTGAATGGGTAACCATAATTTTGTTTGTTAAAGAGATATTAACAACCTAATTATGCATGTATGTAAAAGTTATTAGGCATATAGACAAGTAATAATTCTAATTTTGAGTGAAGATCATAATGCAACAATTTCAAAATTTAAGTTTAATGCCATTTTGTGTTGAATTTTTTTCTTGTATTTGAAGAAATAGTATATTTTAGTTTGTTAGTTGAGTGTTAATACCTATTATGGGCTGACTCCTCTTAAATGTTCTTTCATATTTGCCTACCGGGTACACAGTACTAGTAATGTTACAAATTTACAACTCAGCATAGTTGCCTACCTGATGACGTAGCAATATTACTAATTTACATCTCAGCATAGTTGCCCACCTTAGGTGGTAGCAATGTTACCACTTAACCTTAGCATAGTTGCCCCACCTAGGTGGTGACAATGACACCAAATTAATTTCCTTGATGTTTTAATCATTTTTGAACAATTAATTAACTTGTAAGTAGTGTATTGTCTGCACTAGGGGCTGCTAACTACTAGGGTCATTGCCGGCACCTCACATGTATAAGCTTCTCGCATTTTTCTTTGTTTCTTTTCAACTTTATCTCTATCTCATTCACATTATTTTTTTCTTTTAAATTTGTTTCCTACCGAACAAACAGAGGAGTGTTTTGTTGCTCATTACTACCATCCCACACGTGGTTTGTTAAAAATACTTCAATATTTACAGGCTCACTAACAATACCCATTCACGCTAAGAAAATGATTACCTAATATACAGTTGGCAAGGCTCAGAGTACACGTGCACGACTGAGGTCCTGCCCCTACAACTAAATAAAGAAATAGTCATAATCCTACCGACTTCCTTCCATTCATGCTAATAAATACATTCATACAGTATATACAGAATTTCATTCATCCATTAGACCAATTTCCTTTTTACGGGCTTGTAGAGTACTCGATATTCTTCGACATCCACACAAAACATTCACGCTAATAAATACGTTCATAATGGAGCAGTCGCAGCATCTCAGCAGTATTACTACAACCTTGTTAGCGGCGACCTGTCCCTCACATCATACAACAAATATATAATTACCTAAACTAATTTGGCGGGCCTGTGAGCTACTCGATATTCAGTCACAGCCACAACCAGACATACATCACCCATGCTAATAAATACATTCACACTTCAAAATGGAGATATGCCACGTGTGGTTGGTTATATGTATACCATATACCATTTAAGTACCTAATAAGATTATCTTTGAGGTCACTGTTATGCTTAAGAACTATTTCCAGATTAGATAGTAGGTCACACTGTTCTCGGTACTCTCTTAACTTATTACATTCCTCTAATAGGTGTCTCACCGTTACCGGATTTTCACAGAGTGGGCAGTGTTTTTGACTTCTACCCACTAACAGGTGTGATTGTCACTACAATCACACTAATAAAAAAAAAAGAAATCACTGAAGCCAAAAAAAGATATATTTAAAAAATGATAACACTTTTTTAACACAGGAACTGTAATCTAGACCATCAATAAATTAATGTGTAGTGACACTTTTTATTCTTTCATCTTACTTCAATTTATTGACTTTTGTAGATAATTATAGGAGTTTTGGCAGGATCAATTAAACAGTCTCCATCCAGTACAGGAGATTTAATTAAATTGTCAGTTTAGTAAATAGTGAATAAGAGTGATGTACGACTGACAAAATTTCATTCAAAAGCTGGTGTGTTGACTCCCTCAGTAAATGCGTACCTACCCAACCCCAACAATTGAAAAAATAAATTAATAAAATGTTATATACCACCCCAGCGGAAACACTGAGTTCAAACTTTTCTTGATTAAAAGGGAAAATAAATAAATAAAAATGCATATATAAGCAATTGAAGATCTGTACATATATTACAAAATAATCAAAAACATTGAACATAGCTTTTTAAATATTAAAAGAAAATAATTTACATCCACTTTGTGTGTTGTGTGTGCATGTGTGTACCCATTAAAATTACAAATCAAATCAGAATAAATATATTTATCCATTTTGTATTCACACATACTCATATAGAATAAATTATTGTAGTAGCTAATACAAACAAAAAGCAATAATATAAAATGGGCGGAAATTTCTTACAAAACTAATGTATAACATATTAAGCGTACCAGAAAATTGGCGAAGGCAACATGTAAATTATATCTACTCTTAAAACACATCATTGTAGATGAACTTAGTAATGTATTAACAAGTCCATTACAACGGTGTTTTTTAATATTTTTTTAAATTTTTTTTTTGTTTTTTTGTTCTATACAATAAACTCTGAATGATTTAACAGTTGGACAATTTTATATAAATATATTCTTACGTAAAGTACGTAAAACAATAGCTACAATTTTGACTGCTTCTTAGAATGATAATCAAGAAGTATGGCCAACTAAAACACATCTGAAATTAGTTTAATTAACAAATACAACACAATAAACAAAGCGTATTATTTAAAAATATATTTACAAATTGTATTATAAATACAGAATTTTAAAAGTTATTATACTAATTTGTTCCAATAATCTACATTTTAATTTTATTTTATTCTTAGTCTGAACACATCATTCTTTGTTCTTAAGGATAAATAAAAATGAATAATATTAATGAACTAACGGTGGTTTGTTTTATTTATCAATAACAAAAATTATCAGATTTTACAAGTATACAACAGATTAATTACTATCTTAGGCATCACTAAATCCATTATGCTGACTAGCACATGTCCACCGACTAAAACAATGCTCTTTCTAAATATATCAAACTCTGTATATCCATGACAACATGCCCTTCATTTCTCTATGTATCGAACATAAAGTCATTAATTTGTCTAATTGGGCAATATATTCTAATGCTAATAACTACTTAACTATTCATTAGAGTGTTAATTTTATCCACTTATTTTCGACTGAAATTAAAAACACAGCTTTTAAAATGAGTTAATAATAAAGAACAAACACTGTAACAAAAATTTGGATAGTGACAGTGTTTTATAATAATTATAATGATTAATAATAATAATGAAAGTCATATCGAATACATAAATCATAACAAACTAAAATAAAACATTGAATTCATACAATAGTTTCCTAAATGCTTTTATTGAGAGAACTAAGCATAGCATATTATTAGAAAAATATATTATTAAAAGGAGCTTTATCCAAAAATATCACAATCTTTCCATTCCTAACTATCACTTTGGTGCTTCCAAGGTATTGAGTAGTAAACAAATGAAATGTCAGTTTTAAATTTTGATATAAATACTTTAAATTCAGAAAGAGAAATTTGTTATAATAACTAGCTCGATACTTAATTATCTAAAAATGCAGTGATGATATGTAACTATTTGTTAAATTTTAACTGGAACAAAAATCAAACCACTTAGTTATACTTCTGAGTACTTTTTGTGATACTGATATTTACCAGAACACAAATTTTATTTGCATTCATGAATATTTGCTTCTGAAGTGACTAATAAACTATAAATGAGTTATGGCAATTTTCCATGCTTTACATTAGGTAGAAAATTATTAAAAGAAAATCAATCTTTGTTGAACAATGTATTTTTTTTAACCTGGAAAAAACTGACGTTCCAAATGCTTCAACCTAATTTTACAAAATTATGTTAAACTTCTACCCCCAATGCTCGGTCAACAGTGTATTCATACCTCTGAGTTTCACTGTCATCATCGTTTGGTAGTAGAGGGACACTAACATTGGCTCGTGTAAAAAAGGCCATTTTTTCTCTAGAAAAAAAAAAAAATAAAATTAATAAATACATAAAAAAAAGATATGTAAATATTCATTGAAATGCTCATGAAAACTCTAATAAAGCAGTTTCTTTTATAATTTACACCGGACTTTCAGGAAGTTGTTTTAGGGGGAAAAGTTGAAATTCTGTTTAATGATAGAACATTTTTCAAAATGTGGAATTTTCATATCAATCTTTTCTATCTACAGTACAACTTTGTTACAACTAGAGCCCGGATTTATATGCACTAAAAACCCTCAAATAAGCCGTATAATTTATACTAAAAATATTAAAATACGCAGGATGACTGTCAGAGGACAGAGCATCACCAGACTAATAATTAACTTTTTTAAATTTAGGCCTGTTTTTTGGTCACATTTTCATTTTGAAAGTAAATAGAATTGAAAATTTTCAATCACAAAAAATCATATAATTTAAAATATTATACAAAATAAATAATTAAGCTTAATAAGGTTCATGATCTGAATTAGATTTATTTAGATTTATGTTTTGTGTTGAAAGAAAAAACCCAGCCTGTTATTTTATAAGTTTTAGAAGAAGTTGAAGATCATACATTCGGCATTTTTTAGGATTACGAGGTTGGAAATATGGCAGTGTCTATTTTTGTGTTTCAAATAAGGCCCCTATGTCCTTCCACAATATGAGTACATCAGAAAAATTAATTTTTTCATTAAAGGCAAAAAAACTGCACCCAGTAGTTTAAAAAAAATGGGGGGTCAAATAAGATGCTGGTTATGTCAAAAGAACTCAACTGTGTCGGTTAGTTTATGTACTAGTAAAATTTGCCTAGTACAATTTTAGGCTCTTGTCTTTCTCTTAACACAAAAAAGAGCTTAATTAGTTGCCTATATTATTTTTAGTTTTCTAAGTAATCAAAAATGTTTCAATTTTGCAATATCCTTCAAATATGCAGAATGAAATTTGAAACACCATCGATATGAACTGGATAAATATCTGATCACTAGGGTTGTATGGTATGGTGGAAAAGGATACTAGGAAGCGGGGTTTGTATTCCCTAGGCACTGCAGCCTTCCGGCTTATTGTACCTTCCTAGTTCCTTTCTTCAGCCAATAGACTCAATCCTTCTTCGTATAAGTATCAGGTCATTGACTGTTGCTGCTGCAATTTGATTCCCTAAGTCTTTTCCGTTCGTTAGGTTAAACCTCCATTGAGCTGTTGCTTCGCATCGAAGATGATATGAGAGGCTGTTTCCTCCTCATTACATAATCTGCAAATGGGATCATCGCTGTATATACCCATGTTGTGTAGATGTTTTCTCAGATACCAGTGAGAGGTTAGTAGTCCTACCACTCCTCGGAGTTTGGCCCTCTCCAATTGCAGCAGTGTTTTTGCCAGTTTCGGTGAGGGTTGTTTCATCATACGTTTACTATGTCTAGCACCGCTAGAGTTTATCCACTTCTCCTTTTGTTTTGCTTGGATCCATTCTGTGATGGAGGATTCTATATTTGTTTTTGTTATCCCAATAATAGGTTCGGGGCCTATGTATGGCCGTGCAGATCCTCCTCTGGCCAGTCTGTCTGCTTTCTCGTTACCCAAAATTCCCCTGTGCCCTGGCAAGATATCATCAGGTTGTTGTGTTTCCCCAGGTTTTGGAGATTTTGGATGCATTGACTGCCTAGTTTTGATGTGATTATTTTACATGCTAATGCTTTAATAGCTGCTTGGCTATCTGATCTTATGAGGATTTTTTTGTAAGTGTAACCTCTTTTAAGATTCTCCAGGGCACAAGCATTGATGGCATGTATTTCCGCTTGAAAGACCGAAATGTACTTCCCTAATGAGTTTGATTGCTCATGTTTTGGGCTTGTACAGAAAACGCCTGATCCGGTTCCTTCGTTTGTTTTGGAGCCATCTGTGTACCATATCATTGTATCTGATGCTCTCCTGTGTTCTTCCTCTCCTTTATAGTCCGTTGAGACTTTATAGGAAGTTGTGAAGATTGTTTCCGGGATCATGTAGTCAGTCCCCATTTCTATAATGGGTGTCTGAGTTTGTTGATTATGGTTGTATGCCCGAGCCTAAATGAGCTTTTCCTAGCCTCTCCTTGTATGAATATTTCCAGTGGAGGTAGGTTTAGCAAAGTTTCTAATGCGTTTGTAGGGGTTGTTCTCATCACCCCTGTGATACATAGGTTTGCTAGTCTTTGTATGCTGCCTAATGTTTGGGTAGCTAGTTTTTGTTGAGCTTTGTTCCACCAGATTAGTGATCCATAGGTTATTCTGGGTCTTATTACTACACCAAGGTCGTAAATGTTAGCAAAAAAGAATATACAATTCTGTATAAATCCGGGCTCTAGTTATAACGCTCTTTTAGGGGCTGATTGGCTGTCTTATTATGTATGATTCTGCACAGATACACCATTACAGTTCTGAATTTAGGCTTAACATAAATTTAATTAAAAAACACTTACTTAAAAGATATCAGATCAGGTTTTCCTTTCCCGGCCTTACTTTTCCTAAGTTTATAAATTTCCTTAGAAGTTTTCTTGAGAAGTTTTTCAACCTTCTTTTCATCCGCACTTTTCCCATCAGCCTGTATGGAGTAAATAAAAATGAATAAATCACTTTATCGATGAGACAAATGAAAAGTTGACATGATTTAAACAAAACTACTTCAATAGGATTTTGTTGGGAAGTATGTTGTACTCTGATGTTCAGATTTTTGTTTGTGCCATTGACAAGAAGTAAGTTTTGATCAAACCATTGACAACATAAAAATAAATAATTAAATAAAAGTCTAATTAATTACCTGAGCAACAAAGTTTTGGAACTGAACATCCTCCATTACCCAGGCAGCAACTTCAACATCACCTTTTTCCCTTGCAGTTTCAAGCCGCGATTTCAATTCCCTTAACCTTTGAAGGTCATCTTGCAACGCTGTAAGTCTTGTATGTTGAGCTCTTAAATCTAATTCTAGGTCAAGTGATGTCCGAGGTGCTCCAGAATGAGGGGCATGATGTGTCGGAGGGGTTCGACCTTTCGTCTTACCTCCACGCCACCTTAGAGATCGCCTTTCCACAGAACCTCTTTGGAATGCACACTGATTTCGGCGATAAAGAGGCATGGAACTATCACTATCACTTCTGTTTAACTGTAACCATAAAAAAATTGTGATATTTAGTAAATAAATAAGTTAAATATTATTTGTTCTGATTTTATATAAAAGGAAACATACCCTACAAATGTATTGATTGGTTGCAGTCGGTGAAAATGTTTGTGACCTCTTAATGATATGTTGGATTCCAGATTTACAACCTTTTTCAGGAACAAATACGCATTCAGTATTAGTTTCTTTGTCTTCTTTCTCACAACTTTCATCTTCAGATTCCTAATTAAAACAACACAAATAATATGAAAATGTAATTAGATTTGCACATTGGAGACAAATTTTAAAAGTAAAATAACAGCCTGACTCTAAGTGTTAGAATTCAACAATACCTCAGGAACTTGACTAAGTTCATCAGTGCATGATATTTCAATGCCTTCTTCATCTTCATCCTGATATTCCTCCTCTTCTTCATCAAGATCGTTTTCATCATCTTCACTTTCAAGCTCCTCTAGCCTTGAACTAATGCCTTGTGGAGGAACACCTTCACAACCTATTACAGAATAATATTATGTAGATACAAACAAACTGTTAAAATGGAAAATTGCTAACGTAATATGAAAAGTATTGACAAATTAATAACAAGTAATACCTTGATTTCTTGTTAAAGTGGATGTCTGAGATGAAATAATAGTTGATTCATCACTGCTTTCTTCTTTTTGCTGTTTTTCAGTGGGTATTGTCTGATTGGTCAAAGGTGAATCACCAACCATAAATCTATAGCTTAGAATGTTGTACCATTTTAGCAAAGTACAATCTGGTGTAAAGTCAGCCAAACTAACTTGCACAGAGCCCTGTACAGAAATTACAGTTTACATAATACCTATATTCATGTTTACTTTCACAAATTATATTAACTTTGACTGAACAATTTAGTTAAAACGAATATTTAAAAGTTGGGTGAAACATACCAGGCATTCTGTTTGTCCTTCTATCGCTAAAGACCAAACATTGATTTGAAGGGTTTTTGTATACAATTTTTTCAGAGGCACTTGAAAAGGGAAAGTTTCACTAAACCTGGCCTTATCAAGCTCAGCGATAGGCTTTGTACAGCAGGATTGAGTGTTCTGTAGACTATTTGGAAGAAGGGTGGCTTTTATATACCTGAAAGAAAATAAAAGTATTTTATATTACATAATTAAAAACAAATACATACTATAAAATTTCATTGTTTTCTCTAGCATAACTATAAAATCTTCCCATCAATACCTTTACTATACAGTCATACTCTGTTTAATGTGTAAAACCTCGGCAATTCACATAAAATGAAATCGAAAATGCTAAAAAAAATTTTTTTACTGACCAAAATTTGTAGTGTTATCTGAGGGATCAGTTCTTTTTCAGCTTTTACTTGGAACTGTAGTCCCATAAATTCTTCCTTTGCTAAAGGCTGCAGCATGCCTAATTCAAAAAATCCGATGTCTTGTCTTTCCATGCATTCTTCACTTAAGTCTGTCCATATTGACTAGCTGTGTTCTAGTTCCTAGTGTTTACTTAGTTGGAAAAAATATTTTCTTCATTTTGGGCTATTTCTGGACAATTCCCCCTCCCAACATCCATAACAAAATGTGGCATAACTTCTTTCCATGAAAGATCAACCAATGGCTTTTATTGTGTTAACACAATTTACACCATTCCTTCTTTGACAGATTGTCTGAATTTGTTTCAAGAATTAATTGGCCGAATGTGCTTTAGTTGCTAAATTCAAAATGTACTCATAACATTTACAATGATACATATATGTAATTGTTAACATACCAGGGGATCAGAAAAGTTCATATGTCCATTGCTAAGGAAAGGTGAAATTTAGATGGGGCCAGGTCTGGAGAATACTGAGGGTGTGTTGGACAAGGGGTCTCGCATAGTTCTATTAAAAATTACACCTTTTCTGTTCACAAAAGCAGGTTGTTTCTGGGCCACAGAAAGAGATACGTGTTGCATTTGGCTTGAGTAGATTTCTGTGGCGATGGTCTGGCCACATGGTAGGAGTCCGTAGTGGACAGTGAATGGTTTCATCACTTACGCTGAACACTTTGGCAAACTCCTGACAAGTTTGACTTCGATCAAGTTCCGCAACTTCCCTCAATTCTTCACCATTCAGGACAGAAGGTATACCAGACCGTGGTCCCCTCATTTCTAGAAGTAACCTTTTTGGGCCACTTTTGGGCAGTGCACTCATGGATTGTTTCACCACCGAATGCAGTGCAAATTTTACGAGCTGCCACAGCTACCCTAGTACTGGAGATTAAATTCATGCAATAAGCATGGATTATGTGTTTGGAAGTCATGAGAAAGAAAATATTTTATAATTTACAGTGGACTGTACAAGACACTTTTTCTTTACAAACAGATGCATTATCCTCTTGGTATTACGTGATGTGAATATCTAATCCTCCTTTGTAAATAGAAATTTTTTATTAAGTGTATTACAACAATAAGTGAAAAACCGCAAAAAATTTTCTGGTTAATATTTTCTTTACAATTAAAAAAAAAAGCATTATGAGGGGTTGTGCTAAACAGGATATGACTGTATACAAAAAATGCAAAGGCAATCACTTTTTTCAGTTTATTATATAAACTATTTGGTATTTTTAATTACTCACACTTGGCACCGATCGGGAATGAAAAGAGCTGCCAAATTTCTTGCTTTTTCAATTCCAATGTGAAGTATACAATCTCGAATCGAATATCTAAATTAAAATACAATTATAAATAATTAGTTATTAAAACAAATCACTATGCAGCCCATGTGTACGCTGTTGTAATTTACCTTAATTTAATTTGCACTTGTGCAGTATCAAGGGACATATCCAACGTTCTTTGTGATGCTTCAAAAACGCCTGAGTCACCAGCAACACTTTCATCACTTACAGCTGCCGACACAGAAGCAGTTGGTGGGGTAGGTGAGGTTTCAGAAATGGGGGATAACGGTGGAGATCGACCAGGAGGAGGTCTATGATCACAAGATGCTTCATAGGCTGGAGGTGGCGGGCATGAATCTCCCCTTAAAAGACGTTCGACCCTGATCAAATTTCAATCAATACATAATATTAATGTCAACTACAAATAGAAAAGTTTATAATTGGAAATACAAGTAAAATATTGTACCTTTTATGCAAATCAATCATGTCAATAGGTCTGTCACTTGATGAACTAAGAAGGCATTGAGGTCCACCGTAAATATCAGTAAAACTGAGTGCAGACGACAACGAACCCTTACTGCTTGTTGTTGACAAGGAGCCAAGACTTGAACTCGAACTGACAGAAAGAGTTGATGCTGATAATGTTCGCAATTGAGATTCTAAGGAAGTCATTGTTTTCAAAGCATCGCGTAACCCTGATAACAAAACTTGCTTCTCCTCATGCAGTCGAAGTCTAAAATAATATTCAATAAGAATAATTATAAATTATAGTTCAATTTATAGTAGCCATTATCAATAATCTCAATAAAATTACCTATCAGCAATCGCTCTATTAGACATTTCAAGTGCTGTATTAAGATCTTGTTCCAATCGTCGAATCTCATTTTGAATATCAGTCATTTCTTGGTGACTCCTAGTATGGGGTGTAATACTCCTCAGTTCTCGCAATAATTGTTCTTTCTCTTGGAAGAGAAGCAATCTGTATAAAGAAAATAAAAATTCGCAATAATGGTAATGAAAAAACATTATTTTACTAGATGTTGTGTTATAATCTCTCATACCTGTCTTTATCACTTTCTGCTTGACCAGGAGTTACTTTTTCTTCCAAATCAGCTAGTTGTTGTTGAATAAATTGTATCTTTTTCCTAGCCTCATCATATTCTAACCTCATGCGAGCCATCGCTGCTAATCTAGTACCCATTGGGACCAGCTAATAAAAAACAAAAATTATTATTATAAGAATATAGACGAGATTAATATTTTAAGAAAACAACAGATTAAATTAATCAGCTTACTTCTCCTGACAAATCAGTCTGTGAGGCTGTAGAAGATTTTTCTGAAGGTGTTATTTGATTAACTGGATTCGGAGTATTGGGTAAGGATAATGTGCTGACTTCTGGGGAACTTTCACCCAATTGAAGCCTCGTCAAATCGTCCTTTAATTTAGCTAATGACCTCATAAGTTCTGACTTTTCTTGCTCCCCAGATGTAAGAGATCTTTGAATTTCCCGCAGTTCCGCTACCATCGCTTGGGCTTCATTTATGTTATAACACCCTCCGTTGAGTTTTTGTTCCACACTGAATGTGAATAAATAACATTAGAATACGGCGTATAAACAAATATATTAATGTGTACTTCAAAAAAAGCAAAGTAACTTACGAAGTAAGCGTTTCAACCCCTCGCTGAGTACAAGACATTTCTGCCCTAATTTGTTCTAACTCTCTCTTAAGCCTCGAGACCCTACTTTTGGCAAGAGCAACATCAGATTTGAGCAGATCGGGATCGTATTTTGTACTAAGGGAACTCGAACTCGAACACACTGTTGCAAACAATAAATTATTCACAGAACTGCAAACTTGCTACTTCACTCGAAAGAGTTCTTTAAACTTACAACTCGTCCTAGAAGTATTTAGAGTACTTAAAGCATTATTTAAATGGTTGTACTCATCCTGGGCCAAGTATAGCCTTTGCTGTTTGATATCATAGATTTCTTTCTTGGCCTGGAAAAAAAAAGTTCAGTAATATTGCATCTTACTAATATTAATCTGTTTAACATGAACAACAATTTGATTGCACAGCCATAAAATCACAATAAAGGTACATGTTAAATTTTTTGCATTTATTATTATTATTATTTATTTTATTTTTTTACTGTTAAAGAAATGAAAGGCAAATGTTTATAGCCTGAAGCTTTTGCCATCGGTAAATTTAAGAGGAAGCCATTTGCTCAGCTTCCATGTATTCCTAAGTCGATGTAAACTGGAGTGAATGGTTTCATCATTTATGTTGAACACTTAGGGAGTCAATTTTTAAAACTAGGGGGTGAAGATGCTTTCCATTTTATGACCAAATGCTCTATTCAATCTGAGATTTGATAGTGATTTTCAAGAGCGCACCTTACTTTTTTCTTAACAACATAAGTGATTGTGGGGATTCTGGCTCAGGATCCGTGACAAGCATGACAATCCGATACAAACTGATTCAGGAATTTAATTGCAAATAATAAAATCTAGTTGCATTTGTTTTTCGACATTGACCATATATTATTATGGTTCATTGGCGGCAGACAAATTCACGTTATGAGGAAGTATTCTGGGGGTGCTTTTCAGGCTCAAACTCTCTAACATCTCAGCTCAAAAAGAAAATTTATATAGTGAAATTTGCAATCAATTCAGTCTGGTCCAACCTTCTCGCAAACTCTTCTATTCCACCTAATATTAAGTTCAAGGTTTTTAAGATAGTTGCAAGTTTGATGGTATGCTATGCTTCCCAGGTTTGAGGGGTATTAGCAGTTCGATCTAGTCGAATCTTTTCTGCGTTTTTTTTTCTCGTAAATTATCTCTACAAATTTTATGTCCAACTACATGATATACTTAGATACATCAACTGACCTTTTATTTGTATATACCATCAAACTCCACCTAAACCAGGAGACTCACACCGCCTGACTACAGACTTTCCAAAATTACAGAGATCGAAATAATTAATGGTAATGTATCCTGGTTTAAGATGCTCAATTCACTAGCCCTATGATTTTAATATTAACTTGTGTTCTCCTTCAATGAACATGAATTAGTTCTCTATGTTATAGGCTCTTCAATCTAAGGATTTTTGAATGTTGTACCGAATCAGCTCTTAGATCCAACAGATTTCTGCCCTACAGGCATTTTCCGACTTAAGCAATAACAATCTAAAGTTGTCCTCTGTCGATTTAAGCCTGTTCTTCAAATTTTGGTTCAAAATTATCTAACTTAATTACTCCCCATTGAGAGATGATTCTGTTGAATTCTGCTCACCGTGTAACTCATGCACAAGGGCGGACTTTTTCCTGAGTGGCCCATTCTTTCAGAATTTCTTGTTCTCTTTTTCCAAACTACTAGAGTTTGAGAGCGTGTTTGATCCCAAAACTTAATTCATCGGATCGTTCAGACCTTGTCGGTTTTGCTTAAGAGTCTACTGTAGTACCGCAGACAGCTAGTGGATCAGTTTAATTTTATATTGAGAAGCGCTAACAGTTTTAATTTAACTTTAGTTTACTAATTTTTTTATTATTTTTGTATGTTTTCTTTTTGTAAATAAAGTTCTTATTTCATTCATTCACTACATACATAAGTACATTAATGCAAAATAAATTATGTAAATAAAGTATTTCTTTTCTTCATCTGATATATAAAAATAATAATAATAATAATGAAAATGAAAGAAGCGAAGAAAAAAATGTATATACATATTATTTAAATATATAATGTAGATAAATAAAAAAAGAACGGATGTTATGAAGAAGTGCGAGAAAGAGAGCATCCGAGTGGGGATGGGAAGAGTGAGAGGGGAAGATGAAGCTAGAAGGAGAAAGAATGAGTGCAAGAGGTGAGGGAGTGGATGAAGTGGGAGAAGATAGGTAGGTAGAGAATGTATTGGAACTATAGTGGGGGCTCAGGAATGTATAATGGTCCAATGGATCAGAAGGGGGGACGGGGGGACATTCCATAGTACTCTGAAGGACAGAGACCCTTTTTTTTCTTTTCATTACCTCCTTTTACCTCCATTCCCTTTATTTTTCTTTTCTTCTTTTAAAGCTCATCCCGTGCAACTTGCAAGGAACGACGTACCCGAATATTATTTACAAACGTGTATATCCCATCGGCCGATCGGCCCTGGGGATGTACAGTTTTGGAACATTCCAAAGAGATGAATTGATTGGAATGTTGGGTGAAAAAAAAATATACAAACGATTGTGTTAAAATGGTCGAAAAGTCATTTGTCGAGGCGAATAATTTTTTTTTACGATCAATTCTCTATTTTACGACTCACACCGCATTACGCAATTGTCTGCACGCGCAAATTTACTACAGTTTATGGGCTTACGACTATCACAGAATCTGACATTAAAAAGTCTGAATACGACAGGGGGAAAATTTAGCTATTTGCGATATTTCCGTTTTAACAAAATCGGGGTTAGAGCTGCGTGTACATGCAAATTTATGTAAGTCCAGAGAAAGAGAGTTCTATATTTTCCATTTGGAACATGTGCAAGTACATAAACGAAGTTGCCATCGTGAAAGAAAATTTTTGTGCTGTTCTATAATTATGGTAAAGAAATTGTATTACACAATGCTTCCTTAGGGTATAATTCTAAAAAAAAAAGTGAGTGGGTTTTCTTTTTCCAATCAATCCTAAAACAAATTAATGAACTGGTGTCGATTTCAATACCAGGGGATTTAGGGGAAAGCTAGGCTTCCACGTGTTCTAGAATATTTTGACGAATGACGTCCTTATATCCTCGGTCACGTGGAAACGAGAAGCAAAACGAGTAGAGTTGAAAAAAAAACCTTCGTAATTTGGTCGTGTGAAACACAATTCATTTAAAAAAACCCACTTCATGCCATAGAAGTTTAATCCTTTCACTGATAGCAACTGAACATTGAGGCAAAACAAGGCAATAGAAAATTTTTACTTTATTTATTTTCAAGAAAACTATAGATACAACGTAAGATTGTACGATTACCATGATTGTATCTAATACCATCGAGAGATGAAGACAAGATCAACCTTTCACATCGATGGGACAACCCATTGCTTGGAATGAGTGTGTTTTGTTTGAAAATGCCAGTTAGATTATTTTGTCAGACATGATGACAAGTAAGATCTCTATTTTGATGCCGAGGTTGAAATCGGAAGCAATCACGTTTATGGTTTTATTAATAGGAACGTTTCAAACAGAAATATTCAAGCCTGCAAGGGGGTTAAATTGAAGTTTTTGCCCCTAGTAGAAGAACAGTTTAAAAAAACTCAATCGTTCGACGGTTTATTGTATGGAAAATTGTTATTTATCGTAACCAGGGCGTGCATATTTTGAACATACATCCTTCGTCATATAGTATTTGACAGCTGTCAAATTTATGAGGCAGTCAAAGGTCGACTTTTGAAGATTGTTTTGTAAATTTTACACCACATAGAAAAACAAGCATTATTACAGGGTGGTCAGCTCCTCTTTTTTTTCCGGTACATCTAAACTGGAGTAAAATGCTGTAAATCTCATGCTTTTTCCTCAATCCGTTCAAAAGTTACGATTTTTTTAGTGTTTATTTAAGAAAAACGCGTTTCTTTACAATAAAACCTGAATTTTCTTCACACTATCGTAACTTTTCTCAACTTTTGACCCCATTTTTAGATTTAGCACCAAATTTCCACCAAATTTGTTCTAAAAACTGCCAGTACCAGTGCCAACTTACAAACATGAAATTTGCGAAATGGTAATTTTGGATCAACTTCTTTAAACCGTAGACCCCCTTACATTACAGTTTCAATAATGTCGAACCAGCTAAAAGCCTCAAAATTTTATGAGCTTTCTAACGGTCTATTCGAAACCTAGATTATTTTGATTTTATGATGGGCAATTTCAGTTGGAAGTTGGGAAAACGTGGTCCAGGACGTATCCTGGGAATTAAACGCTTGTCCTAAGAAGTTGATCGGGCATGTAAATTAATAATTGGCAAATACATATCTGAAATAATTTCTTATTTAATTTATGGGTGCTAAGGTTTAAAAAAAGTTGATCCAAAATAACCGTTTTCCAAAATTTCATGTTGTTTGTTGCAGTTATTTTGCAAGTAGGGTGACAATTTTTTGAACGAAAATGGACTGATCTTAAAGGAAATCCGGTGGTAAATCTAAAAATGGAATCAAAAGTTACGAAAAGTTATGTTATTGTGGAGAAAATTCTGGATTTATGTAAAGAAACACTAAAAAAATCGTAACTTTTAAACGGATTGAGATAAAACCATGAGGTTTACTGCATTCTAATCCAGATTTTTTAAATTTTTTTTAACTCGAAGAGATGACCACCCAGTATACTTCAAAGTGTAATAAACAATTTCACAGGGAAACAGGAAGCCTGAAAAAACGAAGCAGAGCTGAAAGTGCATTCCATGGAAGTTTGGTACGGTGGGCCATTGAACTGCACAATATTGCAACTAATTTGTATCAGTTGTTTATGTTTCAAAAGTGAAATAATAAATTGGTTGTTGTATCAATAATTACTTATATTTTTTATTTAAAAAAAAAAAAAAGTTCAGGGATAAAGTATCGCTGGGCATAAAGTTACTAGGCACTATTCTCACGTCGATGCTTTGAAACTGTCTTTACGTTTTTTACATAAATATGTTTTACAATGTCATGTTGTTTTAATTACTTATATCGGGTGCTTGTCAATGTTTGTACTAGGGTATGTTTTTTTTCTCTTATTATAAGCTCAATTATAAGCTGATACTCTTCTCCGTCATATGGGAAAAATACCAATAGAAATAGAAAAAAAACCAGGTTGGGGGAACAATATTAAAAATTCAGCGTAGAACAATTAAAATACTTCCAACAAAAATAGAAATCTCGGCCTGGAAGTCGGGACTTTTGTAAACGGCGTTCAAAACATTGAGATTTATTTGCATGGCAAAAGAGCAAAGGAATTCGGCAAACAAACCTAAAAAAAGGAGAAGAACTGAAG